GCCTCCGTCAGCTGGTCCTTCTCTGCGTAGACGTTCTGGCCAGTGTGTACTGTCAGGCGGGGAGGAGGAGGACTCGGACGCAGAGGGTTCAGCTGATATTGCTTTTATTAATAACAAGGAAAAAACTCAAAATCTCTCTTAATGAGGAAAAAAGGTTGCGATCAAAGTTCAAAAGGAAAAAACTCAAAATCTCTCTTAATGAGGAAAAAGGTTGAGATCAAAATTCAAAAGGCAAAAACTCAAAATCTCTCTTAAACGAGGAAACGTAACAGGGATCAAAAGGACGTGACAAACGTTATCGGACTTGACTAGACTCGTGACGTGAGGGCTGGTGTGCAGGGCAAAACAACAAGACACACTGGCACAGGACAAGGGGCGACGCAGACTATAAGTACCCATGAGGGAGTTGTGGGAACAGGTGGACACAATCAGGAATCAGGGAAGACAATCAGACTGGTGACACATGAGGAAGGGAAAGGGACCTGAAACGAGAGGGAGTTAGTTTCCAAAATAAAACAGGAAGTCAAAAAACAACTGGAGACAGGGACAAAAACGCAACTTGACATACAGGTGTGACACCATCATTACCAACTACAGTGGAATATTTTTGCTGTTCCACCTCAATGAGCCCTGATATTCAGACAGATGTGTTTCACCATTGTAAAGAGTCTGTCTGACCTCTTGCAGTTGTGTCCCTCGGGTTTGCAGAAGAACAAAACTGTAAGTACACTTTTTTTTTAACATTAGTCCGCCGCCTTACCGGCGCAAACATTTTGTTAAAACATGTGTTTGTTAAAATTATATATTTCTGTAATATTGTTATGAAATCAAATCCCTACATTTTTATCTGAAAATAACCACAACAGACACGCAGGTTTTTAAAATATTTTTTCTTTGAATTGAGTGAAATGTCACTTTTCTGTTGAAATATATTGATGATGTCATCAGCGAGATAATCAAACTAGGCCACTACGTTCCCTTGTACTGTTGACTTTATTATGTCATTGTCAAATGTATGTGAATGTTTTTGCATATCCTCATTTATCTGCTTCTCAAACCATCTTTCAACTCACCTACAAATTATTTGTGTTCCTACAGTGGAAGAGGACCCGTTTACCTTTGGTAAATATTATTTTCTAGAGTAATATTTTTTAACTATCATTTAGATTTCATGTATGTAGAAGCGTTTCCGGTCTGATTTGCTTGCATGTTTTGTTGAGCGGATGCATTCGTTCAATTTTCATGAGGTAACCCCGACCTCTTTCTGCAGACTACCACAGGCTGCGTGTTGGAGGCCTGATTCTAGCTGCTGTCCTCTGTCTCATTGGCATCACCATCCTGTTCAGTAAGATGCAAATTATGCAAACAGCTTTTCCACTCATGGAGTCATAAACTCTCTTAAACAACGCACAAACACACAGATATAAAGAAAGCCAACTGTTCTCTTCTCTTGCTCCAGGTGGCCACTGCAGGTGCAAGTTCAACCAGGACAAGAGGTGATCCTTCATACAGTTAAACATTAAAACACCTGTGTAATTGGTGTGGAAAAGAGTGGCACGGTTTACATCTAACATATATTGTAAGTGCAGTGCGTTGTACCAGTTTATTTCCCCTTGTCTCTGACTCTCTCCTCTCTTCCCTTTGCAGAAGGAGGACAGGAAGCAATGCTCAGCAGATGCTCTCCGACAAAGGTGCTGTTAGTTCAGCTGCAAGCTCTTTCCCTACTAGATCTAAAGGAGAACCAGCAGCCATGACGGGCCTATGAACAGTTTTTCATCTTTAGTATAACTCTACTAATACACGTATTAATCCACAAATGAAACTCCATTTGGACTTGTGGGTCAGTGTAAATGATGCCTTGTGCGCACAGACCCGTGAAAGAAGCATCAATGACCACTGCTAGAACCAGCAAATAGATTTTCCATCTGTTTCACTATGTTTCTATTCACTTAATCAAAACAGTTAAACACAATACTATAATACTATACTATAATACTGCAAATATATGAAAACGTGTGTTGCAAAATAACAGTTGGATGTGAAAACCCAGACTGTGGTCTAAAGATATACTATTTACTTTGTCCATCTGTTTCATGGTAAACAGCCTTGTGTCTCTCTCACACACACACACACACAAACAGTGTAGAAGTCCCCCGTAGTGCTGGACTCGGATGCCGTGGACCTCGCAGTTCAACAGGTGGCGGCACACTCGGGGTGTCTGGCATGCAGACTTGGGGTGTTGTAGGGAGAGGAAGAACGTTGTGAGGCAACCGTACCCCTTTTAGGACTCTGAGACAGTGTTGGCTTTATATTTTTGTGTAGTACGTCTGACCCAGTCTCTTAGTAGCAAGATCTCAGGAAGCTCCAGAGGGAATTCCTTCACGCCAAAGACGTCCACTTGGACTGACTATACAAAAGAAGTAAACCAATTGTGTTCAGAGCTCAAGCTCACTGTGACGTCACTAAAAGGTTGTTGACCTTAACAGAAGAATTATTGTGCACAGTATTAAACTGCATCGTGACTGTTTGGCTGAGGCATAGAACCGTGCATTATTGTACTTTTATGTTGCGTTGTGTTTAAGGGAAAGCCATAATGCAGATATTCATAAATGTGCAGCCTGTCTCAAGCGATATGATGGTGCTCATTGGGACAGACGCTCCTTGTTAACCACGTTAAGACAAAATACACTGATGGCCCATCTGAAAAACGCTGTAGTACTGCAGCATATAATTAACTCAGCTCGGGCCCACAGGGAGACACTGCACATACGCATGTATCTGCCTCTGCCTGTCTGTGCTTATTTTGTGTTAATTCTTCTTCTAAATCCTCACATCCAAAGAATTATATCGTTAATATCCTCACTGATCATACGACTTAAATACCAGCCTCCTCTTTGATGAACAATTTAGGTTTTATGTAGGTTAATGATTGGCATGTTGATTGTATAATCACATTTATGTAGTAAATGAATCTGTAATTGGGAACTCCCCTTCCTGTCTGTCTGCCCGCCTGCAGGTCGATCCGCCGAGTGCTAGATGTCAACCCGAACACACACTTCCCAAACCTGCAACCAACCGATAAGATGGAGGAGCAGCAGCAGGGATTGTTACATCCAAGGAGAAGCATTTTTTTTATTGTTAAGCAACAGAAAGTAGTCTGTGTGAACCGCCTGTGAGGTGTGATGCTTTCTGCCTGTTAACTGAGCTACTGGTCTTCAGTCTGCACCTTCACGCATAGACACTTTCATTTCAACCAACTGAACAGTTTTTGTTTAGTTTTAACAGGCTTTGACCGGAAGAAACAATAAAATAATATTACGTATTTTGAGAATTTATTGTGTAACTCGTTCTGTGCTGTTCACGGTTGATTGATCTGAAAGTAACATTATTCAATAGTTAAAACAAAATGATTACCAAAAAATTGTGTCCGTCAATGTCACGCAGTACTTCTGTTGCCTATATTATGTGTGTGCAAAGTAAGCAATCAATGTAGATAACGTTGCCTACTGCGACCGACCTAACCCTCCGTTCATGCTTTCGTATATGAAACATAGTCTGTGGAGTGCCGTTGCTAGTCATGATAATCTGTTAATTCCCATGTTTAGCTTTATGGAGGAAAGTAGTGGATTACACTGTTCACAGATACAGGAATACTCTGTAATGTTTTCTATAAAAGAACTATTGAAACCGATTTTATTTGTGTGTGTGTGTGTGTGTGTGTGTGTGTGTGTGTGTGTGTGTGTGTGTGTGTAAAATGGTCGAAGGGCACCCACCAACCCCTCTCTCAGAGAGTGCAAAAAAATATTGGAAGGAATATATATTAGAACTGAAATGGTGCGTAACAGGTCTGCCTGCTGTATGCAAATTTGAGTGTGCATGAAATTTCCATTCTAAACTTTGAAAGAAGAGGAAGAATATTTTTCGTGGGCTGCAACAGCAGGTATCTCCTGTTGGGATCTTTAAAAGCCATTTATCCTACATACGGGGTCGCAGGGGTTGGTTGCCAGTTAATCACAGGGCTGACGTACAACCCTTCACATCCACACACCTACAGGAAATTTAGAATGAGCCATCAACCTGATTCCTGGAGGAAGCCGGAGTAGACGGAGAGAACCCACGCAGACAACACGCAGAATCCGCACAGGAAGGCTTCTGCTTGGAGTTGAATCCGGGACCTTCTTGCTGTAAATCGAATGGCGCTAACCATCAGTACTCAGCTTTAAGGTTATGTTTGTGTTTCTATGTGAGGTTAGAATTTTTGGAGGAGCGAGGGGGGGTTCTGACCGTCTACGACCATACATACCTGTTAGGACATTATGAAGAGGTATCGTAGTTATATAGGCCTACCATGAAAAATAGGCATGGTCATTTATTCACAATTTCATTGAAATTAAGTGGTTTATGCCACGTGCAAGCACAACCTAAGAGAACTCCAAGCAGTTATTGTCACCAATTTCGGTCTTCAGTCACGCACTCCCGCCACACATCCAATTTCTCACGCAAAAAAAAACAAAAAAATGGACCTCGATCCGCGTTGGTTCCTCTTCCACCTCCTCGACGGTAGGTGGCGCCCACTACCCGCCTCACCCCCGTCGGCCGTAGCGTACATAGATATATAAAGACTAGATGTGTCTTCGAACGGCCATCTTGGTACGGTCCGCTAGTGAAACGTGTACTTAAAAAAAAAAAATTGCTCAATTTTTAACCGAATTTTAAACGTTTGTTAGAAACGTCAGACATGTAGTTATGACACTGCATACATAATATGAATAATTATGTTATGTTCTAAAAAATATTATAATGTTCTAAAATAGGTATAAGATTTCCCTTTACAAATATACATAAAGAAATGCTGCATGTTAAAATCCCCACCCTGTACAGTGATGTATATATGACACTGCATACCTATAAATAATTCTAATTATAACACTGGGTTTTCATACGAAAATGATATTAAACAGAGCACTATTCAGTCAAGTATGCAGTGTCAATTTATTTCTATTTAAAGCACATGTACCACTACCAACATAATGTTATGGGTGAGCGTCCCTCCCCGCCGTCCACCGTAACGTCCGCACCCCCCGTGACTCACTCTCAACCAATCAGAACGCTGGATGTCATCTACCCGCATTAAAATAGCTGACAAATCTGCCGACATTCTTATGTTATATTAGCCCGCTGCTGATAGTTGTTTTTGTATTTATAACAGAAATATGAGGTGCATCAAGAATTTTATTCTGGCAGGAAAGTATATAAGCTTATTTCTCCAAATGTTCAACTATTTCTTTAATCTGCATAACCAATTACACACAGGAGTCAATGAATGGTAATATGATATGATCTCAAACGACAGTCTAACAAGTTTAAGAATTACAGGCACTATAAAGCACAAGCATTGACATCAGGTCAATTGCTATATTTATTTTGCATTAGCAAATAAGCAGAAACTTGCATATATTTTAAGTTGTTTTAAAATGATTTCAGACTCAACCACAGACATATTCAGTGGAATCCTCTTTTTCTATCGCAGTGACTTCCACCTCACACAATGTGAGGTATTCCGTTCTTCCAGGAATCACCACGTTCACGTAGCGTCCTTCCATTCCATTACACCTGAAGGTTTGGGAGGCTCCAGCCGCCAGAGACGAGATGACAGCACATCTGACGAACAATAAGACACATTTGTGAGTAAAACTACGTCCCAAGGTGAAAGATATGCTTAGACACCATCACTGGATATGTGGGTTTCTGTTGGGAAATGATGAACAGTACCATGGTTTCCTTTAACTTACACAAGAAATGTAAAATGTTCAAACACGATGTATAAACAGAGTGGTGTTACCTGGGATTATTGTTGCCATTGTCACTGAGGGAACTGCCGATGCGGATCTCAGCGTCATTGATCCTTTCATGGCAGCAATCTCTTCTGTTGGTGATGGTGACGGTGTCGACGTTGTATGTCTTCTGCAGGTCAAGTCTCCACCATGGTTTCATCTCGCCCTGTGTGTGGGTACAGGATCCCTGTTCCCATATGCTAGCACGGTTTCCATCAATGGCCCTTTCTGGGAGGCCATTCCACCCCACGGAGGACTGCGTCGCCGTTCCACCTTTAGCAATATTATCCCCTGGGGAAATTCAGAAACGTTATGACTAAAGATTGGGGACGGCAGAGCAATAACACATATTTTGATCGGACTGCAGCCACCAAAAAACAGACAATCAGCATATTCAAGGAAAACTTTACTTTTACTCAATGTTCTACATTGGACCAATTCGGTATTTACCAGTTGGAACAGGTGTTTAAGTATGAAGTGTGATATTGAAGATGGACTAAAATACACACCTTGTACATATGTCTATGTAGCCTATCCAAATTGGAAATGATCAAAAACATAATAATGATTAGATTAAATCACGTGAAACCTGTTCTTACCAAAATTGCCACTTATTTGTCCGAGAACAGCCAACAAGATAAAGACCACAGCTGGAAACATCATCCTGTGAACAAGTTCATACTCACAATCTTATTAAACCATACATTTCTAACCCACTCATAAGATGCAAATACATTTTTAAGAACTCAACAGTACTGGTTTAAATTTAAGCTGTGTATCTGTTATAAGCTGTGGTCGAACATATAGGAGGTGAGTGGGGAAAAAAACAAGTCAGATTTGCACTGAGTAACTTAATTTAAAAACTGCATGGGAAAAGTTTGAGATACTTGTGTGGGTTTTTTCAGAGCACATAATCTCGCAAATAAGATCCACGTCTGTCGTGCTATCCCCCTAGAGTAATCGTTTTTTACGAGAACAGGTTTAAAGTTGCAGATTCAGTTCACTTTTTCTTTTATAAAATTTGTCTGGAAAAATAAAGCGATTTGAGCAAAGACCTACCTTGTAGTTCTCTTGCACCCTGGAAACAGCTTTGTTCTGCATGAATCAAAAGCAATCATTTTTATACTTTAGTGCAAAGAATGATTGACAACTGCTTGCTTTATAAATCCCCTTGTCAAATATCCAGTGTTGTGTTTGTATCCCATTCAAATATCAATCTGCTTGTCTGACCAAAATATTGTTCTTGAAGGCCAACAGATAGGGCACACCCATGGCCACATCCTGTGTTTGCTCAAACAACGCATGAAGTTTGTTTTAAGACTTTCAACATCCATAACTCTCTGTACCCACCAAATTGGGCCCAGGATGCTTATGAGACTAAGACCACAAATGTTCATTTGGAGGAAGTGGTTTGGGGTCTGATTTGTGTTCCATTGCATGTTGCTGCCATCAAGCCCACGCCTGAACACTGAAGCATTCATACAGGTCGGTTTAATTGCGAGGCTATTGTATTGCAGAAGACAGCCTACTATAATACAGCAGTCCTAGAAAAAACACTGTCAGTTGTTTCTCCAGGTATGTTATTTTATTTTGTAGCTTGAGTGGTGTGTGTTTGGTTGGGTCTTCTCCCTTTGCAGTATATGTATAATGTGTCTTTGATTGAATTTTACAAATTCACAGTGTGCTTTATTATGTTGCAATGGGATGTTGCAAATTGAGAGGGTTTTTTTTTCTGTGCTTCGAGGGGCCACAACCTACATTGTATTTAGTTCCCTTACCTGATGAGCTTTACATCCACCCCAATGGTTACAATTGCCGTAATCCTTGTCTAAACTTAACCACACCTTTGCAAGCATACGGAAAACAAATAGGAAAATCTTGTGTTACAAAGTACGATGCCTATAGTGGGATAATAATTATGCTATGTAAACTAAAGGGAAATAAGGGGATGGGAAATAAGGGGGGAGCAATCTGCTTGATATTACATAGACATATTTTAAAAGCACAAAAACATTTCTGTGTTGCACCATCTCAAACCAGTCAGTAAAACACGTCTTTCTGCTGGGATTTTCTGCAGAAAATCCCAGCAGAAAAATATATAAAACATATAAAACAGCATTGAAGGACACATACTGAACGAGACAACTTATGTCATGCCTGCTCACATACCAAATCAAAATAAGACAGTGATTTTCAGTGAGGGCTTTTCAGACCTGGTCTGGCTATGAGGGACGAGCTATGGACATAATGCTCTGTACAGCATGTTCAACCTTATTATTGTGCCAATGTTTGATCAAAAGGCAGTTGTGAAGAGAAAAAAGTCATTCTCTGAATTAATAGTAATTCAGAGAACTGACTTGTGTGATGACTATAACTATAACTATAAGTTGGTTATCTTCCTCAGAACACTGCTACGTGGTAGCACATCAGTAATGTTACATATTATAAATGATTACAAATGGAGTTAAAGGGGGAAAAATATATACCATTGCAACTGCATGGGCCTATCAACAGCTGTCAGCTGTTTAACTGGCCTTTAATTTGTTTTTTTCAACGGTAAATGTAGTGCAATTAGTTAAATTACATTTCTTCATAAAAAGAGTATTAAACAGAAAATTTAGTCAAAACATTAAAGCGTTACAACTACACAAAAGTTGAATGTGTGTGTGTCAGTCTTGCTCAACGGTCCATGACGTCGGAGTAAAACAATGTAATAGCATACAATACATGACCTGCAGATGGCTTGTACTGACAGGTAAAGCACAGGTGTTCTTATCACCATTTAAGATGGTCCCACTTGTGCTTTTCTGTCCAGACTTGTCTGACTCCTCGAGACAGACAAGCTGTGTGTCCCCCTAGTGGACACCGGCCTGTTTGTACCTATTATTCTATTCTGCTTTAATAGTCATCCAGTTAACCCTTCAACCACTATCTCCATTTGTGTTTCTAAAAGCTCACGCACACGGACACACACCAGCTGCGCCTCTGCGTCCCTCCGGACCACTGATAGATCAAGAGGGGTGGTCGTCTTGATTTAGTGGATGAGCTCATGAGGGCAAGTCGGCATCAGGCGGGACCGGAAATCAGACATATTTACATGACAAATAAAAACCTATTCCGTCAAATTGGTCACGTGCATATGAACGTGTTTAAGTTGATTTGAATGTCTCACAAGTTAACTCTCACGCAGATTTATGTACGGCATGTTTGTTTTATAGTTGTAGGTGTGTGTTGTTCTATGTGTAAAGCTTTGTTGTATAAATTATTTAATTAAAATGACCTTTGTTTATTGATGTATTGTAAGGATCTTGAGATGTAGATGGTTGACATGAGGGCACGCGTCATCAGCATACATCTCTGTTGATGCACTCCCTTGTCCTTTGTTTTATTATACATTAAACGTTTCTTGAATAATGTATACACACACACATATAAACATACTTTGGAATAGACATAGACAAGTGCTGACATTGGCCAGAGCCCTGTTAAAGTGGCTAAATCGATTTTTTTTAAATCCATTCCACAAGAAAACCTGCAGATAGAAGCGAGACTTTTAGTATTTGCTGCCATTTCCAGACTTTTTATTTCCAAATAATAATGTGTATTTATTCATCTCTATTGTCCGATAATCTCTATATCAGATTGCTTGTATTCTATTTATTTGGCCATCTTCAGTTGACGGGAGACATATCTCGAGTCAGTTCATCTCATATTAGGACATAAAGTTACTTCAGTTCCATAGAGTATTCATTGGGTTCTATTGGGCCAATCAGAAGGCTCAGTATGCGGTAGACCGCCGTGCTTTTAATTTGAAAGTCTCAACTGGAGTTTCCATATTCGTTCTCGGTGACTTGACACACTGAGGAGAAACGATATTAAATCCCAGTCTGAACTTCGATAATTCACTTTCGGGCTGCTGCAGTTTGATGAAAACTTAACAGATCGAGATATTTACCACTAAATAATTCAAGAAAATCTTTCAACCCGACGGTGAAAAGGGAAACGCTTCAGCATTATGGACCCCAGTAAGTCTGCGACGGCTCCTCCACCGGAGTGGGCTGGTGAGAAGTCCACCATGGGCCATGTGCCCCCTCCGCCCTACCAGGACAACCCGGTCATGGGATACCCTCAGCCCGGCCCGGGATACCCTCAGCCCGGCCCGGGATACCCACAGCCCGGCCCAGGATACCCCCAACAGCCGCAGGTAAGCCCCGATACACACACCTGAGAGAATAACAATGTGTCCCTGCAGATGATGGGATTCTCTTTCTCCCCGGAATACACTGCTGAAGATGACGGCAAGCCAATTCTACACAGTTCTCTTTATTTGGATTAATAATGTATAGCCTAATTGAAAAAGAACCGAACGTTAGCTTTTAAAAAACGGGCCACTCATCAGAGTAACTATTTAGACAAGATGTCCTACTGAGGGGGGGCTTTCACGAGCTCTGTTATCCAACCGAGCAAATCTACCGTAAAATACAATACATACATGTATTACGTTTCTAATTAGCACAGGATAGAAAAGTTTAATAATGTAAAAGTTGACTCAGTGAGCCTTTTTTCGTTGAGAAGACGCAGAAAATCGGTTCAAACGTTTTTTCCAGCGTCTTTTCAACGGCAAAATGCCGCTGGCACGAAACAAGTTACATACGTCACACTAATCATACTAACAGCCCTCACCTAGGACAAAAAACACACCCCTTCTCTCATTTGTTGCCCAATTCTAGATTTTTGGATAGATTTGAAACTCAATCCGATTCTGTAACAACAAGATCAGGACCCGACTTGTTGGGACACTCAGTACACCAGAAATCATCTGCGTCTCATCGTCACCTGGTGATTCTTCTGCAGAAGCGGCGAAGCTCTCGCGTGCGTCTTACGAGGCCCTCAAATCGGGAGCAGGAGTCATGTGTACAGAACGAACAGCCTAAAACATGCGCGACTATGGGCCGCCGTTTGTAAAATGTCGCACGTTCTAAACTCCTGCGCGGTTTTGCTACATTTATCATTATCATATGAATATTCATATGTCACTTTTTCAAACATTTAGAGAGAAATTCATGCAATTACTTTTCCAAAGATAATGTTTGGCGGTAACACAAAGTATTGTAATGTTCAGTCGTCAAGTCTGATATGTAGAGTGAAGATTTTAAAATTTAGATTTAACATTTACATTTAACATTTAGATTTAACATTTACATTTAACATTTAGATTTAACATTAGATATAATTTTTAACATTTACGTTTAACATTTATATTATTTAACAACTTTGTGTTACTGCCAAACATTATCCTTGGAAAAGTTATTGCATGAATTTACATGAATTTCTCTCTAAATGTTTGAAAAAGTGACATATAAATATTGTCGTGCTTTTTTGTTCATATGATAATGCTAAATGCAGCAAAACTGCGCAGGATTTTAGAACGTGCGACATTTTACAAACGGCGCCCCATACGCGATACGTTCAATTCATATGACAGAAATGTTTTCAACATTGGGAGTGGCGAGCCAGGTTAAAGCCTAATTTATGCTTCTGCGTTTTCAGAGAGACTCAAGGACACGCAAGGGACACGCAGGAGCCCCTCGCGTGTCCCTTGCGTGCCTTTTCACACCTCCTTGCGTGCTTGCGTGCGTCCACCCATTTTTCTGCAGCCTGCAAGGCTGCGATTGGTCTGCTAACTACGTCCTTTACGAAGTCTCACATTTCCGTTTTCATAGCCCAATACCACCATTATTAAAACGAAGAATGTTAACGAGAGAAGGGATCGGATTGAAGAGCTTTTGTCGGAAGAAATGCGTAAATATGACCGCATATACAACCCGTCATTTGCGGAGTATAAAAGGCAGGACCACTGCAGGGACAACCACCTTCAGATGTAACCTCCATCCACAGAACTCCATCTGTGAGGAGGGAAAGCACAACGACTTCTGGTTCTGCTAAAAGTCTTTGTCTCCTTCTGCATCCGATCAAAGCTCTCATGTTTCAAACTCCCCGCATTAGGATGTCCTAAAAGCATCTCGTTAACCGCACACAGATCCATATTTATGGCGATTTTAAGTAAAATATTAAATACCTTGAAATCTTTGCGTAGACCAAATTTCGCATTCATTTATATGAAAATCTTTATTGTTTATCTTCCAAAGATCACATTATCAACAACTTGGTGTTTTCTGACACATTGGTGTTGGAAACACTTTTTCAATTCAGCCTTATTTCAACCACACTTCAAAATCACGTCTAGTGCTCACTCGTGCATGTTTCTCAGTCGCAAAATTACCGTCTATAATATAACTTTAGACTTATAACATTAACGCTTACTTTTAAAAGTGGTTTAGCTCAGACATTTCATCTATCGGTTTTTATTAGAAATCATTATAGATTATAAAAGTCCATCGCAAGTATTTCTATAAAATCTAAATATTTGAAATGAAAATACACACAAAACTTTGGATAACAAGATACAAAACTTTATTCTATATAGGCTATATAAGTTATTGCAGATGGTAAGCTAGAGAGAACCTGGTTGGTGACCAAAAGAACCCAACAACGCTGTTCAAGGAACCTTTGTACCTTCATGTTTAAAACCACTTCCGCTGGAAACACCAGTCTGATGAAATTCCAGTTAGACTTCTGATCTCTGGCGCGTATTTTGTAAGTGTTTCTGCAACCATTACATCAGGGGTTTTATATCAGTTTACTGTGAAGCCTCCCAACAGTAATTCGATACATACCCTTCCAAAACCTCTTTTTATTGTACCTGCAAGTGAGTTTGAATTGTGCATTCCGGGTGTGGCCTGCAGGGCTATGGACCTCCGGCGCAGTATGGTGGGGCTTTTGTGCAGCAGCAGCAGCAGTACCCAGGAAGCCAGCAAGCCACCGTCACAGTCCAGCCCACCGTCTACGTGACCCGAGGCCCGCTGGCTGTCCCTGTGAACGACTACTTGTGCTACTCCGTCTTCACCCTGCTGTGCTGCTGCCTGCCTCTTGGAATTGCCGCCCTCATCTACTCCATCTCTGTGAGTTTGATTTACACGTTGACTGTTGTTGTTGTTGTGAGTCCGGATGGTCTTCAGTGTATCAATGGGTGTGGCTGAGTGAATGAGGACATTTTGTACTGGAGGGCTTTGAGTGGCCTGAAGAATTCAAAACCACTTGACAAATACAGTTGATTTACCATCAATTCTCCAAGATAAAAGGCGTAAAAAAAAAACTAGATAGAAACATTTCTAATTAATTTGCGTAGCGCTGATACTGCAGTTATTGATTACAGTGTCTCTTGGGGTAGTAAACTCTACTAAGTCAAAGAATAGCTACGTCAGCTTTCGTTCTTCTGTGCCACTCTATGCAGACCACAGGATGAGGAGACGATTTAACATCTCGTCTAGGATGAATACGTACATAATTGATAGCGGGAACAGAACTTCTTTGTATGGGGCCGGCTGTGTGTGTGTGTGTGTGTGTGTGTGCAAGTTTGAGGAAGGGCGGGGCATTTACTGGAAGGGGTGGAGATCTGTGATGAAGAGAACAGGGGGGAAACAGGAAAGATGCTGTCGATGAAAAAAGCAGAGGACATTTTGTGTTAGCAGAGAGCTGCACAGGCCTCGGTTGCACATATATTTTGCTCATGAGTCGTAATTAAATGTGTATTATGAAAGCGTCATCCTGGCGTGCCTCTGGAGAAGGGTTAGTGTGGACGTACACATTACCTCACTTTAGGGGTAATTCTTCAGCCTATAGGTCTTTCTCAAAGGTTACTGAGTTTGCACCCTGTCTCCTAGAAGTGCCGCGGGGTAAATGAATCACGCACTTCTTCAAGAGGGAAAGCCGCCTGATTGTTTCCACGTGTCCAACGTTTAGTCGTCAGAGGGGGAACATTCTTGCGATTTCCTACACGGTTCTTCAAACAAATTGAAAGCGATTATGAGACATTCAAGTGCATTTACTGAGAGCCTTACTTGCACATGGAAAGTGGACTTCTTTTAAAGATTTAAATGTCCTTTGCATCTCTTGTTATGGTACATTTCACATGAGGTTTGGCTTGTTATGGTGCAATGTGTGTTTGGATTTGGGATGTTCAGTTATGAACAAGAGCAAATGAAGTGTGAGAAAAAAACTTCCATCGCAAAATACATCTATTTGACCAAATCCTTAAATGTTTCTTGTTTGTTGCGAAGCTGCCAAGTCAATGTACCACTGTTTGTCGGAGCGTATGCGTGTGTGTGTGTGTGTGTGTGTGTGTGTCTCTGTGTGCCTCTGTGTGTTGCTCTTTGAGTGCAGCTTCCTGTGGAATACCATCTCTAGCAGCAGCAGTTGTTTTGCTTTATTTTAAGACCTACTCCACATTCAGTATTCTCCATTTAACTTGACAGATATATTCTGTCCTCGCATCTTTATTAACAGAATCTGTTCTATTCGATAATGTATTTGATTAAAGCTCAGCGCTCACCTCTTTTTTAATGAACAATCTGTAGTTGATATTTACGCGGAGCAAAGTCCATCTGAGTGAATCTGTAGATTTACTTAGTAGTAAATCATTTCACTGTCCGCATTTTCAGACTGAATAATCGCATTTACAAAAAAAAACTGATTTGGAGCAGAACAGCCAGAATTGTAGTGTTTACTCATAGGACGTTACGCAAAAATGGTGTCAAAGTTTTTGTTACTTATTGACCACCATACACACCATGACCGATACATCTGTCCAAAACATCGTTTACACTTTGGAGAGTCGGTGGTCTGCGAGCGGTTTCTGTTTGCACGTTATTATGGAAATGCAGAGTACACACATCAATGATTGAATTACATTCCAGATGAGGTGGTTGCTCATTATAAGGCAATAAGGGGCGGATGTTTTGACGTTGGATACGTGATGTCTAAACAGATTTCTGAGCATTTATCCTCAATGGACAGAATAGTTGGCTACTTTTACTAAAGCAATGTGTTTTCGTTAATGAGGGCATAGGATATTTTCGGCTGCTTTTGTTTAGATAATATTTACATTTTGGACTTTCTTGTTTTAGAAATTGCCATGAAAACCACATTTCTTCTATTTTCGGGGGAATTTGGGTGAAGTGAACCTTGAAAAGACTGGCAAGTTAAAGCAGCGTCCTTAAAGAGTTAAAAACAGAGCTTGGGTTTAATGGAAAGTCACCTTGAGCTCATGAAATATTGTTGCTAAACTCAGCATGACTCACTTACAAGGCAGACATAGCAGAAAGTCTTCATAGTTTCTCAACTCGTGCTCCCATCCTGATGGTAAGTTTAAGTTTAGCCATAATAGAAGCTCTAACATTTCCTCTAACATAAATCATGCCTTCCTGTAAAACACGACACGCCGGAGCAACTTTCTAAAAACATGAAGCAGAAGTCATCACTTTATGGTGTTGTTCCGATGGTTTAAAGCGCGGTAGCGTACTTCTCTGACCTATAATTGTAACGTTATGACGATCGCTTACAGAATTCGCACAATGCTGCATTAATTCAGCTTATTCTAAAAATATTAGGTCACGCAGCTTAACTGTGATTGGACATGGACGTCGTTGGACGAAATCTGATCCACATGTTTCGCTTAGAGAACAGCGTTTCAAGGTGGGGCTTAAGCAATTAACTACAACAGTTGTGTAGTGGCATTGATGGTGTTTGGAGAGGTCATCTCCTTTTTCACATCATATTTCCACACAAAGCTGCACGCAGACACTAATACACAAATGCCAATAAGCCTGGGTTTGTATGTTTATTCTTGGGGGAAAAGAGGATCTAAACAATTACAGTGTTTCCTGTAAGTCACACTTGGACTTCTGTTGACTCCTGTCCAGCTGCTTTAGCTCTCTGTACTTCTCGCTGTCCTCGCCCCTGCGTCTGTCTCAGTAGATCCCGCCCACACCCACCTGAAAAAACGTGCGAAGCAACCATTTCACTTTGGAAACACCTTTAACGGTTTGGTTAAGACGACAACGAAGACAGACAGGAAGGAACAGACCCGTTTCCCCAGTTTGCTTTATTTCCGTTACACCGACGTAAAAATGTACAGTGTTGCATCACAGTTTTTACTTACAAACACTGACTTTTCTCCAATGCCTTAATCTGCAAGCCACATCTTAAATAGCATGAACGATGGATACCAGATGCTCACCGGGACCTAACCAGCATGGCAGTGTGGAGACCTTCACTGGAGTTCCTTTAAAAACGTCAAGATAAAAAGTGTCCAAATGGTGGGGGGAGCGAGGAGCTCATTGTGCCCACGTAATTCTCTTATGTGGCGACACAGAAAGGCAGCTGGATGAACAGTGGGGGGAAAAAAGCAGAAAAAGGCGGCAGAGAAGGAACCAAATACGGGAAAGCAGATGAAGACAAGGGGCGTGGTGGGGAGATATGGAGCCGGCTTCTGGAGAATAGTATTTCTCAAGCTTCCTAACCTCGATGCACATCGGGACAAAGAGTTTTATGGGGCGCCGTTTGTAAAATGTTGCACGTTCTAAAATCCTGCGAAGTTTTGGTACATTTAGCATTAGCATATGGAGAAAAAAGCACAACAATATTTATATGTCACTTTTTCAAACATTAAGAGAGAAATTCATGTAATTAACTTTTCCAAGGATAATGTTTCAAGGGGGCGGCACGGTGGTGTGGTGGTTAACACTGTTGCCTCACAGCAAGAAGGTCCTGGGTTCGATTCCGCCCAGTGGCCTTTCTGTGTGGAGTCTGCATGTTCTCCCCGTGTCTGCGTGGGTTCTCTCCGGGTTCTCCGGCTTCCTCCCACAGTCCAAAGACATGCTCTGGGGATCAGGTTAATTGGGGACTTTAAATTGCCCGTAGTTGTGTGAATGTGAGTGTGAATGGTTGTATGTCTCTGTGTGGCCCTGCGATTGGCTGGCGACCAATCCAGGATGTACCCTGTCTATCGCCCGAAGTTGGCTGGGATGGACTCCAGCCCCCCCGCGACCCTGTGTGCAGGATAAGCGGTTTGACAATGGATGGATGGATGGAATGTTTCTTCAGTTTCTTTTGTCAGCGATCTGTGTGTCTCGCTTCTGTGACAGTGCCATCAAATGGTCCTTTGTTCCCCAGAGCATGAGCTGTTCTTCACAGCTCCGCTCCGATTGACAGTGGATGAATGTTACAGTGTGTAACTTACAGTGTGAAGCCATGATCTGCACTTCCTGTCCTTTGGCAGTAACACATTGCTGCCATATCACAGTGGAATCATCATGTTTGCAGACATTTCTTATTAGATAAAATAATTAGTAACCTTTTGTTATTGGAAGAAGTATATATAAACCAGGGGTCTTCAACTAAAATGTGAAGAGGTCCAGTTCGAGAAAATTTCTGGAAGTAAAAGTCCAGAAGATCATAATGTGACTACTTAGTGTGATTAAACAGAGGAATATTGTACCAACATCTGCATTTAATACACGACTAACAAATCAAATTAATTCAGTACGATTCTAAAACTCTTTTGTCAATATTTATTGTCACGTAGCAAAGAACTGAACACATATGTGTGACTGCAAATATAAATAATGTTCTCTCGATTAAATAAATAAAAGTAGGGCTGCGTTTAAATGTTCAAATGAAGTGCAACTCGACAATCTCCGCAAATTATAAATAATAAATCCAAACACAACAGTTTAATAGAATACACAGCCCGCCAGTTAGTGACCTCTGATATATACAATTGATAATGTCGGACTACGGAAGTGGAGTATACAACTCAAATTTCTAGCTTTCCAAGTGATGAAAAGGCCTTTTCTACTGATCTGGAAAGCAGATAAAAACATGACTGTTGCACTCGTTTCACCATACTTGCAACATGAAGTAATAACCTCTGGCTCCTTCTCACACACCAGTCTCATCAACCCCCCATTTACTGAGATATTCCATGCAGCCGTTTCCCAGCTGACCATCCGAATGAGTCCAAACACTATAACCCTCAGGAATGGGTTGCTTTTCTAGAGAGCATTGCACGCTGTTACTTTGCCGGTTTTGGGGATTAATGTCTCCCTGGAGGCTGCTATGTGTTAAACAACCGAGCTGCACAACATTAGGTCAAACACCTGTTTCCTGCCAGTCAACATAGCGTGTGAGGTCATGGAGTCCTCAGCAGTAACGTGCTGTAAGTGATCACAATCATCACGTGTCAAAAGTATTCACATTCATTACTCAAGTAGAAGTATAGATACTAGGGTTTAAAAAGACTTCTGTAGAATTTAAAGTATCAACTCAAGTTTTTTATTTAAGTAAAAGTATAAAAGTACAGGGGGAAAACTACTTGAAGTATAAAATTAAAAGTAATGCAAGGGGGAAAAAACCCCATTAAGGACAAACTCTTAATGTGTAACCTCGCTCACAGAACATGTCGGTCCGTTACAATATTATCGGGAGGTGCCTTCACGTGATCGTGACCTGCCGTTATGATGATGGAAACATGGTGATATTCAGAGAGGCTGAAACAACCGAGGGACAAATGTATCGACCCGCATGCTGCTTAACTTAAACAGGTAAAACCAGAACCCATTTTCCAGTGACGGCTGAAGGACACGAGTCGGAGGACGGACACACACGTTGTTCCCATTCTGTAGACTGCCTCGTCTCCCCAGGTTTAAACTTCATGAAGGGGGGTCCAACTTTTTCTGAGGGGTGGGTGTGGGTGTGGGGGGGGGGGGCTGCACCCCTGTTATAACGTGTCACAGAGCAGAATGCGTCTCGTGGAGGATTCAGGTGGAGAATGGAAAGTTGAGGTTGCGCAAAGACGAGAACTGCAGAAGTTTTGCAACACTTTCCAAAGATCCGTCATTGCTGTAAATGTTGGTGTGGTAGTGAGGGGGAGGTTAATTTTCTTCGGGCTCTGCGGCTCTTGTTACAGGCGCAGAGCTTCTTTACCTCACAACAGGCTTCTTGCTACATGAACAATCAGCACATTTCCTCTTAACATATCAATCTTCTTATGATGATTTTGCAGGGGTTTTCGTCGCAATATTGAGGCACATTTTTACGCAACAACTGTGTTTTTAAAAAGTAAAAAATGATAAATGGGGAGGGTTTCTGATAAAACTCTGTTTTTTAAAGCATAAAAACAAAAGATGGAAAGCAGAAGTTGAGTGAGTCCGATTTTTGATTGTATCCCTATTACTGATACATCATTATTAATATGAATGCATGTCTGGCCACACTGTATTATTGTGGTTCAATGTCAGTGGTTCCCAAACCTTTTCTGTCAGTGCCCCCTTTGAGGATAGAGGATCATTGTAAACAAAAAAAACAACACCCTGTCGCACCGCGTCTCTTTCTGATGCTGCACGTCTCACTATCTCCCTCTCTCTCTTTGCTGCACTCGTCCGCTTGTAACCTGAGCCACTGTGGGGGGGTTTGGTCCTCATGTCGGTTTCGCGACCCCCAGTTTGGGAACCACTAGTGGAAGTCATGCTATTCCACCAACCTAAAATAAGGACTCTCTATCTTATCTTCACGGTATTCTTCTCTCTGCGTGCCAACACAAACAAGGATAACGAGTAACTGACACTCCTGCAAAGATGTTTGACGTGCTGTTGAAAGATAAGACACATGGATGTTAAAAACAGAAAATAACTTGTTTTTGCCCCTACTGCCTGATTCACAGTTTTGAATGTCAGGCCAATAAAACGGACATATCATTTCTTAAAGCTTTATTCACTTCTGAAGTTCACAACAAGGCTGTAGAATCCTCTCTGACCAGAGAGAGTTCTGGCCATGTTTAACTACAGGTTTACAGGAAATAACAGTTAATCCAAAGGAGAGGGCTTGACTAAACTTCTCAGGAAGAACAAATTACCTATATATATTCTATATTTCTTCCTCCGCAATAGGTAACTACAAATCAAAGCTAATATTTCTCTCTGTCGATGTGTGGATGAACAATCGTTTGTTTGTCACTACGTAAAATATGATGAGTATCAATTAGATTGAATTGATTTTTAATATTTAATTCATAAGAAAAACTCACCCTTTTGAATTTTAATACAGCGATTTTTGGCTGCTGCTACGCCCAGTAGCTCACGCTGCCTATTGTTACCTGATGTTAGAATACTAAAGATAGATGTTGCTGTATCAATTAGCTTTTGTTGGTGTTTACCTGCCACTTAGGCCCAAACTATTAAACTACTACTAAATAGTTATTGCAGATTCAGCGCAGAAGTCTAACGTCAGGTAAAAAGAGGTCTTTTATTACATTTTCACTGATACCTATTTTGAAATATTTTTCAGACCCGTGAATCCAACCACGCCGGCGACCAGGCTTCGGCGGAGCGGAGCAGCAGGATGGCCAAGATACTGAACAACGTGGGTCTGGGACTCGGCATCGTGTCCATCATCCTCTTCATTGTTTACGCTGTGGTTTTGGCAAATAACGTGAGATAATTGCAAATCGGCCTCATTATCGTTAGCACCTAGACCACGCGTGAAGCATTTAGCTTTTTTTTAAGCGTGAGTTTTTAGCTGAAAATGTGTAACCCCGGCCCCTGCCTGCTTGCAGAAGGTTATTGATATATTAACCAACAACCCATGGCCGTTTAATCCTTTACTCTAGAGTGTATCCAGTACAACCTTCCAAAGATTCATATTTCTTCAACCTTTGTTGCTTTGTTTGTGTTATCACACTTTAAATATCTATGTAAAAATATTTTGCCAACTTTGGTGCCTTATAAGATCACCCTTCACGTTTTTTACATATCTAATATTATCCAAAGTGTTTTATGTTCTGTGTTTGAACACAGTTGGTCAGACTGAGTTTTAATGAAACTGTTGGCTTTTTAAATATCCACTAAAATCCTCAAACCTGAAAATGATGCTATCAAAGAATAACATTCTACTACCAATACTTAGATAGACAAAGGAGTGCTGAGCTGAACTAGGAAAAGAAAAAGGGTTAAGCCTGTTTGTGTAAGTGATCTGGGAGCCCACAACACAATGAGATCTACTCCTCTTCCAATTAAACCAAATGTGTCCTCTTTATTCCAGCTGAAAAGGAAGGCAAAGCTTCACATACAATCTGCAGACATTCAGTATATTGCTGACTGAGCCAGTTGCTCCATCAGTGACTCTTGCTCTATTTGAAAAGCATACGGTGTTATTAAATGTATTGTTGTTGTTTGTCATGCAATGTCTTTATGTTCTTCTATTAACCAAACCTGAAAAGGTTTTACTGTATACCAGATTTCTTTAAAAAATAAAGTGAATATATTGAGAGGAAACAAACCTCTGCTCAGTGCTTCTGTACACTGTTGGCACATTTCATTTGTAAAAGTAAGAGCACACTCCTTTGGACGTATTTTGTCGCTATTGCTGAGGTTTTTTTGAGCTGGAAGTGGCAACCTCCCAATTTCAGGTTGAGGTTTGAGTGAAGGACTGCAGGAACATTATATTATTATAGCAGGTAATTCTAGACGCTCCATTTGTTGTACATTTTGTTGTTTCCAGTAGAGCCATTATAACTGCATCAGGTTTCATGATCACAACAGGATTGTTTTCCCACATTGTGTGTGAGATGTTTGAGAGAAAAGTGACATGACGTAACGCTACTGCTGGGAAGCGGAGAGAAGGCCGGTGGGAAGCAGCACATCAGTGAGTTATTATGAGTAAATGAAAGTGATCCATGGCTTGCTCGCTAAATGATTTCCTGCGGTTTCTTGTTCTGTCAGGCTCATCGTTTCCCTTAAAGCAACTGGATGCTAAAACACTTGATATGATGAAGTAATCCAACTGGATCGACGTGTTGTGACAACTTTAAGCATGTGGACTTCTTATTTTCTGGGGAAGTTTATTCTATTCTCACAACTGGGATCATTTGTCAAAATGTATTCGTTCATGGGCAATTACAGATTTTTTTAATTTTTTTATTTCAAACAGTTTACTGTTTATTACAGTTGGATCACCATAGTTTGTGGTTTGTATTTAAGTCATGTTTGCATAGCTGCCTATTTGGCCCGTGTAAGGACACGCACAGCAGATGAGCTTAGGCTCTAAATGTAACTGATTTTATTTTACTTCCCCTGCTCAGTGCTTTAGCAGAAGTTGTTAATGCTTCTCTAACGGCCTGAATCATCTTCCCTGCATGGAAGCCATTAATAACAGCCAATATCTGTCATTTAACTGAATGAAGTTCAGCAAAGTGCTGCGGGGACACAGGTCATTTACAACCTGTGAAGTCACAGTCAACAAGCTTGTGGCTTTTCTACAGAATAACCAAGGCGCTCAGAGGGTGTGATTGCTTCACACAAACACATGCACAGGTTTGAGCAGGACCACGTGCGGCAACAAACGGCGCTGTGGTAGAAAGGTTGAACATTCTCAGGCTGAAATGTCTGACACATTAAGGTCAAGTTTTTGTATAGTTCATGTTGAACGGAGAAGGATGGACGTATTTTAAAAACGGAAGCTACCAGTCCAAAAGTTAAAGGAGTTACTACAGTGAGTTTAATTACTGTGTATATTGTAGCTTCTATTTCACATCCATCATAGGCTCAAATATTCATATTATGAATCGTTATTCATGCCTAAACAATACACAAGATCCATTTTCTGTGCCTACATTCGATATATCTGCTTTCAGTGGTGCCGTACTGACGCTTCGAGAGGATCACTTGCTGATTATGTTTCTTCAAGCAAGTGCTGGGAGCGGATCCAACACAGGGAGCGGCTCAGAGGTAAACTCTGTTTCGTTTTCCTTTTTACTCCCAACAGTCCTTTCATATGGGACAAAGGAATGGGTAGCAACAACCGCCGTCCCTTTCAGCACTTACCTTGCTGGGTTGGGCCTCTGCAGCTGGTCAGGCTATAAAACGGGATCAAATAAATTGTCTGTTATATTTTACTTCCCCCTGCAGGATTTAGTAAATTCAAATTACAGATGCGCTGTAAAAGTACTGCACCCGTTTCTTTATTGCCGCCGTTTATTGTAAAGATATTAAACAGCAATATTGATGCAAGATTGATGTAAGATAGTGAACAGGATTTATCCCGGAGAACACATGTTCATGTTGTTCATTAACAACCCTGTAATGCTTCTGGCTCAACAAGCAGCCGTCTGCTGCCTCTCACTGGCCATAAACAAACATTGGAAACAATGAACATGTAACCGTCACATCGGTTAGAGAGAAGAACAAGGCCGAACCTGTCTGCGATAGTCAAAACGAAACTTACACATAAATGTCGGATGGATTAAATGGCTCCATTGAGACAATTATTAAAGTTGTGCCCACTGCCGGCCCATTGGTCAAAGACTCGCCAAAGGCTCCTGTTTCTATGTAGTCTAAGCTTTATTGAAGATATGCGAATAGGTACAAATGCAAAATGAAGTCAAACCTGTTTTTAAAAACAGGCAAAAAAAAAAAATCCCCCGTTCAGCGATTGAGTACAGTGCAATATCACAAGAATATCCTTCAAGGTAATTTGTGGAATTCCAGCAAGTTGATGTTTTCCATTCCATTTCTTCATGCCACAGTTTTGTTTGTATAGAAACTGCTCATATCTCAAGGGCTCTTGAAGCGCTTAAGAGCCGGGCACCAATGTTAGTGACCAGAACAATTCATTTATTCTGGAAGAGCACTGGTGAGCAACATAACGTGTTCACCACTGACTCTTACTGGAACTTGTATTGGTTTTTTTTTTAAAGGCAAAAGCAACACCAAACGTAAAGCAAAGCCACTTTGCCAACAGATGTGACACAGTGTTCTGTTAAATACATACAAGCATTCCGCTGCTTAATTTGGTCAACTTTAGTAGTTAAGAAATACAGACAACTTAAGTTCATCAGCAGATTAAATGCTGCGCATAAAACAGAGGCTGTTCTTTGCATCACAGACTGAAGGCCATACTCATACTACCTCATACTTCCAACATGCACATAGAGTCTAACTCGTTATGTTTTATTGTACATTTAAACAATATTTACATACTTAAAACTTCCATCTCTGGTTTGTCATACTTGTGCATTTCAAATTGCAATCATGTCGACTATCTCATTAAACTTCTCGCCTTCTCGTATAATTTAAGAATGCGCAACAAAACTTGTGAATGTAAGTAGGGGACTGTCACAGAAAGCAAACCGTAAGTGTATCAACACACGATTAATGTTTCACTTCAGCTGTAGGGTGAAAAACACCGACTACTCATAATATACATACACAATATCCACTCAAAGTGTGAGAGATCACAAGAACCACGTTGAAATCGGTTTGCCACCACAGATTCAATCAAGGCAGAAACACACAGAGGAACAAGGAGGCGGAGACAAAAGAATGGAGTTTGAAGACAAAACAGTTTTGTAATTGCCATCTTAAAAGGGATACAAGTGCAGTCATAAGTTGGCTTGTCCCAGATATCATCATCATCATCTTTATAAATAGCACATAAATGAGCAAACTGCTTGTTGAAAGGACATGAGATCTTAGTAGGAGCGGATGGCAGGAGGGACGGGGGCACACTCCTGCTCGTCCAGAGAGTTGTCGATAACGGGGCGGTACTCCAAGGTCACCTGAGATGAGACAACAACAATGGAGAAATCATACATTACTGACTGCTTAGGCCTGCCAGGTTGAGGATTGTTCTTACAGCAGCCGCGTTTCCTGCTGCGAGTGTCACAACACACAGAGTGGGATCGTACCTTTCCAGTCTTCGGGTCGACGTAGGACATGGTGTGTTTCCTCCAGTGCTGCTCGTAGGGCACCTTCTCTTGGCCCTGCAGGGGCTTTGAGTAGTCGTACTCATCGACGCGGTTCTGGAATGGTCATATTTGTTCCAACAATGTTAGCTGCCATACAGACTTCAGGAGGTTATATACACTCAAATATCCAAAATCAGTTTAGAAAAGAACTAAAAAGCTAAGCAGAGAACAACAGACAGAAGAGAGAAGCGGAGGAACACAGACAAATCCAACGGACCTTGAAGTCCTCTCTGGCGTGAGCGCCCCGGCTCTCCTTTCTCTGCTCAGCCGAGTTGATGGTCTGGACTGCGTTCAGCATCAGATTCTGCAGCTCCAAACTTTCCACCAGGTCTGTGTTCCACACAATGCCTGCAGGTGGGGGGGGGGTGTCATCATTTACAGTGCCCCACAAAGTAATACTGCTGGGGCAAATTTTGTTTGTGTGGGTTCAGACATTACACGTAGAGGCATAATTTTCTAAAATGACAATCACTACTCATACGCTTATTTTGAGGACGCGGAGTCCAACTTCTTTGAGCTATCTGCTAAAAAAGATTCACTTAATTTCACAACAGTAAAACACAAAACTTTAAAAAAATAGCTTCCAGTTTTTGTAATTACCATATATATACGTTTGAAAATAATGTTTGTAAAGTGCTTTTAAATACTATACTTTCGTAATTTTGTTGCAAAGGTAACGCAAGTCACATTTGCCACACAAAACTAGATTAGCGTCATCATCATAGAAGCGCGTTGTAATCCATCCGCCCCCGTTGGCGCCATTGAGCTCACACACAAGTGGAAGCCAGGGCAAATATAACGGCATCACTTGGAGAGATGGGCAGAAGGAGCAGTCTCAGCGGTGCATTACCTCTGTCGAACGTCTTGATGTCATCCAAAGTCTGGTAAATGGCGTCCATCTTGACGCACCCCTCCTTCAGAACGGCGCCGGTGCGGAACACTGCGGCATGGGCCTGCATGGTCTGTGAGGGAAGGCAGGAAGAACAGGATTCATTTTCATCCATAGCAGGTGTCTGTAGGGCTTAGTGAACAAAACACAGCAGGAGAACAATGGATCCGTGCCGGCGTTTGATCACATGTACCTAAGCTCTTGGAAATAATGTTTCCAATGGTGGCGACCTCTTTTTGCTTGTGTGCATGTTTCAGTGTGTACCTTCTGCATGTTGAGCCTGATCTCGGAGGTTCTCTGGCTTCCGTTGGCAAACCTCAGCTTGTCCATGTTGGCCACAGACTCCTCTCCTGCACTCGGCGCCAAAGGGGACAGTTTCTCTCCTGAGGAGCAAACAGCAACCCCAGAGTCAGCAGTGCAACGAGTACGCTACTGATGTCAGAAATAAAGCCCTCAAATGTAGCGCCGCCTGTTACCCGATATCTAATAATAACATTGCAGTGTCACGTGAAAAAAATAAAACCAGAGCAGAAAAACAGAAAGTCTTTGTTCAAACACAACTAATGGGAGGAGGTCATCACCAGGTTTGTGCTCCTCGGCGATGGTGAGGGCACAGGCTCTGCCGAACACCACCAGGTCAAGCAGAGAGTTAGCGCCCAGCCGGTTAGCGCCATGGACACTGGCGCAAGCCGACTCGCCGCAGGCATACAGCCCAGGAACTACCTTGTCCTTTCCCTCTGCATGGGTTATCACCTGCTCGGAGAGAAAGAAGAAAGCTGTGTCACTTTGTCAGGGAAGTAATTGAAAGAGAGTGAGGAGGAAGGAGGAGATGTTAGAGGAGGAAACGCGAGTGGACTTACGCAGCTGTGCACACATTACCCACCTGTCCCTTGTAGTTTGTGGGTATTCCACCCATGTTGTAATGAACCGTTGGCAGGACAGGGATGGGTTCTTTAGTGACGTCGACACCAGCAAAGATCATGGCCGTCTCCGAAATACCAGGCAGCCTTGTGGCCAGCTGCTGGGGAGGCAGGTGGTGAAGCTGCAGGTGCACATGGTCCTTTTCTGGACCAACACCCCTGAGGGAACAGATTCAGACAGGATGGATTATCACTTTTTTGCATGCACAGTTCCATCTCTCATTACATATAAGGCTGGTCGAGTTGATATATATATATATATCTCTTACCTGCCCTCTCTGATCTCGATGGTCATGGAGCGGGACACCACGTCTCTGGAGGCCAGGTCTTTGGCGTTGGGTGCGTAGCGCTCCATGAAGCGCTCCCCCTCACTGTTGAGCAGGATCCCTCCCTCACCACGGCAACCCTCTGTGATCAGACAACCAGCTCCATAGATGCCTGTAAAAGGCTCAGACGTTAGAAAGGCACTGTGATGAAATATGAACACAGTTCAGTTACTGTTCGTAAATCACGTTGAAGACACAAAATATCTGTATAGTAACGTGTAGGAATTAATCTGGTCTGTAATAATGCTTTGGGACAAGACAAACGTAGACACACTGTGTCTAAACCTTTGACTGGTATGCAGCCTTTCAAAATAAGATTCTGCTTTCATTTGGCAGCCTGCCCACTTTAGTAGACCAATTTTACAACCTGGGTTTAATAAGTTAACCTTACCTGTGGGGTGGAACTGAACAAACTCCAAATCCTGGCAAGGCAGGCCAGCTCTGGTCACCATTGCATTTCCATCTCCTGTACTAGTGTGGGCAGATGTGCAGCTGAAATAGGTTCTTCCATAACCCCTGTGAGGAAGAATATAACTCATATTTATACATGTTTGAGCTCTGTCTTACATTGACTCTAAATGACGGCAGTTAAGAGCATTTGTGCAGCAGTGAATGGTGCACCTACCCAGTAGCAATGACAGTATTCTGGGCTCTGAAACGGTGAATAGATCCGTCCTCCATGCAGAGAGCAATCACTCCTTTACACTCTCCATTTTCCATCAGCAGGTCCAGGGCAAAGTACTCCACAAAGTAACTGGTGTCGTAACGAAGGGACTGAAACAAAAAAAAGAAGGTTAAAGGGTACCACATGATACTTGAAGAAATGTGTGCGTGCACTTACCCGTCCATAAAGTGTATGCAGTAGCGAGTGTCCCGTCCGGTCTGCTACACAGCAGCAGCGATGGGCCTGGCCTCCTTTTCCAAACTTGAGACTCTGACCACCAAAAGCCCTCTGGTAGATCTTCCCATCTTCGGTGCGGCTGAACGGCATGCCAAAGTTCTCCAGCTGGGAAAGAGCAACATGTCGTTTTAGTTTTAGACGTGGCTTTAACGTGTTAACTACTACAAGGATACAGTTGTTTCTTATGAAATATAACCTCTTTTTCAGGCCTGAAAAGTACTTGTGTAAAAAAAATGTAAAAAGTTGAATGTTATATAATCTAGTTTAATGACTTGCATTCTCTTTCAGTGCCCAACATCCTGCAACTGTCAGCTAACATAACCACCGATGTGCAAGTGTCAGAGAGACCTTACCTCCACTACGGCAGCAGGGGCCTGCTCTGTCATGTAGTGGATGGCGTCCTGGTCTCCCAGCCAATCAGATCCCTTTACTGTGTCATAGAAGTGCCACCTCCAGTCATCCTCCTCCATGTTCCCCAGAGCTGCATTGATCCCACCCTATGAATCAGGTTAATATTCAGTCATTTGATACTATCCACCATAAAACCAGCATTAGCATAATACATTTGTACTGCGAGTTGGTTGAAGCTCAGTCAAATCAAAATCTGAGCATGATTGAATTCTGCAGAAACACACACACACACACACACACACACACCACACACACACAATGAACAGGTGTATCTGGTTATATCATACCTGTGCAGCGACAGTGTGAGACCTGGTAGGGAACAGTTTTGTGACACATGCCGTGTTGAAGCCAGCCTCGGACAGGCCAAAAGCTGCCCTAAGTCCGGCTCCTCCAGCTCCTACCACCACAGCATCAAACTCATGATCCACAACTGGGTACTGAGTAGAGATCTGAAAACCACAGGGGAGAGATTTTACTGATAAACATCCATTAAAAGAGCAGCTGAGCTTGACAGTGCATAGCTGAAATGTGCATCGTCACTCAGTGTTTAAAAGACTAATTTTTACAATAAAATATAATAGAATGTACAGTACTGAACCCGACCATACGGTCACACCAACTTCCCTTCTGCATGTTATTCTAACTCACATCATCTGAAACTTTGGCATTCTTCTTGCCGTAGATGGAGAAGTGAAAGTTTCTGTATCCCTGAACAGCAGCAGCAGGGACCTGGCATAAAAGAAGAAAAAAAACTGATTTTGAAGGAGACATCAGAGCGCCACGTTGATCATCATAATAGCTGCTGGTCGAAAACACGATCATCTGACGAGCAACACTGCTGCGCTGCTTCGCATGTTAAAGAAAACGGCAGGTCTACATAACACTTAAATGTAGAAAACTTTGCAAATGATGGACGCTTAAAATCAGCAATAGTCTGATCATTGACACATTCCACTAATAGCGTTGCATGGTATACTGGGACTAACTGGGACTAACGGCGAACACACGGCGGCTAAATCTGTCTCGCGCACAAGGGCAACCGAGGGGACTTTCATAACTACGCTGGAATACCACGTTATGTTGAGGGTTCACTAGAAACATTACTTTCTATGTATGTAGAGAAACAAATTGAGATGGCACAACTACGTGTAGTCATTTGTTCAACTCGCGTGGTAGCTTTTCTTCGCGGTGTCACATTGAAACACGCTAAGCTAACGTACATAACATGGGTTACGCAAGTCGGAATCTACCGGTTACGAAAGCTGTGCAGCAGAATGTCCTGCTTTCAGCGTAAAGGAGAAGACAACGGACACACTGAACCAGATATCATAGAATTGTGTTAAAGAATCGGTTTCCGACTATCAATACTCACTGCTTTTGTTTTGGGTAGCACCCTCTTTGAGAGGAGTCGGGAAGCAACGCGCACACTCGCCATGTTGTGAGTTGGAGGAGCGATTCTGAGCCGCGGTGGAGGATGAGATATTCCGCAGAAATGGGAGAAACCATTCTCCGAAAACGGGGATATCGCATATGTCACACCTCGTGGATATTCTTTGAGACACTTATTAATGATATTAAAGGTGGGGAAATAGAATGTGTATTATGTCAATCGACTCGGATAAACAAACACAACATTTAATTATAACGGTTTATAAGGTCTTTTTCCAAGTGACATTCAGTGAAATACCCGCACGGCTAAAATGGACTCCTGGAGCGTAATATTGTATAAGTAGGTGGGGTGTGCAGGAACAAATGTATAAGTGACCTAGACTTTTCATTCAAGGTGAGACTCAGCACCATATACTTAATTAAAGGAAGTAGGCCGACTTGCAGTCGGATTTACACAACTCGTATGTTGCGTGTTATGTTTACTTATTAAAAACCTCTAGAGAGCTTGAGCCAGCTAGCTAAATGATAGCTAGCATGTTAGCTCATAACTATTAGCCTTGTTTATGGTTAGCTGGAATGTCAAAGCTCCAAGTTGTCAGTCCAGTATTGTTTTTGCTGTGTTTCAAACACAGTTTGCAGTATAAAAACCACTGGATAGTTGGACCTCCGGTGTTAATTGAAACATGAGGCTTAGCAATTAACATAATAGGTGTACGGTTATGGTTAAAGCTAAGAAATCGTGTTACTGTGTAACTGTCTGTCGCTTCTGACACTCTAGCACTCGGTGATAAACACCAATACCTTCCAGACTGTGTCTAAAAATATAGCTAAATGTACACCGGGAATTCGGGTGAGTCAATCTATTACAGATGTGTTTGTCTCCCTGTGTGTTTGCGTGGCAGCCGTCTCCATGAACAACTTGAATGACCCCCCCAGATGGAACATCCAACCAGACCCCAGAGGAAGGGGGGCGGGGGCCGGCGATGGGAACCAATGGAACTACGCCCTGTTGGTCCCCATGCTGGGACTAGCTGCGTTTCGTAAGTTACTCAAAACCATAATAAGCAGAGCACATGAGCGGGTCAAGTAACACACACATGTTCACGGGAGCAGGTTGACTTTGTGTGAAGTAAACATTTTGCCTCTTAAATGTGGGGAGGTTTTTTGTTTCACTGAGACAAATTAACATATTAAATTAGGAGTTACTTGAGGTGATTCAGATTCACAGGTTATTGGTTGATTGTACACTTTTTGGCAATTGTTCGAACGCATTATCAGGATCCATGTCGGGAAATCAAATTTCAGTGATGCACAGTTTTTAATGGACAGTTACATGGTTACAATACACGGTTAATGTGCATACATGTTGCTACATTCCCCTACAGATCAGTGAGATTCCTGAAACGATTTCCCCATCAGCAGGTATATTTAATAATATATTAGCTGTTGAAATCGGGCCAATATCATATATCTCCTGTTCTAAATTCCTAGAATTAGTTCCGTAGTTTTCACACAACTAATGAACACCACTGTTTACTTTTTTCAAGAGTAGTTTGTTTGTTGATCCAAACCCAGGTTTTGATTGACAAACTGGACTAAGGAATAGCTACATGGCTTGGTTTAAACAAACCACAAAGGTTAGTTGCTAAAGGAAAGCAAATATAAAATAAATGTACATCTCAAGTCCCACCATGCCTTCAGGTTGGATCTGGACCAGGGAGTCTCAGAGGGAGATCCAGAAGGTCAAAGACCAGTATAACAAGGACGTCTCCACACTAACAAGCGAGATGAAAGCACAATATCATGATACACTGACGGAGAGGCGCAGGGCAGCGGCTACACTAGAGCTGGAGCTAGAGAAGGAGAGACAGAGGGTCAAAGGTTACAAGCAGGCCATGATCTCACAGAGCCAGCAGCTGATGGAAGAACGGAAACATTTATCTCAGGTAAATTCAGGCAAATCTAGCCTTGCAATCCATTACTGCTATTGTGCATGTCTCCCTTCCAACCTGTAGCCTCTCTGGCCCAAACCAAAACGCTGTCTTTTCCTAATAAGGAGCGCCAGTCCTTGGAGGAAGAAAAGCAAAGGCAGGTTAAGTCCGGCGCTGCAGGGGCAGTGCTGCATCACGCCCTGGAACGAGAGAGCGACTGGCACCGACGAGCCACCACAACTCTGAGGGAGCTAGAGGGTCAGCTTGTGGACCGCCAGAATGCCTACTGCTCCCCCATCCAACCTCGAGATCAGCGGCTGGAGATGGAGAAGAACATGCTGCTTAAGGTCGTCAAAGACCCGATCGGGGCGGAACTCGATCTGGAGTCCGACCTGAAGGATATTTTTAAGAGAGATAAGACCTGTGCGGACTTGCTCAATATGGACAAGAGGAAGAATGGAAGCCTCATGTGGGTGTACCTCAGGTACTGGCAGCTGCAGGTCTCTCTCCAGAAACACAAGAGAGCTGAAGAAGCTATATTAGGGGGGAAAGTCTAGTCTCAAACACAGTGACAAACCTTATGTTTTCCATTTGAATTTTGGAAGGATTGTGGATCAGAAGTGGAAAAAGCATGTATTTTTTGTGTCTGGAACATACGGGAAGTAACCCCAATGAGACAATGTCCAGCAGCTAAACTTTCCTCCTTTCATCTCACTGTTTAGAAAATAAGGGATATTAAGTCAGGATTTTAGCATGTACAAATATTGCTGTTACTTTAGAAGCCCCAGTTAAAGTTCGGTTTGTAATATTGAGATACTAGCAAGATCAAGCCAGGTTTTAAATATTATACAACCTAAAAACACAGCTCACTGTCGCCAACTTTTCTTCAAAAGTTGCTAGCTGCAAAATCTCTAAAGGTTGCCATGTCAGCAACACGAACAATCCGTTCCTTCAGCCCACCAAAACCACTCCCTCAAAAATGTCCAAATGACCACAAACAACGAACATTTACTGCTCCAAACTGTAAGTCTTGTGGAAGATTCTGGTGATGATCAACGCGCCGGAAGAATGGACACGGACAGGCCGGTCGTAGCCCACCACAAGTACAACATTTTATTTTCCTTTTTATTATTGTCAGAGCATTTAATGCATTGATTCCTGTCTGAATTAAATCAGGATTTCACCAAAACACCACCTTTTAAGACTATTAGCTTTACATTAACTTTATGCAAATGTGGGAAAATGGAAATACACTGGAATTATTCAGTTGATATCCATATTGGATGCACGACTGATATTAAATAATGTTTTACCATCGAATCCCCTGGACATCTTTTGTTAGAACATGTCTATTTAACTCATTTTCTCCGAGTGCCATTAATAACTGCTGGCTGCGTATTTTTGTTTGTCTGCTAAATGTATGTTATTTCATATTGTATGTTATTGCATTTCTTCAGGGAGAAAATAAATCACAGTGAAAACCACAGTGCTGGACATACCAGCTAGGAATTATTAACACAAATATTTTAATGTAAAATAGTACTTTGGTTTAAAGTACATTGTGCTCTTTCTCTGTAGTGTGTTGATGCCATGCGTTAAAACGTGGATGGACTATTGGAGGTATTCATCTTCATCTGTGGGGCATCCGGCTTTCCTTCTATGAATCACATCTGTCTTCACTCTGAAGTTCGTTACCATTTATGATACGTGATCCAAAGCCACTAGAATTGAGCGTCTTTGATCACTGGTTTTAAATATCTAGTCTTTAATGCAGGTGTGTGGGAGCTTTATAGCTATAAGGAAGACTGGACACTTAAGGTGCATGCAAATCTAAATAAGGGAATGGAGCACAAAGTAGTGCTTAGTACTGCAACACTATACCACAATACTGCTTTATAAAATAGAGCCCAAATGGAGCCCTTTTACTTCCCACTCCACCACTGTTTTGAAAGGATAAACCAAAGCTGTAGCATTTTTGTTTTTATGTGGACCTTAACTTGGTGATTAAATGCTGGATGTGATCTTACGGATTAAAATGTACTGACTCTGATCCCTCTGGGAAATCCTCAGAATAAATTCCTGGTTTAAGTACTTCATGTTGTGTTCTTGATTTCTTTCAAGAATCTCAAAGAGCCTCTTTCATGAGGCTTTGTTAGTTATAGAAAATCCTGACGACAATGAACTTAGTGTACAGTCATAGTGAAGAATTATTGTCAGAATGTGTTTGTGTCTCAGTCAGTTTACCACAGCATTTGTTTAGAAGGTGTAGAACACGACTCTTAACTTTTTTTAATGAAATTATTTTGTAACTGGACTTTAGTTCGGATGATACCAAAACACTGAGATAAACTTTACTTAGATAAAAGCAGTACTTGTGCAGCCTATCATTGTCACATTTCTTTTTTTTAAATGTCAGTTAAGACAGTTACACAATACACAACTTAGAAATACAATGATTTGTTTAATACTGGTGCAATAAAGACTGGACTATATTCATTGGACCTGATGAGAGATTTTCCTTGGTGAGGCTGGTTTGCTGACTTATGGCAGCCACTTCCTGTTTACCCACTGCACTTTCGCCCTCCCAATGCATGACTGGCTCTTGTTCCGTGCAGCCGAAGCTGGATGTAACATGATTTTGTTCGCTGGTTTTGAAGAATGGACGCTGTTGTTGCTGCCCAGCCTCAGTGTCTGGCTGGGACTCCTCTTCACCATCAAGTCCATCACCTGCTTGTGACTCTCCCTACGAATGCTGTCCGTCTCTGATAGAGCGAGCCTGGAATACATTACAAACACCGGACTAAACATTGTTTATCCTGTCCAAGAGAAAAAAAGATGGAAATGGGTTTGCATCCATTGTATAAATGCACATGTCAGAATGTATTAAATGACTTGTCTGCTTAAATTATATGGATTTAGGGTTCATCCCATCCAAAAAAAGTATTCACTGACTCCTTGACTGTCTCTCACATAGATCGGATGTTGCAGTAAGGAAACAGCTGAGGGCAATCAGATCACTGGCCGAGAATCATAATCATACACATTAGTCCAAAAACACGTCTGCTCCTTTGCCAAAACCATGTATTTGACTGCAAAATGCATCCTTGTGCCCACACTTTAGTAAATTTCTGTCACCGTGGAGTGAAACTGAATCAGAGTGCATGATGACGTGACTGAGCCCCTGGAAGACATGCTGGTCTCTGTTCCTAACACAACAGTACTTCCTGACTTCAGTTTTATGCTGAATCCTCACACATTTGTGTCTCTATTAAACTGTTTGGGCTTATTTTCGATTCAATTTTCATCCATTTAAAAGGTTAGAATTGAGCTACATAATTCAGGTTAAAAGTAATAAAATATTAATGGATGCTTACAGTCTTTAACCCTGTATTATGCAAATAACATCAGACAAACACATTTGTTTATTTTTAAACGTGAATAAAGTAGATACACTATTTTTTTTCTCCAAATAATAGATTTATTATCAAACAATCAAATTTATAATGCATTTCTCAGTCAGAAATATGAGTTGAGACCACCAAGACAATGATCTGATGTTGAAAATCTCCAATGACTTTGTGGCTGTGTAAGTCCTAAACCAACACACCATTCATATAGTACAGTTCACTAACATAACATGTCTGACGTGGCGATATTTATTAAAAATGCTGGTCCGACAGTTACCCAATGGAAACAAAACTCTACTACTGATTGACAAAATATGCCGTTTCCTACATCATATCAAGAATCATTGTGTCAACAGTATTAATATATTTAGCTGAACCAGGCGGGCCTCTTCCTGGCTCGCTCCACAATCCTCTTGTCCTTGTCCAGCTCACTTGGTGTTTCACCCTCATACACGACAACGGTCTCTACGGCCGGAGCCCTCAGCGGGCCGCCTTCCATCGCCGTTATCTGTTGACGAATCAGAGCCGTCTCCTTGCACACCTTTGCATAACAGAAGCCACACATGATGTGTTTCTGCTTCAAGTGGCCACACTCTGTGCACGGCTCAATGTTGTTCTGAGGGAGAGAGACAGGTACTTAAATAAAAATGAAATGACATGACAGTCTTTAAACAATCTGATGCGTCTATGCATGCCGCAAGTCATAGTAATTGTGGGACCGAAATTTCGGTGGGATCTAGAAAAAAAAGAAGAAGTTTATCACCGGATTATATTGGCGAAGACGTGGCTCTGTAGACAACAAAACAAAATGAGATGATCTGGCGTACCTTGACTTTTAGGAGGTTGTTCTCATCTCTCCTCCTGGTGCGGTTGATCTCTATGGTGCGCCTCTTCTTGGGCACGGCCATCCAGAGGATGCCGTCAGTGAGGCCAGGAGACTGCTCCTCCTGCCCATCCTCCCTGTCGACCTGAGGCAGCAGGCGGGGGCCATTCACTGCCAGAGATGGAGCTGCAAACAGGGACAACGGGGTTACTTGCTTTTTCGCTGTTACCCAATGATTCAAATGAAGAGGTCGCAAGACTACATTTTAAATTAATTAAAGCTTACACTACAAGAAAAAAAACAGTGGAATGCAGAGTGTGTGTGTGTGTGTGCGTCGCCAGTCAGGGACAGAGCTTGTATCATAGTTAGCTAACGTTAGATGTCGTCTTGAACTCCAGCGGTAAACTCACCCAGTTGTTTGTCTAACGTCAGTCCGGACGCCTGCAGAAGTCTGCTTTCAATGTGTAACAAAGAACATCTCAGGCTGTGCACAAAAGCAGCTAAATTCATCATGTTCGTCGTCAGCACGCTTTCTTTCCGTTCAACATGACAGACGGTCTCACGGTCACTGAGGTCCATGACGTCATCACACAGCGACAACCAACTGCTCTTCTTCTGTTCAAATCAGGGAGGCAACATGGATCAGGGCGTTTTACTGCAACGTAGTGGCCACTTTTTTACTTCACTCTTTCGTGTGTTTCAAGTTATTCACAAAACATGGGGATGCTTTTCAAGAGCATCCAGCAAACGACGGTGAACTTGTCCGATGGGACCAAGCTCTCATACCTAAAATGTCTTAAAATGTATTGTAGTATATCAAATAGTTTGATATATATGGTTTGACCAAATGAAATTCAATATGTTTTTATTTTTTTCGTTTCAGGTGATAATTTGATAAAGTGTATATGTAAAAAAAATGAAAAAGATCAACATTTTGTAATTTATCTCAAATTGCAACAGCAGATTTCCCTGTCTAACTTTGGTCCAATGTCATTGAAGATCCGAGTTGTGAATAACATAATAACTAGTATTTGTCACTTGTTTCTGTTGATACCGTTTAAAGTGACTTTTAAAGTGCTATCGAAAGGAAATGTAATATTATTTCTGTAATCGCATTTATTTAGTATGCATCGTTTCTCATGTACATGTTGAACACCCGCAGTGTCTACGTTGTGAGTGTAGGGGGCAGTGTCCTCATTAAAGTTGATCTGCAGCTCCTCAGTCAACACGCAGTAGAAGAAGAAGAAGAACAAGATGGCGGAACGAGGCTACAGTTTCTCCCTCACCACATTTAGGTAAACTTTATCAAAATTACCACGAAACTTTAAAATAGAATCTGAACGTTCATCCTGAAGATGCTGTCGAATCGCAGTTTTTAAAACTGTTTGCATCTCCCTTATTTTGATGGGAAAGAGAGTTGTTTTGGGTGCATTGTGGTTGGTGCACTGTCATTGTCGGGTATAGTAAAATGAATCGGCTACGTCGGCTAACGTGTTTCTAAGTCTAATGAACGAGTCAAATCACACCTTTCGTCTAATGTCGATGACAAAACTTTTTAATTTTTAATTTTTATTTCTGAGGAGTTTACTGAATAAACCAAAACCAGTCCCATTCACATGTTAAACGTTGGAGGCTAGCGTTAGCTTAACGTTAGCCAAATTAGCTCAGATGAGTCGGTTGTTTTAGCTTTTGCTTTCAGTTTCGTCCTTTGTTAATGGGAACACGCTAAATATTATTTGCATATAGCAATTTGTTGATTTTCATCACAGCATGGTGCCGCCACCTCATCATGTGTTTCTTCCTGCAGCCCTTCGGGTAAACTGGTGCAGATTGAATATGCCCTGGCAGCTGTAGCAGCCGGAGCCCCTTCAGTCGGCATCAAAGGTATGATGGATCCAACACTCTATCTAGCCTCTGATGCAAAGATGGAACACATGCACTTGAAGATTTGTTCATTGTTGACACTATGAGTGGTATCCTTTTTAATTCAGAAGCTTTGTTTCAATGGGGCAATGCAACAAAGTGACTTAGTTTGTAACTGTTGTCTGATTTATCAGAGGATGCAACGGTAATCTTTTTGGGAAGGTGTATTATTCTAAATTACAAAAATTTAAATCAACACAATTGGCATGGACACCTTTTGTACGGTATATTGCTACGCCGTAAGCCGTAGTTCTCCTGACATTTGCTCATTGACCAGGATTTATTATGACGCTGGTTGTGATGATCTTTCATTTTCAGCTTCTAATGGAGTTGTCCTGGCAACAGAGAAGAAACAAAAGTCCATTCTGTATGATGAGCAGAGTGTTCACAAAGTGGAGCCCATCACCAAACACATAGGCATGGTCTACAGCGGCATGGGGCCTGACTACAGGTGGGAACTCTTTACTTGGAGAAGCCTAAGTAAAACCAAGCGCTCGAATCGTGTCTTTTCTAACTTTGGACCAACAATTTCTACGGGATGTCAGACTGCCTTTCCAAGCGACAAATGGGAAGATGCTCAGAAGCGGATAAAATCTCAATATTAGCCTCATTGGGTTTGTTTTTTGCAGGGTTTGCAATTTTAATTACCATTCAGGACTTTATTGGCCTTGTATGTAAGCCATCTATTGGATGCCACGTGTAGTAGATGGGTTTTTCTGTGTACTGAACTTCATGATCCGGTAAATCAATAAGTGGTGTCTTCCTTTTAGGGTTTTAGTGCGACGAGCCCGGAAGTTGGCTCAACAGTACTTCCTGGTTTACCAGGAGCCGATCCCCACAGGTCAGCTGGTCCAGAGAGTGGCCTCCGTAATGCAGGAGTACACACAGTCTGGGTAACTATTTACATAGATGCATCAATACACACGTTTCTTATGAACTTATCACCTTTTATATTTCAGATGATTAAGATATTTCTTAATTTATTGTGTTTTCTTCCAGTGGGGTGCGTCCGTTTGGTGTTTCACTGCTGATAGCCGGATGGGATGAAGACCAACCCTACCTGTTCCAGTCAGACCCCTCCGTACGTTGTCCCACTTTTTTTCATATGTGTTGAATAACATTCGTCTTAGATTTATTTACTCTTTAGCTCAATGTTTAGTTGTCATGTTTTCTTAAAAGAGCTCCGACAGCGCATTAACCCTGCGTTGCTATAATAATAATAATAATAATACAACTACTCAACTACTTTATAATGCTCTTTCAGAAGTATCTGTATCGTGGTCTGTCACAGAAGCATAATTTTCCCTATTTGTTTCTGACCAGGGTGCATACTTTGCATGGAAAGCCACCGCCATGGGAAAGAACTACGTTAATGGAAAAACATTCCTTGAAAAAAGGTACGATTTTACAGCACACAGTATGTAGACTTATGACAGCACTTCAATCTTGTTTCAGTCTGGGTTTTTTTACCTACCTGTGATCCAATAATAGAGACTGAAAAATGCACAGAAGCCTCACTATCTAATAAATATAATAAATAAATATAAATATATAAATATAAATCATATCATAATATAAATTTGTAGTACACAACTAAGATGACCCACCATGGTAACTACCTCACTACAGTTAGGGAAAACCATGCAAGTTTTACTCTGACTTGATTCTAGTCAGGTACATTGCCAGTAGATTACTGTTTCACTTCTCAGGACCATCCTGCCAAATACATGAGAAAAATGAATAAATTATTATAGCAATGAATTGCAACGTCAATATACCCCTGTTGGCTTTAATGATGAATATAAAATAAATATGCAGCTCGCCCTACAACGTCTGCCATTTTAAATCTAAACGTTATGTTTCTGGGCCATAATTCCTCACTACACTCCTTTGACCTTTACTGGTGCAGGATTGTCTCCCACATACATTGTTATGTTTAAAAAGTTGATCTCTGACTAGATAATTAGATCTCAATGGCAGAACAGTTCTGTCTCTTCCTGATTGGTGAGAGGATATTTAACCATAACTGGTCAAGTATTCTTTTTTTTCATTGACAATTCTTGAACACGTATAAATATAACTAGCATTGCAATTGACACTGCATCATCTAGTTCAAGCAGCCATTTTAGTAGTAGCTCATTTGCCCGCTAGATGGCAGCCTAACAGTTAGTGACTAGCTGATGTACAGTACACAAAAATGCACATAGCTGAGCTGTTTGGGACAGCTGGCTCACAACTCTTTAAGAGTTACTTTACGTGTTGTACACTACACAGATTGCTTGATAACTACTTTTGCTTTTTGTTCTCCAGGTATAACAACGATCTGGAGTTGGAAGATGCCATTCACACAGCCATCTTGACATTGAAGGTTTGCTATTTGTTATGAAAATAGGTGTTTGTCCTGTTGTTTTGTTATCGGTCATTTACACTCTCCTGCCGCTGTTTCAGGAGAGTTTTGAAGGTCAGATGACGGAGGAGAACATTGAGGTGGGGATCTGCAACGAGGCCGGCTTCAAAAGACTCACACCAGCGGAGGTGAAAGACTACCTGGCAGCGATTGCGTGAACACACCCTCCCTGACGGCAGGGCTCTCTGGCCACATTTCGAGACGTAACAGCAAAGTAGCAAACAGTGTCACGTCACAATATTGTAGACCAGTTATTCAGACAGTTTATCCGCATCGTGTTTCCGTTCAGAAAACATAAGAGGCTAAACTTCACTAAAATGATTAAATGAGTAGAATCAGACCGCCTGTTTGGGATTACGCCCGGACCTAATTTACTTTAAATGATCAACTTTTTGTGTGTGCGTGTGCGCACACAGAGCCTGTGTGGCAGCCGCTCACAACTGAACTGACCAAACCCCATTAGTTGTGGTGAGATGGCAAACTAATTTGATCATATAACTAATTGGCTTCGTTGTCAAACACACACACCCTGGTACTGTGACGTGTGTCCGTTGGCTGCTGTGCATGTGCAAAGGAATGTGGCCTTTGATGAGTGAAACCTCAAGTCTTTTGTTGAATCCTTAAATTTTCATATTTCTCAATACTGTTGCAAAGGCATTGTTGTTGGATAACAAATCACGCACTGTTGCTCTAGGAAAGTGTTCAAAATGGGATTACCTGTAACTGAAGTGAGATGTTTGTTGGTTGAACCAAAATCAACTCGTTAAACTGGTAACAGTTATTAAAGACAACAAAGCGCATTGGTGTCTGGGGTGATTTAGTCATCTTCAACATTTTACATTATTCTCCTGTCTGCACGTCATTCGTATCCCACAAACTTGGTTATTAGGACCAATAGAAGGTAAGGATTGCAATGTAAAGCTTTGTGATTTTACAGTTAAGATCTGGTTGCCTGTACAGCAGTTTTACACGATGTACTTTTTTTCAGGCTAGAAGCAATTCTAGAGTTTGTATTTTCTCTTCTGGTATCTGTCACTTATTCAAATAAAAGATGAGCTGATATCGTTTCTCATGTACTATCGCATTAATTCCGTAGTTGAATGTTTAAAAAATTAGCTCCCAGAACGTGATGTGTGTGTGTGTGTGTGTAGATGAAGAACGCGCGAAAATGCGCACTTTGGATAAGACTCGCGCGCTGACATCAACCGGAACACCTTTTCAAATCGTATTTGTATCCTTCCGCTTATTTTTACGTTTGAAAGAAAACACGAGTTATTTAATGACAAAAGGAGTCAAATAGAGAAACGGCCTACATCATAAATCTGGTCAGTGAAATGTATTTTTAAAATATAATTTTATTATCCCGGCTTCTTTCGCCATTTTGCGACGGGATCTATTTTTCCTGGCGCTAGCGCTAAGCCGCTTACCTCATAACCCACGATGACGTTTATGGCGCCAGAAATCAAGGCTCCGCGAGGAGCTGCTGTTGGTCAGCTGGCCGTTAGCGCCCGTCTCTGTGCTGGCGGCACCGCAAACATTGTACAGTTCAAGGCGGAATAGAGGATTTTTATCCGCAGTTCGTGCTAATACGAGGTTGGGTTTGGGGTCGAGATGGTGATACTACGCAGCAGCAGCGGCGGCGGCGGAGCTGAGCCCATCGCGACCACTCCGAAGAGGAGGACGATGGAGTTGGATACAAGCTCCGAGTTTCTGTCGCTTCTTCCCGCGTCGCAGAGAAAGTCCACCCGGCTGACCCGGTCCTCGCAGGCCCTGGACGACAGCTTCAGCAGCCCGGAAAACCACATGACCAATGTGAGCATAAACACCGAGGCAGCTGGCTAAACAACCAGATCGCCTTTAAGTTGGTGTGCAAACTATTGATGGACATAAACTTTACTGGCTAGTTTTGCTAGCGTGCTAAGCTAGCTAGCCACCTGGTTAGCTTCTCCACATAACGTTAACCGACAGGTTAAATAACATAACGTTAAATAAGCATTTGTAGTCCCTGCAAATGTTTTACTCCGATTCGCTTGTCTATTGGATTAACGCTACTGGACTATTGTTATTTTAATGTTTGGGTGTTGGTGGGTGTCGTTGCCTTATAGTTACCAATGTTGAAACCCGTTACTGGACTGAAACGTTTTCTGTCATAACGGGTCTGTTTTATGTTATTTGGTGAGGGCCTTTTGTGGGATCTGTTGATTCGTTTGATAAACTTTATAAAATAAGTGAAAAGATGCGCTGTCGCTATAGTTACATGCAAACATTAATGCCTTAATAATCAGGTGTCTTGAATAAGTCACATGTACATACTTAACAGTTACATGTCTATGATTTATGAACATTTACAAATTGTAAAATATAATCCAAAAGACAGTGATTAATGGGAATTTCAAACAAGCAGACATGCATCAGTTGTCCACAGTGTAAATGTGTTTTCTTTTGCAGGGACATGCTGATATGAAGCCGGATGAGGGAACCGAAGCTCATCACTCCCGAAGGACCCGAGGACAGCGAGTTAAAGAAGGAGTGTCTTTTGCTGATCTGGAGCTAAAGACCAGCTCCGTAGAGGGATGCCTGAGGTAATCCAGGCTCTCGCCTTGATATTTTGAAATGTTTGATACTCTAAACCAGCCGCTCTTGTATCTTGTGTGTCGGTGTGAGTTGTTTCTGCAATCAGACGTGTTTTCTCAGCAAACTTTGTATATAAAATCTGCTCAAGTTATGTTTGGTATTGTTGTTTTTTCTTGATTATGCAAAATGAGTTCAAACATTCTTTGAGCCAGAAGATTATTAATTGTCCCAAATATTTCCTAAACTATTTTATAAAGATTAATTACCGATACCGCTCCAAATATATGCTTACAATATAGAATCTGATGAGGAATTCATTTTGAAATCTTTTATCTTCAGAAAGTCTTCCAGGCTGCAAAGGGAGGGAAAGGTTTCCATGGCCAAGCAGCAAGCAGGTACCGTTTGCTGCACTGCATGTCTTAACGTATTTACCAAACCACATACATTCAGTGTTCTGGAGGATCCATACTATTACTAAACTGGCAATAACGGTTTCTGTTGCCCCAGATGTTTCAGATAAGGTGGAGGGCTCATCCACTCCCAAGAGGAGTTGCTTTGACCTACAGAGCCGAGAAGAGGACGAGGAAGAGGATCGTTCAGTGCGACGTAGTTCCCGAATCACCCGATACAAACTGGATTCCCGCAACCAGTCCGTGCTCTACGACCGCCTCATCACCAAGTGAGTTCAGCAACAATCCCTCAAGCTTTGTTTGGCTCCGACCTTCCAGCTTCAGTTAAACATAAAGTGGTTCTTGTCTAACAAACAACTTGACATACACAGCAGACAGTGGGTGTTGATTTGAGTGATTACATTAGAGATTAAGTGTTCGTTGTTTTTTCTGATTGTCTCAGCACTGCTGAAGCTGTCCTCCAGAAGATGGACGACATGCAGAAGATGAGACGCAGACAGAGGAGCAGAGAGAGGGACAATGTAGAAGAGGTGAAACATAAATCATTTTAAAACAGCAAACCTCATTTCAAGCTCTGTTTTATTGTGGAATCTTAGTTTTTATGTTGACAGTGGGTGGTATTGATAATTAATTATGCCTAATAAGCTTCTAAACGGAATCATTCAACATTTGACCTGTTTCCTCTGAGCAGATCGGTATGTACACCAGGGGAAGAGTGACTAGGTCTCTGAGGACAGATGTGGAGATTAAGGACACAGAGGAAGAGAATGAAGGTAAAACAAATTGGGTTTAATAAGAGTAACTGTGGATGTTCTACACCTGACAGTTGCTACAGCCAATGCAAGGGCATACGTCTCACATGAGTGACATATTGTTTAAATTGTTTGAAATTATAATGCTAACTATTTTATTTAATTCACAGGAGGCGATGCGGAAGATCACAGCAAAGAGGGGGGTGAAGATGTAGAAAAAGATGAGGAGGAAGTTGATGATGATGAGGAGGAAGAGGAGGAGGAGGATGACGACGAGGAAGAAGAAAATCAGAGGCGTTATGACTTCCGGCAGCGAAAGACTGTGGTCCGCTATCAGGCCCCACAGGACGGTACTGCATTGGTTCAACTCAATGTTTTTGGAAATTTTGATTTAATTTACCTAATTGAAAACCTGAGCGCGACCTTATGCGAGGATCCATGCAGGTTTGGCTGCTCTATAAGATACACCAACGCAGAAATTGGATCAATCTTGAGTATTCTTAAAGCAGATTTGGCCCCAGAGTAAATAGATGAATTACATTCAGTACTTTGTCATTTGTGAAAGCTGAACCTTTGTTTGATTAATCCCATCCTATTAAATACTTTTTGTCATTGTTTCTTAGAGCCCAGAGAGCCCAGGAAGCGCAGCATGTACTTCAAGGACCATTCTTCTCCTTCTAGACGCAGGTTTAGATTCAGCTCCACGGCCCCCCGGAGCCCCTACACCAGGAGGAGAACCAGCAGGTGAGTGTGAGCTCACACTCCCTCCGTCATAAGCCTCACATACAAAACATCTGCCAACAATCTATTTTTTTCAGTTTACACCTTTGGTTGTGATGTATACATTATAAATTTGATGAAAAACAGAACATTCAAATTATCCCTGCATATAAAATCAATCCCTAAATTTGTCTTTTTTTTCCTCTCTCTGATTTCTCTTCATGCCGTCCTCAGGAGTAGTTCTGAGAGGTAGGACCCTCACTTCTTGTTCATGTTGGTGTGTGTAGTTAGTTTGTATTCTGTTTTTGTGGTTTGCTATTGTTAATTTGTAAACAAAGACCCATTGTTTGATTGCTGACTTTATATTAGCCAGTATGTTCTGTAATTTAGTCGTTTGAATAGTGTCTTCGTTTTCTACTGTTGAGTATTGTGCAGGTGGAGTTCTATTAGTCACGGATGGTGCTGATGTCACTTATAGTTTTTGAATGAACGCAGCATAATCAAATATTCCCTTTATTTCCTAAATCAATGCATTATTACTGTGTATGTGTAAAGACTGCCACACTTACTGATGAATGGTGGTAGTGTTGTTAATGATCAACCGTTGCCTAAATTAGGTTGGGATTCCTTGTTGATAAGCTGATAATCATAATGACATTGATAGTGGGAGAGATAATGCTGCTTCTATTGCCTTCGCAGAAGAAGACACGCCATCCACAGTAGTGACTCCACTTCTTCATCTTCCGACGATGAGAAATTCCAGAGACGGAAAAGTAAGAACAGGAGCTTGTCAGTCAACAGGTGAGCGCAGCATCAGCAGCTGTTGTACAGTAAGATCGTGTGGAGGACAGAAGGTTTGAAGCGGTGGTCACCAACCTTTTTAAAGCCCAGGCTTGACTTACAACATGGAGCTTTTTATCCCCCCTACTTGTAATAAAATGAGATCAAACAAATTAATGTGACCAAGAACACACTAAATGACCTAATATCAGTGCACCATGTTAACCACCCACAACATGAACAAGAAAAAACACATTTGCAATGAGCAGGCTGGAGGAACTGCCAATATTAACGGTTGTATTTATCAACTAAAGTTACAACACAATACTTACATTAGCTGCACTGACTGAGTGCAATTCAGCTGTGTCCCATCACAATGCCATCAGAAGTCATGTGACTCCAGTCAGTGTGTATTGCAGCATTGTTTATGTTTTCCTTTTGTCCCTGCAGATGTCTGCCTATGAACCTTGTGAAAGAAGATCTGCTGGGCATCCACAAGGACAGGATGAAGATTGGAGCCAGCCTTGCTGATGTGGACCCGATGCACATCGACAAGACGGTACGTCTATAGGTGGAGCGACGCATACACAGGGTTGACCGTGACTCTGTGTTGAATTGTTGGTAAACTTTGCATTGATATACACTTTCATGGCACTTCAAGGTGAGGCATTAAAAACAACAGGCAGGAGATACTATATTTCAAATGTTTTAAATGTATTATTTCATTTGAATGGACATAGTCTATGTCAATTGTAAGACGCCACTTTCTGAATGGTTATTAAGAAATCGAAGCCTGTACTCCTGCTAATACAATGCTAATAATTGTAGAGTCAGTAGTATTCTGAGCAAACAATCTGAACATAACGCCTTTTGTCATCCAGGTGCGGTTTGAGAGCATTGGAGGTCTGAGTAGACACATCTCTGCGCTGAAGGAGATGGTGGTGTTTCCTCTCCTCTATCCAGAAGTCTTTGAGAGGTTCAAGATACAGCCTCCCAGGTAAGTGTGTGCGTTTGTTGAGAAGATCACATGTGATAGTGGTCCAGCTTTACATTCATGTGACTTAATATCACATCTATTTATAGAAACGTAGTAGATCTATGAAGTTAAAGCCGTTACATACCTGACATACCAAGTTATATTTTTCTGGCAGACCTATAAAAAGAGTTTACAGTACATTTGATTGTACTGGTTGCAAGAATTTCCATTATTGTTCTTTGACATACTTCCTCCTGTCTTTAGGGGCTGTCTATTTTACGGTCCTCCAGGCACAGGGAAAACCCTCGTAGCCAGAGCGCTGGCCAACGAGTGCAGTCAGGGAGAAAGAAAAGTGTCTTTCTTTATGAGGAAAGGAGCCGACTGCCTCAGTAAATGGGTTGGAGAATCTGAGAGACAGCTGCGGTTGCTTTTTGACCAGGTAAACAACCATCAACATACACACTCTGGGATGGATGGAGATCATCCGTTTTTGCCTGTTTTCCCGTTAACTCACTAGATTTTGTCACATTAATTGGTGGATTAGGAAGTAAATCAGTTATGCAATCTGCAACTGATAGAACTCTTTGAATTGTTTCTAGGCGTACCAGATGCGACCGTCCATCATCTTCTTTGATGAGATTGATGGTTTGGCTCCAGTCAGGTCGAGTCGCCAGGACCAGATCCACAGGTGAGCAGCATCCCTCTTCCCTATGCTGTACAGCTCAGGTGTGGGGATTGTACTCTCACTAGATTAGTGAGTGTAGGATGTACACAAATCTTTCATCTTGTCATGTGGTGGGTTTCTTTTTCCATTTAGTCACTTTAGTCACAAACAAAATGCATTTTACTCCGCACTGCTTTATTTGTCACCACTAAATGGTTTTGACAAGTTGGAAAGCATATTCTCAAGTCTTTTCCTGTCTTCGTAGTTCCATTGTGTCAACCCTGTTGGCCCTCATGGATGGATTAGATGGCAGAGGGGAGGTTGTTGTGATCGGAGCTACAAACAGACTGGACTCCATCGACCCAGCACTGAGAAGACCAGGGCGCTTCGACAGGGAGTTCCTCTTCGGCCTGCCGGACAGAGAGGTGAGTAAGATGTCCTGTAATGCTCGGCAGGGATTAAACAATGGAGAGAGAGAATGAACATGTCAATTGATTTTGGGCTGAAACAGTCGAAGCCTCTCGGCTTTGAGCTGCAGCCTCTGAAGTTGATCTTATGTTGTACGACAGGCGAGAAAGGACATTCTGAAGATCCACACCAGACTGTGGACTCCACCACCCGCCGACACTTTTCTGGAAGAATTGGCAGATAAATGTGTTGGTACGTTTTCATTATAATGGTCCAACAGCTGGAAAAATACACGTCCCTGGTAAAAATAACAATTGCATTCATTCTAAATTTGAAAACACTATATAACTTCATATAACCATCAGAGAAATTCATATTTATCATTTTAGTGCAACGTCTACTGAGCAAAGACACCACAGATTGTGCCCTGATTTTCTTCAATCTGTCTTTTTGTTTGCCAGGTTACTGCGGCGCAGACATAAAGGCCGTTTGTTCGGAGGCTGCCCTGTGTGCATTACGGCGTCGCTACCCACAGATCTACTTCTCATCCCAGAAGCTAGTGCTCGATGTCGACTCTATCGCCATCATAAGCAGAGACTTTATGTCGGCCATGTCCAAGATGGTGCCTGCTGCACAGAGGTATAACCAGACTAACTATAAAATAAAAAAAACGTTTTAATAGTGTAACATTTTTTTTATATTCAGTCCCTGCTTTTCACATTTGGTTCTTAACTAATTATGACGCTAATTGTGATCCTCAGGGCAGTGGTGTCACCAGCCAAGGACCTGATACCTGCCATTCGTCCTCTGCTGAGCGCCGCCCTACAGGACGTCATCCATACGGTCAGCCGACTGTTCCCACACGCTGAGCAGTGCTTAAAGAGGAAGAGAGAACAAGGTGCATTGTTTTTCTCATTTACTATCGCATTTATTCCGTCCCTAGTCTGTTTCGTTTATTGGCAAATTAATTTCCCCGTTGTTTATAATCACAGATTGACCGTTGATCTCTAGGAGTTGCAGTAACTGATATATGGAGTGCTTATTTCCAGATGTGGCCCGTGGTGTGTCTGAGGACGACCTGATGTTCAGTGAGGAGGAGGACTCAGAAGTTTGCGCCACTGGAGAGGCCGCTCACTCCCACCTCAAAATACCTGCTGTCCAGGGACCCCTCAGCCTCAACAGGTTTGTTTTTTGGAATGTCATGCAGGGGTTCATTTGTCCCTGCATTCTTTTAGACAATGTGTTTATTCAGAAATATTGTAGTGGCTTTAACACTATTCAATATGGTATTAGGCCACCGAGGGGCGAAGAGGGGAACCTTTCAGACGCATGTTCAAGGCTACAAAAACATTCATGCAATGTCCAATGCAACTATTTTTGATACCTAGATTGCATGATTGTCAGCGATATTGACGATGCTCTGCTACATATGAAATCAAGCGCTTCCTGAACTGTCAGCCAACCACCCGGTGCAGATCAAGGTGGGAGGTGTCGCGTGCGCACCCTGCAGCGGCAGCCTCAAAGAAAGGTCTGTCTGCGGTGGACTCCGAAGTTAGTAGAAGAGTAGCGAGACAGACAACAGAACAGGGAGCAGACCACACGGGTGGGAAAGGTAAATCAAATATCAGGAGCAGAAGGCGAAGAGCTAGTCCCTTAAAAGGATCATCGTTTTTGGGATTAAAAGGAAGTGGTGTGGAGTGTAGTTTTTTTTATTATAAAAAGACGTGTACACTAGCTGGAATGTAGCTCAACATGGAAATGAAAGCAGTGCTCTGTTGATTTTAAATTTGGGTAGGCGGCCCCGGGGAAGACCCAGGACTATGTGGAGAGATTATATCTCTGCACTGACCTGAGAACTTCCACAGATAAGGACAAGTCTGAGTCTGGCAAAGACGTGTACATCCGCTAGAATGTAGCATAACAATGGAAGTGGTTTCCCATCCACACACATCTGCTTTCCATCATTAAGCACTAACCTATATGCACTGTCACATCAATGTCCTCCCTTGTGTTCAATCTCATAACTACCTGTGTGAATTCAGCCAGTGTTTCCCTCAAATATTTACACGCGCCTTTTCTACCTCCTCGCTGTCTGTGTGATCTCTCGGTGTGTAGGAGTGTGCTGAGCCAGCCCACCTCGTACCGCCCCAGGCTGCTGTTAGAGGGCAGACTAGGCTCCGGTCAGAGCTCCCACTTGGCTCCTGCTGTCCTCCACACTCTGGAGAAATTCACTGTGTACACGCTGGACATGGCCGTGCTGTTCGGAGCCAGCGCAACCGCACCGGAAGAGACTTGCGCTCAGGTAAAAGAGACACCAGGACACAAAATAATACTGTTGTTATTAATGCATATATTTCGGCACTTTTTGCAATAGGGACGTCTTCAAGTTGGGTTCTATACATTAAGGAGGCCCTTGATTCTTAAGAACTGCAGGTGACTAGAGGAAGGCCCGATATTATTAAATATAATATTATAAATATTTAACTTTGTCATTCAAACTATCTTGACTATTATCTTATGACCAAAAGAGCCTGGAAGGCGTTCACATCAGGGTTCAGGGTTTAGGGAGGACTTTGGGATTGGGCCGATTTTGCAGCCATGTCAAATTCAGTGTGTTCATTTCCGTGGACCTCACTGGCCAAAATGGCTGCCACAGTGACTGTAGTTCATGGGCCCCACCTCCCTGCATGGTGGACTGTGGGGATAGATATGTACTACAAACAAATATTTGAATGCAGAAGAAATGTTCTAGTTCTTTTTATTTTTTTAATATTTTAACATTTCTTAAATTGAAATATTTTAGTGACTAAATGACAGATTAAATTGAGCAGAAACCTTTTCTGCTCAGTCTCAAGTAGGGCCTCTGCCGCTGTAAAGTCTGTCAATCTCTAATCAGGGGTGCGAACGTGTCACCTTTCGGCGAAATTCGCCGTTTTTGTTTCAAAATAGGTCATTTGTGTGATTCATGTAGATCTGCAATAAAAATATTTTTTGGGGGGGTCCGGTCCTCCAAGTAATCTGCGAACGCTGTCATGAATATTTTTTTCAAGCTTGTTCGTTTGGCCAACTCGTGTCATCATGTCATCTTCGGGTCTATAGCTGCCTAGACGCCGTAATAGACAGAAGTGACGTTGGTACGCTGCAAGAACGTCAGTCTTTCTAACGTAGGCTAACGTGCTAATGTCAGACAGTTGGCTGACAGACGCCTCGCAAATCACATCAACCATTTTTGCTGGTTGCAATAACGGTGTTATTGAATAGTACAGTGTCTATTTCTCTGGAACTTTTGAAAAATCTAAGCGAGAAAACGACAAAAAATGTACCTACCTTCACATTAAAAAATCCTAAAACAAATAATGGGAAATCAACGAAGAAATCAAAGGCTTACTCTGATATCAATGTAATGTTAGTGAATGAGGGGTGAGAAGCCCCCTCCCTCTTGCTAATATTTATTCTGTTCGTCCAAAGCGAAATCTATTCTTGAGGTTCCAAACATTTCCAAAGCAATTTGTCTTTGAATGTGAGTAGTCGATCGAGTCATCTTATGTCCCGTCGTTTGAAGCAAACCTTTTAGCTCTGCCATTGGTCTCCCATTATTTATTTATAACGTCACTGGAATGGAAGTCCATTTTCCAGGCTCTTGCACGCCCCCTTCATTGAGGCAGAGGTTAGGTTTGCCTTCCATATGTGCTTTTTCACTTTGTCACCCCTGCTAATTTCCATCCAATACCTTTTTGATTTATGCACTTGGCCTTCATTATAACCGTGGTAAATTCACCCACAACATTATTGTGTCCATGTTCTGCAGATCTTTGTTGAAGCAAAGCGGACCTCTCCCAGTATCCTGTACATCCCTCACATCAGCCAATGGTGGGAAACAGTGGGTCCGACCTTAAGAGCCACCTTCCTCAGCCTGCTCAGCTCCATCCCTCCCTTCGCTCCAATACTGCTTCTGGCTACATGCAACCTGCCGTATAACGAACTCAGTATGGAGGTATGGAAGCGAGAAGGGATGCCCTGTTGACCCTTAGAGGTGATACGTGAGGGCGCATCGTTTAATACGTTGTTGTCGTGTGACAATAATGTCGATAGGCCTCATTTTCTCTTAGAGATGCATACAACACTCTGCTGTGAGTCCTCTCTCACCTTTTTCATTTGTCTTGTATCAGGTGCAGGACTTGTTTCGGATGGAGTATGGCGAGGTTTTCCACGTCAAGGTCCCCACCAGCAGAGAGAGAAGAAACTTCTTTGAGGATCTAATCCTCAATCAGGCTGCCAAGGCCCCTGCCTCAAAAAAGAAAGCTGGTGAGAAATGTGCTTAAAGAAGAGCGATCTAAGATCGCTGTGTGTGTGTGTGATCTATTCAGCATCTTCCGCGCAGGTGTTTTTTCTAAGCCAATTGTCACTTACAAGCATAATTTTACGCCCTACGCTCTTTTCCGCGTGGTGATAGTGGATCCAATAGGAACAGTGGTTGAAACGGGCAGATCGGCCCAGCCGTGAGGCCTGCACATAAGCCCCTCCTAAAGAAGTTTATCTTCACTCTTATCAAAGTAAAGGCGAGGCGAATGCCTACGAGTGGAAACCGTTTTAAGAAATGCTTTAAAAATGTTCATTACAAAAGTGAAAATAAAGTAAAGGCAATTTAGTTGAATATGGCCTGACACTGAAAGCATCATGAAATGAATGTTGAGTGTTTGCTGCTTAAATTCACTTCTCATTCTGTATGCATCTATCAACGTTCCCCCTTCTGAAGTGCTCAATGCATTGGAGGTGCTTCCTGTCGCCGCTCCACCTCCCCCACGTCAGCTGACACCAGAAGAGACCCGGAGACTGGAGGAGCAGGAAGAAGACACCCTCAGGGATCTCCGCCTCTTCCTGCGGGATGTCACCAACCGCCTGTCCCAGGACAAACGTTTCAAGGCCTTTACAAAGCCTGTGGATTTAGAGGAGGTAGCTGTGTATTGTGTCATTGTATATTTCCGTATAAAGTTTCACTATCCAGTGTTCCATTTTCCCCCTTTTCCCCACCAATGTACTCAGCGCGGCCTCGTTGTCATGTGTTTTAGGTGCCAGATTACGCTGAGGTGATCAAGAAGCCAATGGACCTGTCAACCGTTCTTACTAATATCGACCTCCATAAGTACGGCACGGTCAAAGAGTTCCTCCAAGACGTGGATCTCATCTGGCAGAATGCCCTTGAATACAACCCAGACAGGGACCCCTCAGGTACACGCATACTCGCCATCCTCACCGACGCATATGCAGCATAATACTCAAGTTATATCGTTTTAAACCGGTTTTCTTCAGACCGTCAGATCCGCCACAAAGCCTGTGCCTTGAAGGACAGCGTCCACGCCATCATCAGAGATGAACTGGATGAAGATTTTGAGAAGATATGTGTGGAGATGAAAGCGTCCCGCAGCACAAGAGGTAAATGCTGTGTGTGTTTGTGTTTGCAGTTATGTAGATAAAAGATAAATGCGATCAACTTAATTAACACGGTGCTTGTCTTAATATTACCTGCTGACTGACTCGGCTCAGTGACCAATATCTAATGGATGATTTTGAAGAAAACAACCCCATACTAAGTTTATGCGTTTTAATTTGATACAACTATATTTTGTTTACATAGATTCATCCACCGCTTGCATGAATTTGTCATCCATTTATCTTCAAGAATACCTTTTGTACAATTGCATCCACTAAAAACTGAACCCTGTCTTTTTGTATTTTTTGAAATTACTTCAGATTGTTCCACGGCCCGGTTTGCTCCGTCCTTTTACCACGTCCTTCCCAAACCACCCAGACGTCCTGCTGAGGCGAACATCACGGCCATAAGTCCACAAAGAGAGCCAGCTGGACCCACAGCTGCAGTCACTTCCAACACAAGTGCCTCTGCTGTTACAACATCTAAAAACACAGGTAGTGTAACAAAATAAAATGATTAACTCCGATTTTTTTATGTGAGAGTTATTTTAGTGTCTTTTGTTCCTCCAGCACAAAAGAAGAAAAGACGAAAGAGTCGCTGGTCCGCTGGCTTGTATTCAAAGAAGAAGTCTCCCTGCTCTCCTCACATGTCCAGAGATGAAGCCCACTTAGGGTCGGATGACGAAGATGTGGACAACGAGGAGGAGGAGGAGGAGGAGGTTGAGAAGGGAGGAGGAGCAGAGTTTGATGAAGGGACTAGAGGAGAGGAGGATCAGATGATGGTTGATGTAGAGTCAGGGCCTGCAGCGGCCCATGAAGGTCGCTCTGGGTCGGCTGTGAAGGAACAGGACAGTCCGGAAGGACGAGAGGAGGGTCAAGCTGCTCGAGAGACGGATATCCAGAGTGAAGGGGTGAAGGCTGAAGAGAAGGAAAAAGAACTGGTGCATGAAGTTGTCATAGTTCGACCAGGACAGTCAGAGAACAAAGTGTTGATTAAGGCAGGAAACGAAATCGGTGAAGACATTTCCCCTAACACTAAGAAGGACAGCCACACCAAGACAGAACAAGATGCCCGGCAGCAATCAAAGCTGACGGAAACTGAGAAATGTCAAAGTGTAATACAGGAAGGAGACAACAGAGTAGTTTGTGTAGAAGACGCAGAGCAGAACAGGCCTGCTGAACCAATGGAGGTGGAAGCAACCGATACCGTAACCACAGACGCCTCTGCAGCTACTAGAGGAGACGAAGGTACAGGTCTGATACTAACAACATCTTGCTTACACCTAAAGTTGGCTCTTTAACTTACATGCCTGCAAACATGTCGCTTTTCGGCTAAATCCGCCACTTTGAAATCAAACTAGGTCATCCATCGTGGTTGTGCGGCAGACTGTCATTTATTACAATGGTTTAACACTTGTGTTTTCTGTGTCTTAGAGAAGAGTGTGAGGCGCGTAACCCGGGCTCTAAAGAGCGCTGTGCAGCACCAGGTGATCAATGTGGACAAAGCGCTGCAAATCTTGCACCAGGAAACTCCTCCTCTGGTAGTGGACAGAGACAAATTAAAGGTGTGTGGCTTATTCTTTTGACTCTTTGTTGGTTGTGTGATGGTTTTTACTCTTTCATCTTTATCTAATTCATAAAAGCTTTTTACAAACGGGCAGAGAGACTAGGCTACTTTAAGTAATCCTTTAGCTAGCAAAGAGAAAGTAAATCTAGATCAATCCTCTTTGTCTTTGCTTTCTTCCTCATTTCTGCAGGAGCTGCTGGACAGAGTAGTGATCAAGACTGAAGGGTACGAGGTCTACAAGCTGGAGAAACTCTATGCGCTGCTCTGCCAGAGCATCTATAGACACAGACGAGACTACGAAAAAACTACACTAATACAGGTTTGTGTTGGAGTGTACTGATGTGCAGATGTAGCTACTAGTATGTTTTTTTTATTGGAGATATTTGGACTTGTCATGGCAAGAGGCACCATTGTGTACCTCACTAATTACTCCAGTAAATGTGCCATTGTTATTCAGTATTAATCAAATTCCTATTTCATATTAAGTTGAAGTTTACTTTTGCCTAACCTACTTTACTGTTTCTAATCTGTTGTACTTTCCTACTCTTCTCATTTGCTTTAGGAGTTGAAACAAGAGATTGAAGACTTCTGTTGACTTTTCTACTGGAACAATTGTTTTATATAAGCATGCTCAGCATCCACAGCTATGTAAATATACATTGTTTCTATTTTCATAGAAATCTACCAGCACATATATTTGTGCATTAACTACATATATGTATTAAGTCTTTTGTTTCTATTTAATTAAATGGTTTTCCTCTGAATGGTGTGACGTCTTATGTGCTCATCACATCAATTTTGCTGCTACTTTTAGCATTCCCTGATTCACTTGCCCCCTGCAGTGCGTAGGGCACTTAAAGTGCCATGGTTTCATCCTGGCATAATCACTTTAATTATATTGTTTTTTACACATGGATCACTCGTTTAAGCAGCCGGTGTAATAAACTGGTAGTCCGGTATTTGCCGTGTACAAGGAGCGTCTAACTGCATACTATAGAGTAAGTTGCATTATTAGAAGTGTAGGATCCATCGTTTTTTAAATCCCCCATTTAGAGACTACGGTGTATATATACGCTCTGCATCATTTTTGATGCAAATTTGTACCCAACTTGCAATAAGTAGGACTTTTTCCACATTTAGTTGCAAACTAATTCAAATCGACTCCCCCCGCCCCCCATTTGATCAACACCGCATAGCAAGTTGCAAAATACATTTTTTATTGTGACACAAACAATAACGACAACAAATTGACATGTTTTGGATTGTAAATCGACTCCCTTTTGGAAACCCAAAAGTCTTCTGGGGTGTTTTACAACCTAAAGATGGAAATGTTTTAGTTCAGTCTGTGAACAGCCACTTCAAATCCTGCCATAGATTCTCAGTTGTTCCGGGCTTTAACTGGGCCATTTTAAAACATTTAACATGCTCTAATCTAATTATATCCCTATACAGATAGATATTATCTATATCCATGATGATGAATTTGTTGAAACGAACGACTGAGAAGGCAGAACTGCCTCATAAAACGGGATGAAGCGTGCGCAGGTTACACGCTTATGTCGGGTTTGTCCTCAAGTGGCTCCTTATTGTGCCCCGTGGGGTCACGTCGGGACACCTCGGCAGACAGCCGGCTCGGGAAACCAACGAGGCGTACGGTCCGTTGAAAACAACGTCAACCGCCGCGTTTCTTTTTCCCGGGCGACGCATTGCTCTTTCCGCCTCGCGATGAATGTATAATAACAGTAAAATACTGTATGTATTTGCCAGGTTTTGGAATCGTAAAGTGTCAGCGCACCGAGAGTCGCCGAGGAATGACGTCAGGACGTATCACATTGAATGATGACGCCTTTAGATCATTAAAAAAAAAAAAAAACAGCCGTTAAAAAATATCAGAGAATTAGGTCAGCGAGCTAACACGGTACAACGGCGAGGCAACGAGAGTAACTACCGTGTGTTGGATTATATAACTTTCACCAAGACGCGACTCGGGCACTAAATAACCTGCTCCGAAGAGGTGAGAGATGTCCGGCGTTTCCAGCATCTGCATGCGGAGCCGCGGCCGCTAGACCGGTCCGTCCGTCCGTCCGCCCGCCCGCCTCCGCCGGGCTTTTTGGAGACCCGCGAGCCCCCCCAAAAAAACGTTAACACTAGCTAGCTGCTGTACCGAGTACCGGCCGGGCTGCGGCTGAGCGGTCAACCGAGAGCCGGAGAGCCGCCGACAGGCTGAAGCCGAAGGTCTCTGGATATCGCTGCTCGAGCCGACATCCTGGTAGCGACACGGCGCGCGTTCCAGTAGTTCCCGTAAGTTTACCGCCAGATGGGATCAATATTAATGAACTGCCGCGGCTAACGCCGGCTAGTTGGCCCACCTCACGTCCCTCTTGCCTCGTTCTGAAAAGCTAAACAAGGTATCTCCCCGTTTTCGTTTCTCTTAACTTACGCTACTTTAATTATTTCGAATTAGCTAGCGCAAGTTCTTGTTGTTGTTGCTGGTTTTAAATAAAAAATGATCAAATGCAGCATCCCATAAAGAAAGCTACTGCCCTGTGCAATCCATCCAACAGAGTTCAGCTGCGGTAAATCATGAGCACAGGGCATATTTCGTTGGTGTCTTGAAATCTGAAATAATATATTTACATTTACCAGGCAATGTGTAACGATTATTGAACAATCCAAACCATATGCTGATGTTTCTTGAATTAATCAGTGACAGAATTTGGGCCCTCCTGTTGGAATACTAATAATTACATTTTTTATGTGGGTTTGCCCTGTGATACTGTACAATATGTATTGAATGACGGGTTGGGCAACAAGTCCGTACTAAAGTCAATGTCCTTCACGGGGGAATATTGTGTTAGGATTTTCATTTTTACCTCTCAGTTGTCGGAATGATTAATGATTAATTTCATACAATAATAACAATAGACAAAGAAATTCCCATCAGAATTTCCCGGAGCCTAAAAGACACATCTTGCAATTGATTATTTGTCTGAGCAACAGTTCAACATGATTCAAATGTATTCAGATAAACTGTTTCCTAGAGGTATACGTGTTCTTCAGATAGGAAGCAAATAACGGCAGTGCTGTGAAGCTGCTTTATATACGACTTTTATATGATCTGTGTTTGACCAATCGTCATAAGGAATATTTGACCATTTGTGGTCTATAAAAGAAGTATCTGAGAATAAAATACCATTTTATGCTAGTAACTGTTGTCGCAAACCCCTTCTATGACATTTCATATTTTTCTTTCACCAGAGATACGTAAATCAAGGACCCTTGCGTGTGAACACAAACACCTGAGACATGTGAGCCTCCACACTTCTGTCCTAGATCGTCTTTATCCTGAGTAGAGGTAAACACAGTGTGGTTTGACGATGTCAAGCCGCCGGAAATCGACCACACCTTGCATGGTGCTGCCCTCTGATGTGGTGGAGGAGAAAACAGAAAGGACAAAGGATGAAGAGGCAGAAGAGGAGGGAAAGGTTAAAGAGGGATCCGAGCAAGGGCCGACTGCAGAGGAGCTGGATCAGGCAGTGCTGGTTGTGCCCACCCCTCCAGATTCAGGTACGATTATTTTGGTCTTTTCTCGAATGTGTAGACCACAATGATTGATAGCTTGACAGATACATAAACTGTGTCAAATGTACCATTACAATAATAGATGAACCCAGTGTCTCCACCGTAGAAGAAAGCGAAGTTCCTGCTCCCTCGCTGAAGCGCGTCGCTACAAACCCTCCTGAGGATCTGAGGTGCGACCAGCCGACCCAGGATCAACGGTGTGGTACCCCCGAAGAGGGAGGCGCAGACCCCGCAGCGATTGCGGCCATTTCCCTCAGCAAGACCCCCATCATGAGGATGAAGACCAAATCTGAACCCAAGAGGATTGCCGTTTCCCTGAAATCAACAGACGTGGCGGTTGAGGGTTTTGGGAGAGGGGGCGAGGGTGAGATGGACGGAGCCCAGGAGCCCATCGAAGCTCCTCTAGGGCCGATGACGCCTGTGGAGATGCTATTGCACGACTCCATGAAGCTCGGGGGAGGCGGCTTGCTGGTCAGCCCGTACTCGGAGCAGCAGAGGAAAGCAGCTACTTTAAACCCCACAGTTTTGCCTGCTGGCCTGGCACAGGTAGAGGGTCTCGTTATACAACAGTTTAGAAGACTCATTCAAGCAGCATGTGTGTACAAATACTTCTTTTATCCGTGAAGGCTTCATGCATGTTTTCAAAGTAAACCGTAGCCTGCACACTTAAATACGACTGGTAGGCTGTGGATGACGTTAAATGTGTTCCACAGAGAAGTTGGATGTCCACTTCGGTAAGGACGGCAGCCCTGCAGCTGATGAATATCGATTGTCTTCTGCAAGGACCCTTCTGCAGAACAAAAGCTTTCCAAACAGAGCTCAAGCTGTGAGCTTTTTTTCCACTTTGGCCAATATGCAGCATTAATCTCCCCCTTGTGTTCCTTTATTTCAGGTGCTTTCTGCTTTCCAGGCCCAGCAGAGCGCGGCAGCAGCAGCTCAGTCTCAGCTGCTGATACCCCTCAGCAGCATACCATCCTACAGTGCAGCTATGGACACCAACCCCCTGCTGGGCAACACATACAAGAAGTTTCCCTACCCCTCCATGGCTGAGATCAGCAACCTGGCAGCACAGACCCAGTTCACAGAGGAGCAGATCAAGGTAGATGACAGTTGCTGATATTTCGGGTAGCCAAATATGAGATCTGTGAAAATATTCAGTGACGGAAATTTAAATTGTATTTATTTGTGCGTGTGAGTATGCGTGCGTGTGTGTGGGTGAGAGAGTGTGTGTGAGAGAGTGTGTGTATGTATGTATGATATTAATCTTCATAGTAATATATACTAATTGAGAATATGGATAAGATAGGGGTGGGTATCTATAAGCTTTTGCTTCCCTCTACTCCTTTTCTTGAACAAAAGGTGACTTTTCTAATTTTGTGGTCTATGTCTATGTTGATTTTTAAATTTTTTCATTTTTTAATGTCTACATGTTCATGAAATAAAATGCTTCAAATCAAATTACTTCAGCTGTCGAAGACTGACAGACTTTGTGTTCACACCATTCTGTTACGTCAAAATGCTACGAAGAGAAGCTCCTTTCGCTGGAAATATTTAGCTATAACACCTCATTTAAGGTATAATTCAGGATTAAATATTCTGTAATTGGTGGAGTCAAATGTACTCTTATCTACCACCAGGTGTGGTTCTCAGCCCAGCGGCTGAAGCACGGTGTGAGCTGGACTCCTGAAGAAGTGGAGGAGGCCAGGAGGAAACAGTTTAATGGCACGGTCCACACTGTGCCTCAGACCATCACTGTCATACCTGCTCATCAGCTCTCAGCAGCTGCCAACGGCCTGCAGTCCATTCTCCAGACCTGCCAGATAGTGGGCCAGCCCGGCCTGGTGTTCACACAGGTAGGTAAGGAAAGAAAACACGCCATACCTTACAGGACTCAGCCTTCTCCTACTTTTTGTGCGTCTGTCACCTTTTCTCAAGTATATTTCAGACTAGACTGACTGGGGATTATGGGGGTGGGGGGGCTACAGGCGGTCATTGTCCATTGTTGACGCTGGTGAGCATGCTCACCTGTGTGTGCGAGCGCACGTCTCAGGGTGTGTCCACTGTGGAGGGCGGAGTTCCGCCCCCTTCGGGACGAAATTCGTTTGTCCATACAGATACCGCAAGTGTGATAGATGGTGTGTCTGGCTATCCATCTCATCCGGACATTCTCTGTGTTATTATTTTCTGTCTCTGTTTAGGTCGGTCCAGGGGGGCACCTTCCGGTGACCAGTGCTATCACCCTGACAGTGGCAGGGCTGTCCAGTCAGTCCCAGAGCTCCAGCAGAGTTTCCTGCCAGCCCACCGCAACAAACAGTGAGCTGAAGCGGGCTACCACAATCCAGCCTCCCTCCTTATCTCCACAGGTAAGGACAAATCTACCATTTTGCACTTGTGTTCTTAAATGCTTAAGTTAGTTTTGTTAACCTTTCAATGCACACAATTACAACATTGCGTCTCCCTCAGTTGTATGTAGTGCATGTCTGACCTCAGGGAAGTTGCGCACATCTCATCCGTAATCATTTTTTGATCGTCCTAGAGGGTCTTTGTTACTTCTGTATGCAAAATCCATATTCAACAGATATTTCTCCCCTCTCCTTTCTAAGGAGAACTCTGCCCTCAGCGCTGACACGTTCGGTCTGCGGCCCAAAAAGTCCAAAGAGCAGCTGGCAGAGTTGAAAGCCAGCTACCTGAAGAACCACTTTGTCACTGATGCAGAAATTTCTCGGCTGATGAAGCTCACCAACCTCACAAAAGGAGAGATCAAGAAGTGGTTTAGTGACACCAGGTACAACCAGCGCAACTCCAAGAACAGCCACGTCATTGTTTTCCATGACGGAATGGGCAGAGGAGGAGGGGGCAGCTGCGGTAGCAACACAGGCACCACCATTATCATTGACTCAAGCGATGAGACCCCCACATCTCCCCATCCTCCACGCACTCCTCCTGTGAAGGAAAAAGAGACGCGGCCCAAAACGTGGAATCCCTTCCCAGATTTTACCCTGCAGAAGTTTAAGGAGAAGACTCCGGAGCAGCTCGTGGTGCTGGAGGAAAGTTTCGAGAAGAGCAACACTCCCTCAGATGAAGAGCTGAGCCGCCTGAGGACCGGGACTAAACTGACGCGGAGGGAGATTGATGCCTGGTTCACTGAGAGACGAAAAATGCCACCCGTCAGCAATTCTTCCCCGGAATCTTCAGAGGGAGGAAAGATGGAGGCAGAGGGAGCAAAAGCAGTAGGAGCCAATTCTTCTCCTTCCGGCTCTTCCTCTCGTAGAGGCAGTCAGACCCCTCCCGGCGGTCGCGGTAGGCAGTGTCCCACCAGCAGCAACAAAGACATGAGAGACAAGAGTAAAAAGACTCCCGAGCAGCTCCATATTCTGAAAAGTGCCTTCGTGCGGACCCAGTGGCCCACGCCAGAGGAGTACGACCAACTGGCAGAGGAGAGTGGCCTCCTCCGGTCCTACATAGTCAGCTGGTTCGGAGACTCCCGGTACTCGTGGAAGAACAGTAACTTGAAATGGTTCTTCCAGTACCAAAGTGGCAACATTGAAGGGCCAAATGGGGGAGGAGGAAATAAAATGGGAAGCAGCAGCAGCAGCAGCGGCAGCGGGAGCGGCGGTCGAAAAAGAAGAGGCCGAAATCGCGGGTGGGGGCGGTCCCGAACCAGAAGGCAGCCGAGAAGGTCCGCCTCCTCCAGTGCAGATGTTGATAGACCTCCCCCGTCAAAGAAGATCAAGAGTGGCAGGGAGATTCTGAAGGAGTACTACATACGGCACCGTTTCCTCAATGAGCAAGACCTCGACGAACTCGTCACCAAGACCAACATGAGCTACGAACTGGTAATTCCTTCTGTGTCACCGTATCCGGTCATTTCTTTGTTGTGTCGTCAAACAAAGCCAATTGGTTTTATATATTACCACAAAGCATGCTCCAATACCCAACATTTTAGAAATGGTAAAGCCAAATATCACAAACACAATCATATATGACATCTGACAAAACACACAATCACATACGGAGAGCGACTTCCATTTCTGCTCCGAATCCCGTAGATCTCACCTACAGATGTTCAGTATAAAAATGAAAGTGCCTCAGATCAAATACTGAGGGTGAAAGGACCAAGAGGTCACATTTGAAAAGATGCCCATTTTCCATCCCCCCCCCCCAGTGTTTATAAAAAAATAATAATAATAATCTACGGTACAATTTGCAGACATAAACTTTGTTGCATCAATGTTAGCTCGAGCTGGGTTGATGCCTTTCTCCCTCCATCCGAAGGTGAGGGAGTGGTTTGCTGAGGTCCAGAGACGCTTGGACACGGGCTTGGACCCCTTCCAGGAGGCGGCTGCAGCAAGGACGCAGGGCGGCGAGGCGGGAGACGGAGGGGAGACGCAGGGAGGGATGTCCTCGGCCAACGAGCAGCAGGGCGCCACGGCAATGGGAGACGAGGGGGAGGATGAAGGAGACGAGGAGGAAGACGGCGGTGATGATACCGACGACAGTGAGGTTTGGGAGCCGTCACGTAGCGTCAGGAAATCCTTGTCAGTCTCTGAAGACTAAAGATTGTGGAAAACCCGGTGAAACATGACAGAATGTTACAAGAGAGGTAGTGGAATGACCAATGCTGGGAGACTGTTAGCAATGTCTTTATAACCACAGACTTTTACTCTTTTGCAACAATAATTCACTGTATTTTCTAACTATTTCTGACGTCACGCCCACGTGAGACCCACACACTATTAGCTTTAGCTCACTCTCTCTATACTTGTCTTATTTTACTGTAAGTAAGGTGTAACAGATAGGATATCTGTTGCGATTACATATTAACTACACGTGTTACTAGATCAGTGTTGGGCAAGTTACTTAACTTTGACTCATTGAAAAGGTAATAATCACTTACTTATTACTTGATAGCAAATGTAAGAAGTGATGTATGTTGGCTATATTTCTAAATTCATGGAAAGGACACCAATATTCAGCTTTTTTAATAAAGGTTCCTGTGGCGTACCGTAGCCTCTGTGACCCGTGTAGTGACAGACAGTGCACCCGATCAGCTGATTGATATTCCGCTTCCCCAAACTGTTTTGCACGTTGGGCTGCACATACCTGAACCAAAAGCAGAAGGTGGGCATGTAGAGGCCCACACAGTCCTCAATGGTATTTAATATTCAAATTTCCACTGAGAGAGCCACATTTTAAAGAGAGGCTGCGCTGCCAGCTTTTGCTCCCACATAGAGCTCCAGGGACACGGCTCTGCCCAACACTGATTCAGACACATTTGTACATTTGATTGCAACTAATGATTACTGTTTGCATGAGAGGATGCCCCAGATGTTCAAATGAAGCCAGTAATGGAGATTTTGTTGCAATTCCTTGAGAAGGCCCCTGGAGCCCGTTATAAGCACGGGCCTGAACTCAAACTGAAATCTCTTAATGTCTTGCATGTTTTAGCCCTGTTCCAAAACTAAGAGACAAAATAATAATGATCATCTTTGTATCTACAAGGTTCCTAAAGAAGGAATCACAGCTAGATGTCACTGGTGAGCCATGTACTGGAACTGGCATACATCTATTTGGGGAACCTGTTGATTTGACACTCGACACCTTTTGTAAAGTTCATCGCAAGGACCGGATTTGAAACGGCAGGTCCTTTTTGAGTTAAGGCCTTAAACGATACGATACGAGAAACCTGATTGCTGAATGAATGCCAATGTTGTGATGCTTTGAAACGCAGGGTGTCTAATGATGCCTCCCTTTACAGCAGCTTGTCGTTTCATAAGTGTCACAGATATGTACCCAAAACACGGATCTGAAGAAATGCCATTGTATGCGTTTAGTGTGCAGTGCTTTTAATGTTTGAACACTACTGTTTAACCTTTTGGAGTGAACACATCCTGTATTAATAAAGGGGCCTTTTTAAAGGCTGATCAGACCGAATGAGGCTGAGGTCCCAAAGTTAAAGGAAAGGATTTGAAGACGGGGAATGCAGTTTTGCAAGTTGTCAAAAACAAACCCTGTGATCGTTTTGGATCTTGACCCCTACCTTAAAGACCTTTTAAGCAGTATTCAAATAAGAATTTTACTCCAGTCTGCACTGAAAAACACGCTTGAAGCACCTAAAATCAACTTTTAAAAAGCACTTTGTCCACTTGTATGCGTAGTGGACTGAATCCTAATTTGGCACCTTAATCTCTAATTATACCATAGAATGGCTCTGAGAGACCAACTCTGTTTTTATACAAACTGCACCAGTGTTTTGCCTTTTTTTTATCCTTGATGTGTGTTCAGGAGGAAGAATCCATTCATCCACTTTTCTAATATTGTGTGTGGTTTATATTTGGATGCTTACAAGTCTCAAAAAAACTTGTCAAACAATCACCCACCACTTTCTTTTGCTGTGTTGCACAATTTGAGCATCCATTAAATGTGTTCTATTTGTTATCATGTTTTGTATTTATGCTTAAAAGCATTTGAATGGTTTCCCATCCCTCCTCCTCTGCTCCCTGTTGCTCGATGAATGCCTAGACCTGTGATGTGCACTTCCCAAGATACCTTTCTGTCAATATGAGCGGTTTTCTGCCTCACTAAATTGTCCACAACACAGGCAGACAAACAGAACTGTACCAACATCTTCAAAAGCAGAAGAAAAAAAAACAGACATTGTAAGAAAATTCACTTTCTCTCGTGGAAGGAATTGTTCTTAATGCGTGAAGAAACCGCGCAGCATTCCCTCTGTGGTGGGAGGTCTACCAAATAACTTTCCGTTCCCCTGGCGCTTCGCTGCAATGCGTTGACAGGACGATGGACGGAAAACCGTCTCCATCACAGTTCTTCAGAAATGGGGGAGAGACTGATGAGGCTTCGCAGATAAACCTATGTGCCTACGTGGCTCGTGCACCCGTCGCAACAGAATCTCACCCCGTTCTCCACAGGAGACGAGGGAGAACTTGTGAATGCTCTATGAAGCACATCGCTGTTTGGGGATTTGTATGGACGACTTATTCAAACAAAGTTGTTGATGATTGATCTCTGCTGACGCTAAAAGATGCCTAGAGACTCTGAGGTCGACGGGGGAAACGTCTCCAAGTCCTCATAACGGATAAACTTGCTGTTCAGAAGCGTATCGGCGTCTCTCACCGAGCACTCGCTGCACTACACGCTGGCACCTCGGCCACCGTGTCCAAAAAGCATTTGCCTAAAGTGAAAGCCGTCGGCCCGCCGTGAACAGCTGAAATAGTTGATAACGACCGCCGGAGAGCTGAGACCTTGATACGTTTTGTCGTAAGCGCTTGGCCTCAATTGAAAATGTAAAGGTACGCCATTTGTCTGATACTGCATGCAATAACCAATACAAACAAATGCTCATTTTGTACATACAATATGTTGGGTCGGTGTACATGGTGCAGAAGAAGCCTAATGTGGGATTCTTTGTTTGTATATCTTTGATAATACCAGTTCATTTTCATTAACAAGTGGATTGCAACTATGGACCTGTTTTCTTTTTCTTTTTTGTTCAATTCGTGGACACGTTTTCATCCTCTGCTTGGATGTGTGTTATCGCCACATTTGTAGTCCATGTACAGCAGCCATACTGAAACTGCACAAACTCATTTGTAACGTGTGCTAATTTGTACACATGACTCAAAGTGTCAGTTACTTTAGAAGGTTTTGATCCACATGTTAGGCCTGATCCCGCCCCGGCTATCCAGTCTTTTACAGTGTGCTCTGTCTTTCCTATTGTCAGTCTGAATGCTTTTATATGTTTCTATCTATGAAAACTGTCTTTACAACTCTCCAGGCATCCATGGATTGCTGGTTAACAAGACAGACTCATTAAATATGTACAATAGCGTGATGTTTTTTAAAATAGAATCTGTTTTAGAGTATTTTAAAGTATTGCTCATGTGGCTTTTTGGTACTTTGAAAAAGTTTAGAATCATAACCCAAGAGAAAAGACATGTTCAGGGATGAAGGAATTTCTCTAACCAATGTCCTGGTGGCGTTGGGGAAATGTTTTTTGCCTGTTATTCATGTTTGCCCTTAGAACTAACCTGTTTTCTAAAGATAGATTAAATTGCACAAAGTAATTTAAAATGATATCAGCTGTTTACCCGACTGAGTTCCACTCATAGTAATGCACTAAAAAGTCTTTTGAAAGTTTGGGAGGATCTAATAAAATGTGCAAATCCGTTACATGATCGGTGTAAGTGTACGATCCCATTTTTTTGGACCACGAGCCATCTTGGAGACAAAAGTAATGATTATAAAAATACAGTTATTCATTTCTGTGGATATTTCAGCTTCTGCTGCACACATTCTGACGCTTATACTTAAATCTGTCTCTCAACTCCCGCTACTTTGTTGAGTTGCATTACTTAAACACTGGAGTGACTCTTCAATGACGTTCTGTGTGTCAGACAGGAGATAGAAACAGAACCAGCCTGGTTCTGCTGCAATACACGTATGTAAAAGACCTTCGGTTTTTTAACATGAATCATGCATTTAAATATTCCCCCAGGTTGCTGAAGTGACATGTCTGCTCCTTGAGTTATGATTTTAAATCCAACAGTCCCCCTGTGTCCCAGTTGACGTTGTGCAGTATAGCTAAGAGCTGCCGTTGTGATGCGAGTAGTTTACCCGATGTCTCATTGTGCACATGTCATATCTCCACCTCTGCTAGTCCTCACTCGTGTTCTCTATTTAGACGGCTAGCCGCTTGGATGATTCTTACAGCATTCAGAGATTCAAATGATTTCATTATAGAACAGCCACATATTTTTGGTTAAAAATAAACATCTCAGAATTGTTATATGCTCATGATTTATTTTTATTTTTTTCATTTACAGTGAATTTTTCACCACCTGGTTTTTCTGATCAAATGTTTTATCTGTTGACAGTTTTTACCCCAAATAATTCCTTATCAAGGTCTGTTCTAAGTTTTTTTTAAACATGTTTCACATACTTGTAGATATGTTTTACTGACCGATGAGTCTCTTCGGCTCCTGTATGAGGTGCGGGTTGGGTCTGTAGACACAGATGCTGTCGGTAGAGAACAATGATCTATCTGTCAACTCTGAATAAAGGTTGGAATATGAAAGCAACACTCTTTGCGGCCGCAGGCGACGGTGCTTTTGTTTGTGATGACCTGAAACTCCTCAGTTAAACAGTTCAAATGGTTTTATAAGTTATTCCTACACTGTCTGTGCATCTGAAATGTGTTAACAGGTCTGTCAGAAACTTTGATTAAACATGGTTTGTGTACATTTGCTCCTGCAGGCTTGCTTTACAAAAACTAACTATTGAAAAACAAACCACTAACTAACCAACTTTAATCGAGGCGTTGGATTGATTTAGATTAATATTTTATTCTTGTTTTGGGACAAAACCCAATACATCTTTTAAGCACAAGGATGTGCATTTGTAAGCAACATTTTGCGTTTTTTTGCTTTACATAAATGGACCAAATACAGAAGCAAAGAGGGACGTACTGATTCACATTCAAACTATGAAGCAACTAGCAAGTCACCAGTTGCTGTTTTTGCGGTTTAACTATTCATAAATATAGATAACTGTAGGAAGTTGTCCTCAGTGTAGCTCATATTAACAGTGTAGTGAATCCGGGTCTTCTGTTAAAAATGTTTCTAGTAGTTTCTAGTATTCGTATTTTCCTTAAAAGGCCATTTGTTGAACCTTAACACATAACTGGGAAAGTTTTTTGCAGCAGCAGACCTACAATAACATTACTTAATAAGACCCAGGTGGAATAGATTTGTATGTATTTGCATTAAACCTAAAAATGTTTTCTGTTGAAGCAAATATCAAGGAAATGCAAAGCTTTTTGCATGTGCTGGAGCACTGATGCATTGACTGTCGGTGGACCAGAGAGAGCACTGCTCTCCTGATGGTGACAGACGTCGATAATAGACTGGAGGTGCTTCGGGGAATAACAGCTGGGCTCCGTGTGACGCCCTGAAGGCATGACGTTGCCTGAGGTCCATAAATACAGCAGTCAGGCAAAGGAGAAAAATGGAAATACGGCTGCGGCTTGAAGAACGCAATATTTTGAAGTTATTGTCAAGAGACAACGGGGAGGCATCCATCCATTATTTTTAACTACTTTTACTAAACAGGCTGGTAGACTCTGGCAGGGCTGAAGGTAAGTGAAATTAGTTCATGCTAAATCACATTATTTTCATTTTATCCTCTTGGTGTCCTTACAAAGAATTCTCTTCCTCTTAGATGTCGGTAGATACAATTGACAATACATTTTAATTTGAAATGTTCCTGTTCTCATTCGCGGCCCTTCGTATAGAAGATTTAACGGTCACTAATCAACTGATTTATTTCTGTACATTTTCTCCTTTGAAGTAAAGATGCTGTGGAGTCTAGTGTTAATCGTTTTGGTTGGTAAGTAGCTCTACATTTTTAGTTGATTGATGCAGAATGAGTGTTACGGCCAGTCAACAAAACGTATATCAATAATAAACTAAATTTCCTGCAAATTACTCAACTCCCAAATGACGCTTGCATGATTTGAACATTTAGACCAATGTTTTGACTGTATTGATGTATGTGTATTTTGTGCTTACTGCTTTATTACCAAACACTGATATCATAGCATCCAGTAACTTGAGATGGGAAAAGAAAATGGAAATGGGAGTGTGAATTCTTATGTTATCTTCTGGTGTTACAGGTTTCACAGGAAGTGAAGCGTCAAACTGTCATGAAAACTCATCTACAGCTTGTTGCAAAGTACATGATGAAATTAAAGGGGAATGGAAAACATCACAGTCATCAGACTGGATTGATGAAAATGTTACATACGATTCTGAAAGAGCTGTTGACCCATATGCCGACACTTGTTCTCACACAAACCAAACATCCGGCAACTGGTGGAGAATTGACCTGCTGAGTGTCTACACAATATCTTGTGTCTGTATCTTTAACATAGAAAATCATGCTAGTAACTTAACCGGTGCCCAGATTTACATCGGGAACTCTAGAGAGGAGAACGGAACCGCCAACCCCACGTGAGTATACTTCCTTCATGTTACTTTAAACTCATATTTCACATTTTCTGGAGGGTTTGGCATGTTGAATATGTATATATTTATCTATCCGTCTTGTTCTCTCTTCCAGGTGTAGAAACATAACAAACTTCACCATTAAAAAATGTAATGACTTTAGGTTTAACCCGGGTGTTTCAGGACGCTACGTCACTGTGTTCTTACCGAGGAATGACTTTTTAATTCTGTGTGACGTAAAGATCTTCGGAAAAAAAAAAGGTACCCAATGTTTTTATCCACAAAGTATGTTGCTCCAGATAAGTTAATACATCACTGGCATTTCTCTAAGGTTGAACAACAGATTTGTATTATGACAAACAAAAACCCATCACACCACAGTGTAGTTCAGAAATGTCATCACATGGATTCACTTTCCTCTTTTTCTCCTAAATCTTCACTTTCTTTGAAAAATTACACACTTTTAAAATCGTCGTCTAACCCTTAACCCTTAATTTCATGTGCATTTATTCAGTTTCTAATCTTTTTTTTTTTTCTTTTTTTTTGAGAATCCCCTTTTCAGTTGATCATGGAGAAGAAGACATGGGCCGATGCGCTGGACTACTGCAGGGGCCATCACGAGACCCTGGCTTCCATTGTTGACGAAGAGACCCAGACCTGGGCTGAGTTGGAGGCCGACAATTCCAGCACTCCCTTTGTGTGGGTGGGCCTTCGCTACACCTGCACCCTCGGCTTCTGGTTCTGGGTTGAGGATCTTATTGTAGAATTCACTCGCTGGGCTCCAGGAAGTAAGATAGAAGAGTGTAACATGAGTGGTGCGATTGAGAAACAAGGGAACCATTCGTGGTCCACTAAATGTGCCGACATGGAATTTGAATTCATATGCAAAAAATAGATCTCAGCCGAGGTGGCATTGATCCATCCTGAAAATGTACTAAAAATGTCCACTTTTATCTGAAGCTTTAACAACAATCCCTATATTACTTGTTAATGTAACACCTTCTCTCACTGATGGTCTAGTTTACTTATGATGGTAATATAGAGTCATCAGTGTTAATTGATATGGTTTCAGATCCAGTTAAATGTTCCTTGTGTTAACTTTAGTTGATATTTTATGCACTTACTTTGTGAAATGTGTTAACAGTAGTGTAAATGTATCTTTCGTTTACAATTCATTATACAGCAAAATATTGATTATATAATCATAGTAAAATGTTTGAGTTTGTAGAATGCGACTGTTTAAAACCTTTCTTACAACATCGAGAAAGAGTTTTTTAATTTTCTTTCAGGAAATGGGGTTGAGTACGACGTATGCTTATTTTGTAAACTGATGCTGATTTGAAAGAATACGTATTCAGAAATGGTTTGGACGTCTCTCAAATATTTATGTATATAAAAATGACTTGTCTGTTACAAAAAACAAAAAAATGTTATTTTCACGGATCAGATGAAATAAAAGGAATTACGAGCATGCAAACCTGGCTTCAATATTATTTGTTTTTTTAGGGGCATTGCTATCAGTTTGAATTACATTTCAGATGCATTTCAACACCTCATTATTGTTGTGCTGATGAAGCCTCCGTGTGGCACCTTCACTTCGGGCGGAACCTGTCTGCCCGGAACTTGTACCCGCCGTGCAATTTACAACGGAGGACTGCGTAACAGTACACAAGCTTCTGCTAACCTCCGCTGTAGCTACTAATATTGGAATCAGGGAATTGGTCATCATTTTACTGCCCGAATGGAGATTTTCGCCACGTTTGATGACTCTGTGTTTTTGGAGGCGAAAGACCGAGTCGCTGTGACTTTGTCTTCTTACAACGCGAAAGTGTGCGAGCCGCAAGTGAGTGTGTGTGTTTGTGTGTGTGTGTGTGTGTGTGTGTGTGTGTGTGTGTGTGTAGTTGAACTGCTCCTGTTAAGACGTATGCGGTAGGTGATGCTCGACACGAATGAAGTGACGTCATCTTTAGGTCTTGATGACGGGAAAACGCTGTTAATTTGAATGTGCTAGCTGGTTAGCATGCAGACTATTTCACTCTTAAAAAACAAACCCCTTAATTAACGTTATACTGTTTAATAAGAAACATGCAATAAAAGGTAAATAACTAAATCATAACAATGATCGAAGATTCAATCTCACACACTGCACCTGTGCACACACAGACAACAAAACATCAAATAATCTAGTAAACCAAACGGGGGCTGTTCAGGGTCTGTGACGTGCGGCGACGTGTACCGACTTTCACCCTAAATACATTAAAAAGCCAATGGAATCATACAATAACAATTTTTTTGAATACTTTGTCATGATGATATGATATATTGGATCGAGCACTAGGTGCTCGATTGTGTTTGACTGTCACTACTACGGAGTTCTGTGATCGTTTGTTCATGCCTGGCAGTTGAGAGATTCGCCCGCCAGTAAAGGATCTAACTTGTACTGCGTCCTCGTCTCCGTGCATTTGTATCTAACAGTGATTTAGATAACCCACGAATAGTTTAACAGTAATTATACATACATACATACATTATACATATAGCATAAAGCCACAACAGATGACCGGTTTAAACCACCGAGGAGTGCGGATGGTGGAGGGGACAGGTGGGAGGAGACAGGTGGGAGGAGACAGGTGGGAGGAGACAGGTGGGAAGCATTTGACTGCTCATTAAGACCCCAAAAGGGTCGATCCTGGTGGTATTTTGACCAATATGTGTTTGTTTCATTCAGACCACAAAAAACATACCTAGTTATGGTTAAAGGGAGCAATATGTCCTTTTTAAACAGCATGTTGCATCTACAAATAGTTCTGCGTTCAACTCAAGCATAGACGCAGGATAACAGTCTGTGTCTCTTAAATGACATTTGGTGGATAACTAATATGTTTGTAGACTTGGTGAACTTATAATACCGTTCCATGTTGTGTTTGAATTATTATAAATAATCATTGATCGCTTTTAACTAGTTGTCTTTGTTTTCTCCACAGTGGTTCTGTGATAAAACTGCCCTCAATACAGATGATCCTTTGGAGAAGCAGAAAATCTATAAATTCAGAGGTGACTTGGCCGTGAGACAGGGACAACATCAGGTAATTAAGCAGCCATTTAGTTCAGTCAATCATCTCTAGTTTGAAATACTTCTTTATGACCATTGGTTTTTTTCAGTTATGCTAAGCTACCTTTTGAGGTGGGTGACAAGTACAGTGGGAAGCTCTTATTTGAATGTCCTTCAGCTAGTCCATAAAATAAAACCAAAATGAGCTGTAAAAATATAAAATAAAAAATATAATTCAAACTAAATAATAAAAATGCCCCAAAAGGAAATCCTTATCTGGTTGTACCCTTCACATACTTGATGTTAATCGCATGGCATGTCATCAATTACTTACGTATCACATTAACATATCCAACAGCGCATTCAAATAAACACATTTACAAACAGTGAAAACCTATTTGTCACAACAGACTAAAACAAAAATAATGTTATTTCAACAGCATACTTTCAGCTATAATGATATGAAAATACACACACACACAACTATCTGACAATATATTTTTCTCCCCAATGCACAAACATTAATAGAACTGACTGAAAAAAACACTGTTTAACAGCTTAGAACTGTTGAAACGTTATGTCATCCATAGCGCTCTCCATTGCTCTACGAGGTGTGTGATGTTCTGTTCTCTCGGTGTGGTGGGTGTAGGAAGCCTTGGATGCGTACAGCAACTGCCAGGAGTGGATTGCTGACAACAACCTGACCATCAGAAGAGATGTGCTGGAGGGAATGGCCCGATGCTGCAGCAAACTGGGACAGAGAGACAGGGCGCTGCACTTTGCCGACTTATTGGTAATTTTCTCTAAGCTCTTCTTGAAATGTTTTCCATGCAGAGCATTTTTCCCCTCTGTAACCAAAATCCAAAGTTAGTATATGATAACTAGTCATATACTACACTTACTTGTTTGTGCTATTATGAGCTCCACTATTAGAAATGACTTACAAATGACAAATAGGAATCTTTCTAAAACGCAAAGTTACCAGAGTCCACATTGGCTTATTGTCAGTTTTGAAATACCCACAAACGTAGCTCATTATTGGAATCTGTGTCTGCAATCCTCTTAAAAATGAATGTCAATTCCCACCAGCACACACATGCACTTTCCCTCTACTTCCAGTCTACTAAAAGTCAATCATAAAATATGCCTGAAAGCGTTTGCACAGAAAGTAGCCAGAACTCCGTAGTAATTTGAACATGATCTTTCTGCAGGGCAAAGAAGCGTCCAACATCTGTCACATGACCAGCCTCCTGCTGCTCAAGGTCAGCATAAGCCAAAACCCACACACGTAAAAAACATGTTTTCCTCGGTTCATGAATCCCAAACCATTCTATGCTAATGGGATTTATTTAACTCGGATATCTTCTTTTACCAAAGGTCAGCATCTACCAGCGTTTTAAGGCGGTAGTATCAGAGCTGTCCGCTCTGCAGCAGCTGTGTAGCATGCTGCCCTTTAACCCCTGGCACTGGTACAACCTTGGACAGACGTGTCTGCAGCTGCTGGAGAACTCCCGTACCACAGGTGGGATGGAGTTCAGTGTTTCCCCATGGTTCACTACTTGCATTCATGCATTGTCGCCCATTTTCTGAGGCAGATAGCAAACGCATGGAACCTCATGGTCTGATGTGTTTGCCTCCAGCAGGACGCTGTGAGTCGGCAGACGAGGATAAACCGGGGGAGGCAGCAGAGCTCGGTGAGGACAGAATCTGGCTGAAAGCTTGCAGTGGTTTCATCAGGACGAGGTACAGAGATTCCAATCTGAATGCTTCCCGTACTTTCAATTGACACTATATATTGGTATATTTAAAAGTCGCTGCAGGGGATGTTGTTTAAAGAACGGGTGCTAATGCTTTTGTAACTTGGACCAAGTTGAGACCTTTTTTTGTTTTTAAACATCTTTTTATTCATGAGTGCAGCCAGTTAATCTGCAAAACATCCACTTGGTGACTCAGAGATGCAACTGCTTAATCTTTGCTCAAATTACCGATTAGCCAAACGACCGGTTATCATAGTGTCTGCACGTCTCACCGTCCGTTGTGTCCCCTTCAGACTCCTGTTGAGAATCCTGCGACAGCAGCAGTCCTCCTTCGTGTTGCAGCGCACTGAAAGCACTCTACAAACGGCCGACCAAGTGTTGCAGAGGCTGAGTCCCAAGGAAACAACGCTGCAGGCTCTCACTGAGGTGAACGCTTCTTTGTGTCCACGCCGGAATTTCAGGCAGTTCAAAGCAAGTCAAAGGATGGGTTTTTTACACACACACGCAAAACCTTTTAAAACTCTCTCCGTTTGATCCGGCAGGTGTTGTCAGAGGACCTCATTCCAGATAAGATGAGGGAGGAGTACCAGGACGGGGACAGTCTGGCCAGTGTGCGCGTGCAGAGCTTCAAGGAGCGCTGGTGGGACAGGATCCTGCTGACTGGCGTGCTGGAGGCCGACGGTCCTTCCCACGGGATGAACTGAAAATGTCCCGCAACAGAAGTGCAAACACACAAAATACACTTCAAATGCTGAACTGATGCGGACGATATCAGGAATACCACGGCGATAAAGACACATTCTGCTGCTCACTTTATCTGAGCACTGGGAGAATCTTGCAGTACAACGCTTCATCCACTTCAAACTGGAGGGTGTAATTCATGACCAATCAGGGAGGAAACATCCCAAGAATGATTTAAATACAAATGTATAATACATACACACCAACAATGCCTGCTTTGAAAACACCTATTTTTATTGTACATAAGGGATGGTTCATCTCTACAGTCTGCCTCCACTATGATTTAACATAAACACGTGCTATAGTCTAAATCTTAATCTTTCTGACTTTTTCTACATAATAAACCGTTACTTTTTTATTCTTTCAACAATTTCTTTAGACTTGGCGGCTTGGTTTGTGCTCTGCTATGCGCTGTAAACGGAGGGACCTGATATGGAGTGTGTGTCTTTATCAGTCCTGTCCAATCTACTGAATATCGCAGGTGGACTCCAGTCAAGTTGTAGAATATATATATATAATATATATATTTATTATACATATATATATATATAATATATATATTTATTATACATATATATATATATATATTTATTATATATATATTATATAATATATATATATTATATATATATATTATATATATATATATTATATCATATATATATATTATATATATATATATTATATATATATTATATATTATATATATATATAGTTGTATATTCTACAACTATATATTATATATATATAGTTGTATATTCTACAACTTTGCCTCTATATATTATATATATAATATATATATATATATATAATCAGGCTAACAGAAGAACATTTTCCGGACAGGGAAATACAAAAAACCCCTGACGCACACTGTGTAAACGTTACAATGTAACAGAAATATCTAAGTTAAGTTTTAATAGGATAGTAAACGGGTATATTCTTTAATTGAAAAGTAAATTCAAGATGACAACTCTTACAACTCGTACAGTGCAGCTGACAAGGGAGACTTTATTTTCTTATGTTACACATCTAAAAGCAGCTTCTGTGAGGGACACAAGTGCGCAGATGTTTTTATTTAATTGCCCGAGGCACCTTCAAACCGACCACGATTAACATTTCATTAACTGTTCTGTTATAATAATCATTCAACTCAGGGGCGCTAAAAAGGACTTGCACGGTTTAAACCTTTCCAGGTTTAAAAACATTTATAGAAATAAAATCAAAATGGAAAATAATGTACTTGCTTGTTTTTTTTAGAATTTCTAAACTCAAAACCTGATGTAACCTGGTATTAGTCAAATTTGTTGGACAATACATCACAATGTTATTCTATTCTGCGTTAAATTATTAAGAAATTAAGTGATGGACACTGTGTTTGTTACGTAGAATAAGTGTCACAGCAGCTTCTATCACACCTCTGCTGGAGACTAGTCTGTGCACCCAAGCGTCGGATCGAAGCCTCCCGAGTGTCTGTCAATCATACATGCTCCTCCCTAAAGATGTGTTCATACTGCGCTGAAACTGCCTCAGGTCCACCTGTCCCGGCCTGCGGGTGGTGCTGGTGAAGGAGCCGTAGCGGGCGATGGGTCTCGGCCTTTCAAGGCGGCTCTGGGCCATCCAGTCCAGTCTGGGAGGGGGCCTTGCCTGCTGCAGATCTGTGCCTGGTAAACCACCTGCGTGCTGGTGGTGAATCTGGGGATGATCCGGCCTCCTGGTTCCCAGAGAGGACGCGTTAGTCTGTGGCCCAGCTGTCGGTCCTCTTGGGTCTCTTAAAGGGACCCACAGGCCTGTGCTCGCCTGTTTTTGCTGCGTTGTGGAAGGGGTCAGTTCTCTGGGGCATTCACATACTTGCTCCACTCTTGATACACATTTATTTGAGTAGGTCCGTCTTTCTCTTTCTGTGTCTGGACCTGCAGCGGGCCCACGAGGCTCGGTCCTGTTCCTTTGCTCGAGATCAGTCGTGGACGTTGATTGCTGGGTGACTATCCAGTGCTGTCCTGGTGTAGGGGAAGCAGTGCGCACGCGGCGGGACCCTCGCGCCGTCTCCTGCTGCTCAGGCGTGGCGTTGATGTCGAGGCCGGTAAGCTGAGACTGAACGTGTGAGACGCGGGTCAGATTGAGGCGGTTAGAGTGACTCTGGATCGGGGTTTGATTCACCTCCAGAGGCTCTGCGTCTTTTTGTGCGCCATGCCGCCTGAGGACCGCCCCCATCGTTTGCTTGGATTTGCCCACAGATTGAACGAGAGGCTTCGGGTACAGCTGAAGAGGTTCTTCACCAATTTGTGTACCAGACCCGGCTCTGCGTAGAGGCTGGCTAGGTGGACATCTCTGCAGATTGGAGGAAAGCCGGATTTTTGCTCGTGGCTGAGTGTTTTGAGCATCTTGATTCCAAACATCGTGGCACTTTGTTTTGGTCGGGCTTAATCCCGACCCACCAGCGTTAGCGCGTTGCGCTCCCTCTAACGTGTTGTGAAGAGGAAGAGTGTGAGGCACCGTGATGAAAGTGACGAAGCCGGGAACTGGTCTGGAGCTGGAATAAAGCCTGAGGAACTCCTTATGGAAAGGTGTAACCGCAGGGCCTTTAATGAGGATGGCAAGACTACGATGGACCTGCCAGGACAGCCAGGAGAAACTGAGGAAGCAACACACACACACACACGTCTGTGCTTTTTCCTCTCTACCTTATCTGACGTCACGTGTGTGTGTGTGTGTGTGTGTGTGTGTGTGTGTGTGTGTGTGTGTGTGTGTGTGTGTGTGTGTCTGTACCTGTATGAGCCCGTCAGCACCTCAGTCCAGTCAGTGATGATAAAACTCTCCATAACGTGACCCGTCACCTTCCTCCCTGTCTTGGCACAATAGGTTTGTCCATCCACGCTGCGCACAGACAGCTTCTGCATATACACACACACAGAAGCGCGTGCACGCACACACACACACACACGCACGCACGCACGCACACAGCAATCACACTTTCTTAGCAAAAGGCAGTGAGAAATCGTAATGCTTTTAAGTTTTGTTTGTTAAATTGCTATGTACACATCAATGTTCTTGAAAAAAAAATAGCTGTTGACTGCGGCCGCAAATTAGACCTAATAAAAGTGAAACATAAATATTAAAAATATACTACTGCAGCATAATCTAAAGGTCGCACTGTGTGCTTTCTAGCAATAAGTGTTGAATAAAATTCACTAAAGAATTGCACACATATAACGTAAAAATAAGTTACGGCACATTTAGAGTGCAAATAAAAAGTCCCTTCAAGGCTCAGCTTATTGTCATTTTGTTAAATGCATTCGTAGCAGCGCTGCATCCCACCACCTTTTATATTTCTTTCATGAAATACATTTTCTGATATTACACTAAACTATGACTTTTAGTTAGTTTTTATGAATTTTACTATAGAAATTTTACTATATTACTATAAAAAATATATATTGATTAATTAATACACATATATACATGAATGAAATTCAAAGCATGAGTTTTATTGTCATACATTCCTATTTCCCATGTTTAGAAACCTTCTGTTGTGCTCAGATCAAGATCAAGCAACTATAAAACATACTGTTAAATACTTTTATAGCCACTATGGATCTGCAATCAATGTACACAAACAACACAAACAGAGCCAAGCAGCACAGATTTGTTATCACTGATAGAATGGACTTTGACTAATAACATCTTCATTTTACTAAAGACAAAATATCAAAAGTCTTACAACTGGGAAGCGGTTTGTTTCGGTCTGGGACAGACAAGCTTTCCGTCTCTTTTTTACCAAACTAAAACTCAAATTATGACTCAAACTGTCACCAAAACCGAGTGACAGGCTGAATGCCGCCGAGCTCATAGGAGAAGAACGGACTCACAGGGAAGCTTTTGCTGTCGAGTTTGAGGTCCTGCCACATGTCGACGAACAGGTTCAGGTTGAGACGATCCAGCAGTAGATGAACAGACACGTTCCTCTTTCTGCTCGCCTCCAGAAGATCACAGAGCAGCTCTACATCACTGAAGACGTCCATCACTATAGCCAGGGCCTAAACACACACACACACACACACACACACACACACCCACACACACACCCCCACATTGTCACACGTCACTGAAGCAGTCAATCAATGCAGCAAAGACCCGTAAAGACAGACATGTGTCACTGCGGTTTCTGACTTTTCAGCTCACAATACCCAATGCAAACATTTCCAATCTTGTCTCTCGTGTGCCAGCATCCACGTTATGTTATTTTTTACGTGCAGGCGAATGCTGAAACACACACACACACACACACACACACCATTCCAGCTTTTCTGATGAACTCTCTGAGCAGGTCTTTCATGCCGGCCGCTCTGGTGTCGGACTGCCAATAAAACTCAATGTTGGGTTTATCCAGGACAGGATCAGTCACCTTCACATCTGGAAAGGGACATTTGGAGGATCAAAGAGGGCAGCAAATAAGAGTGATTTACCACAAAGGTACATTGGGTTGACATACAATAATCCCTGATATTCCCGCTTCATATTTCTTTGCAAAATAAAAAAGGTCCAAACCTGCTCCAGTAGGATCCGGCTCTGTGGAAACTGTAGAACATTGTGTGAAAAACTGGGACCCAGAATACAAGCCCTCTGCTTCATTAGTGTCCCCATCAGAGGCACCGGGATCAACTGAGTAAAAAACAAAACATTGCAACATCAAGCTGTTACACAATCAGCTGTGTAACAGCAGTTTTATAACAAATGAATCAAATCTCAAGTTACAATCTCAATCTCATGGTTTCCAGCAATTTCCAGCAAAGAAAAAGCCTCAAATGTGAAAACCTTTACAACCTGTGCTGCTATCACTCCCGTTTTCCAGCATGTAAGTCTTCTCCAGCGCCGACAGAAAGTCCACTTCTCCCTCAGCGTTCAACACCTCGTGGTATCCCTCCAACCCCCGGCTGAGGAGGGAGTCCACGGCCAGTCGAGCGCTCTCGTTGTGGCTCAAGTCCAACTCGGCTCTGTTCGGAATGGAGTCACGGCAGGAGGAAGAAGGGATGCGGAGGTCTTGGAGCCGTCGCCTCACCTTCCCCAGGGGTTTGGACCTCCTGTACAACAGCGCAGACATGCCGCTGGCCTCCATGGATGATGCTCGTCTTGTCTTACTGTCGTTTGGTTTGCAGGAGGTAAAATGATCTCTACGGACAGTTGGTCCCACCATGAGCAGGCCCCGTGTAGCAGCTCGATGCCGGGATGGTTAACCTGCGTTAATGAGAGAAATACCAGCTGAAGAACAGGTTAAGACAACGTGCTGGCTCCGCCCCTCCTCAGGGCAAGACGGTTTCACAGGTGATGAGAGGTGACGGGTGATGTCATGCAGTAAAATATTACTCACGACATGCATGTGCACGTATATACGCCGGCAAAAATATATAGGAAATGATGATGAAACAGAAGGTAGAAAATGTCTGCCCTGGGGTCAAACAGCGGCTACGCTTTCTTCAGGTTGAGGGTCTTTGGGGTCGACCAGAGGACATCAGGCCCAGAAGGTCTCCTTTCAGACCCCACCCGTGTCCTTCACCGTGGATACCAGCTTCTTCTCTCAGGCAGACGCGTCTGAGTCCCCCGCTCAACCGCTTTAAGGACTCCTCTGTCCTCTTGTCCATTAAAGTCCTAAAAGAGCCCCCGTAATGCAGAGTTCTATTTTTTAAGACATTAAGACATGTGAGTTCTTGGCACCGGGATTCAAGATGTCATACTTGCCTTCAAGAATTATTCTGACAATTCCAGTGTGTGTTTGTGGTTGTTGAGGGTAACGGAACAGAAAAGAATGGACTTAATGAGCGTTTTCCCCTTTCAGGCCATGAGAGACATCTAGAGCAGGTTAAGACAGAAAAATGATGGGTGGAGGGAAGAAAAGACATGAGCGACAGGAATGGAGATGGCTGTCGTTTAAGCTCATGTCAAACAACACCTGAATGTTATTTGGACGAAAGCCGGGGACAGATCTTGGCACACCCAGCAAGCACACCAGTTCCTACCTGCTGTTACAAGTGTGTGTCTAATATAAAATATGGCCAATGTTCTAGAAGACTATTTCTTGACAGCACTCGTAAAACTCACTCCCCCTCAAATATCCAATCAAAGCTTACTTCTAATCCAAATTATAGTCGATCTGAATGCTATTCCCCTAGAATCAGCAATACTTCACATGAAACGACAACTGATCGGCTTTTCCTGCAAACAAAGGACAAAGTTACCGTTCTCATTTGTTTTAAGAATACATTTAAATCGATACCAAAAGAGTTTGAGGGGCTGCATTGGAAACTCATTGACTGCTACAACTGTACAATAGCAGACATAAAAACATGCATGTATCACTTTAAATGAACAACAAACCAGGCGGTTGAAACAAGTTTTTTTTTTCTAAAAACATTTTATCCAAACCTGGATTTAAATAAGAAAGCTCATATACAATTTATTGAAATGAAAAATGAGGTGCAGTGCAAAATAACCACCGTGGATACACATTGTACAGCTAAACGGGAAGGTGGGGAATCTGACCCAATCTGAACAACACCACAGTCAAACCCGAGTGAACGTTTCCTCCGTTCTAATGGACGACACGGGTGTACGTGTGCGGGTGGTTGATGGTGCACAGTTCAAATGTTTGACTCTATTTGCATAAATTATGTATTCTTTTACCGACGGTAAAAAGATCCCTTGAGAAGAAAAATTTCTTTCTGTGGCGCTACGACGACAGGGAGCCCTTGTCACGGACAGACAGAGGACGGCGTGTGGACGGACTGCGAGGAGGCGGAGCTTCCCTCTCTGGCTCGGAACGCCAGCTTCTGCCGCAGATCTCGGATTTCCTTCAGCAGTTGTCTCTCGCCGCTATCCAGCTGGGCTCGGCCTCGGTCCAGGGAAACTGCAACAAAGCAAAATGGACAGACAGGAAACGTCATAGACAGATTGACACGTTGTGTAGATAAAAAGTTAAAAAACAAGTAATCCGTGACTGCCTTTGGAACTCAAATTGTTAAAGTTTCTACTGTAGTACCATATAACCTTTCCCCAAGTGCAATACTCCACTTATTAAATCAACGGTCTACTTTGTACAAGTAAGAGTCTGTGTACCGTTTTCTAAACATGAAGTGCTACCGTAAACATCTGTCCCAAGAGGAGCCTTTATATGATGCTGCATACTTCAAATCAATAAAAAAACAGCCCTTTTTAATTGTTATATTTTGAAAGTCGTCGCGGCCGGTGTGTCGCTCGGGGACCTGAAGGCAGCGCAGCGTGGAGGGGGAAGCCGTTTGCACGAAACCAACTGGCCTTTATAAAAGAACACCATGTCTACGAGGACTTACAGTTGGTGGAGGTGCTTTCTGAAGGGGAACTGCTGTTCAAACACACCATGTTGGCCTCTGCCCGCTTCGGGAAGGTGGCACCTTTGGTTGCAGCACAAAGAGCAGCGTGGGCACAGGGTCGGTGAGGCATTCCTGTGATGGAAACAAGTGACGTTATCCACGTCTGTCTGACACTAAGCAAACGTCGTGGCCTTACATGCACGATGCAACGAGGCCACACGCAGAGCGTGAGTAATACCGGTGTCTGCCGAGGAGAGGGGCCGTCGCTGCTCCTGGAACTCGGCTCTCGAACTCATCACGTCATCCCACTGCAAATCAACGGGCGATTCATCTGATTGAATTACTACAACAAACAGCTTATTTTTCCACATCCCACAATATGCCTTCAGTAATATTCTCAGATGAAATTCTAGACGTTGAGCTGTTCAGTGAGCGTCATGGTAACTGTGCATCCCGTAACAATGTTGCATCAACAAACATATTGTTGTTCCCCTCACCTTCCTTCCTGCCACATCTCTCATGGCGTCGGCCAGTTTCTCCTCCTCTGCCAAAGTTTGCCTGTGAAGCTGCGCCAGTTTTTCCCTTTTCCTCTCCTGCTCGGCGTCGACCTGCTGCAGGCGCTCCTCCACCTCGCTCTGCCACTGCGTCTCCAAGCCCAACTGGCATGCCTCCGCCAGGGACTCCTCCAAGGCCTGTGTGTGTGTGTGTGTGTGTGTGTGTGTGTGTGGAGAGAAGATCCCTAGCAATTATGTCAAAATCTGTGTGTGTCTTTGATAGTGTCTCGCAAAGTCAACAAAGTACATCGAGATGGTGTGCATATGACCACATCATGGCACGGACTCCATATTGGGGACGTGTCACTAACCTGCATGTTTGTCTCGGTGCATTGCAGCAGCTCTGTGAAGCGTTCGTCCTCTTTTTCTGCCCTCCTCATCCTCAACTCCGCCTGGTCCTCAACCTCCCGTCCCGTGCGCTCCTGCTCTTTAAACATGTGCTGAGGGAAATGGTCATGGAGAGGAGTAATTAACAAATATTGGAACAATCAAGGGTTTAAAAGTGATTTAATTACATGATGGGAATTCACTGTGATTATTGCACAAGATAAAGACGTCTTGCTGATAGCCTCAGTGTTTGACTATAATTATAGATCTGTGAGTGCAAACCAAGAGGGAGTTTGCTTCCTACAACTCAATTATGTTTATAAAGTAAGAAAAAAACGGAATAATTGTAGTAAAGTAATTGTTGTAAGATGTTTTTTTTACATTAAATGACCAGAGAGGAGACCAAAGAGGATGCTGTGAGAGATGAGGGGGGGTCAATGCAAGCAGTTTGTCACCTGTTCGAGTCGTCTCCTTTGGGCCTCCAGCGCCATCTGTCGGACTTCTAGGTCCTGGACTGCTGCAGCCGTTTCTCGCTCCCGGAGATCCATCTGTTGCACGACATGTTATGTTGGGTTAGTGCACAAATAGGGAGGTTGTTATGTCCACAACAGATTTGTTAACAATGTTAATCATGACAAACTGTTTATCAGAAAGTGGGATCACAGCCTTGTATCTCTACCAGGGACAATGTGGGCTCCGTGATATAAAGACTACTTTAAATCTTTAATCTTAACTTGATGTTTACCTTTCTACTGATCTCCTGATCTAATCTCTGGACCTGTGAGGCTCTCAGGTCCTGCTGGTGTTTGAGGAAACGGCTTTTGGTTGCATCCAGCAGCTGTAACTCCTTCACCTTCAGCTCTCTCTTCATGGCTGCCAACCTGCATGGGACAAAATCCTGTCAGCAACCAATTCTGCTAAATAACATTGGTCGTTGCAACTGTACTGTGGAGGCTGTGCGTTTACTTTGCCCTCTGCTGGGTTATCTTTTCCTCTTCTTGTGCCAGGATGTTTCTGCGCTGTTCCTCTGCCTTCTGCAGCAGCTCCTGTTTTCAAATCAGAATATTGGATCGACGTAACGTACACCCGTGTTTGCATTTCATATACAGGACCAGTCAAAAGTTTGTCCAAACTAAGGCAACCAAAATGAACTGCCTTACCACACAATCTATGGTTAAAATTGAATTTTGAAAAACAACGTGTACCTGTTGTGCATAAAAGGCCTCCTCTTCAGCCTGGCGACGCAAAAAGTCTGTGCGCAGCGCGGAAACTTCCTGCCTGGTGAGACAAAGACTCTCAATCCATCTGATGCATATTTTCCCACTAATAACTTCTTCTAGCTAATTAAATATACATGAATGCCCATCATATTGACAGATTCAATGCATGTTTAATTTCACCTCTCGCGGAGGTACTCCATCTCCTGCAGTCGTATCTTCTCCCTTTCTCGGTTCTGGTATTCCACGATGAATTCCGGGTAGTGGTTGAACACGGGGTACTGGCCATTGGTCAGCGGCGTGAAGTCAGAGAGCATATTCCTGGGATGGATGTCAGCTGGTGTGCCGCCCATGAGCCGGTACGCTTCTTTTATCATGGCTCCCAGATCCAGGTTGTTACGGTGGTGGAAGAAATACTGAGGGGGAAAGAAAGACGATAAATCGGTTTCATGGCGCACGAGAGAGAAAGAACAATTACCGACCTGTTGTGGGGATGACTTCATTTTCGGGGGGGGAGGTTACCTCAAAGTCCGTTTTCTGCGAGCAGAGCAGCAGAGGCTCACGGCAGCAGGTGACATAGGCCACGCAGGCCATGAGCAGGAACGATGGATGGTTGGTGAAGACGTTGTCAAAGAGTCTCAGCCACTCATCACGGGTCAAAACCTCAGAGAACAGGGTCTCCAGCAGGGGCCACACATAGAGCTGGGACAGAAACAGACATGCACGACGTAATCTCTGCATAACGTGGGTGAGAAACTGAGAGTCTGGAGTTTCAGGACCAAACTGTCTGACCGCTCGTCCACCCGTCTCCTCCAGTCGTGTGTAGCTGTGCGCTGCCGTCTACCTGCGAGGTGATCCCACAGTCCACCAGATGCTGCAGCAGCTCCTTGTCATGATGAGCCAGAACGTTCTCCGCCATGCTCAGGACGTTCAGAGGAGGGTTGGGGAAGTACTCAAACCAATGTTGACCCCAATTGACTGTGCAAGCAAACATACAAGGATTCAAGAGACTTATAATAGCTGGACATTGCCTCAAGACATACAGACACCTGATAAACTTTAGGGTCACGAGGATTTGGCTGTGCACAATGAAGCACTGTTGATTGGATTAAACACTCTAAATCCTTCTAAAATGTGTAGTTTACACTTGTATATGTTTTGATAATGTTGGGTTTACAGTTTAAAATGGTACCTATAACAGTGGCCACCACCTCAAAGCAGAGCATTGGGTTGTTCTGGAAGAGCTTGACAAAAGGGAAGGCTACTAGGGGAAGGTACTCCACCTCTCCAAAAATGGCTGCCCAGTGAGATAAGGCAGACAAAACCCTGTTGAGTAGAAGAAGAACTAAATTGAATGAAATAGATCAAAAAATAAATGTCAAAATTGGGCAGAAAGAATAAAGCCGTTACCTCTGCAGTCCCCTCTGTAACTTGGGACTCTTGATGGGGTATTTATCGTGCAGACTGAGGTACGCTGAATGCAGGCCTTTATCGGTCAGACTGCTGTACGCCGCGTGGTTCTCTGGGAGACACAACAAAGAGCGCCATACAAACATCCTGCAATGTGGACACTTAGGTTAATTGTGCAAATCTTAGCAAACGCGTGTGAAAAGTGTGCGTGCATTCGTCAGTCATCATGTCCATGCAAGCATCACCCTACTGTGAAATGAATCGTGACCTGTATTTAGCTGGATACTCTCCGAATGCCTTGAGCAGACCCACCAGTCTCTTCTTATTTAGACCAGCAGGTAGTTCATTCTGTTGATTGACACAAAAGGGTAACAAAAAGTACACACATTAGCCCACTCTGCGATGCGCTTTGTCCATTTATGGTGAAACCACAACGGAGACATTGGTGTGCGTTGCTCCCACCTCTTTATCCTCAGCAGTAGACCCAGCAAGGGGTCGGAGCATCTTCACATGTGTTTGGCGGCCCGAGCTCCTGGCTGGTCTGTGAATGACCTCTGACCCGACCTGAACCTTTACGTTCGACAAGTTCTGACCAGCTCCACTGCCAGAGACTACTGCCACCTGGGAGGGAGGAGGCTGGGTGAGGGACACACACAAACACACAGATTAATTAATATTATTAACAAATGAGAAAACTCACAAACCGTGTACATCTTTGTTCCGTTATTGTGACTCACGGTCACCTTGTTTAACTCCTGTGTGAGACTCTGAACACTGTAGACATTTATGCTGCCATTATCCATGACGGCCACAACATGTCTGCCGTTGGGGCTGACAGTCACCGCGGTGATGGCGTCTTCGTGCGAACCCATATGGAAAAGCAGCTTGCAAGTGTGAATGTTGATGAAACGCATAACGCCGTCCTGACTCAATACTCCCAGCGTCTACAAAGACAAAGCAAAAGACCCAAAGTATGAGGGCTACAAAAGCAGAACGGTGAAACGCAGGCATCCTGAGGCCGATATAGCACCAGTAACATAATCAGATAAGCAGACAAATGATGTCCAAGACGTGTAAACATTCGATAGGAGGAGCTGAGAGAGAAGTCCTGTAGTTCTAGTACCTGACTGGCTCCTCCGTCGAAGCTGTTGGGCAGGAATTCGAGCTGCCGGACGGTTCGGACCTGTGCGGGCATCTGAATCACCCGAATCAGCTGTTTGCTGTCCAGACACCACAGGTGCAGCAGGTTGGAGCGCCCCCCAGCAGCAAGGCTCTTACCGTCACTGCAAACACAACTCTGCCATCAGTATTTAATGAAGCCATTTAATTTCAAAAGCTGGAAAGCGGTTGAAATGCTGAAGACCCACCGAGTAACGGCAAAAGCCTTGTAAGAGATTTTGGGTCCGGTGTCGGGGACCGGGAGCTGGTATTTGCAGGACAGAGTGTCGCTCTCCCAAGCAAAGATGGAGTCATCGCTGAAACAGCTGAGAATGGTGTTACTGAGAGGTAGGAAGAACACCTGTGAAACAAACAGCATAGTGACCATGACAGCAACGAAAAGAACAAAATCATTTAGGGCATAGCATAAATGTACCAGACATATTCTTGAGTATTAATAGATTGAGATTAAAACAACTCATTTATTATGCATGTTTACCCTCTGAATGCCAACAGACTGGCGGATGTTGAGCTTCCTCTTCCTCTGGAAGGTGTCCAGGTCCCAGAGCTGAGCCGTGTCCAGCGACGTGCTGATGGCGTAGCGACCTGAGCTGTGGACGGAGATGGACGAAACCGCTCCCTCGTGACCACGCATCCAACTGACCAGCTGCTTTGTGTCTGAAAGAAACAACCCGACCAAGTCACATTGAAAATAAGAATTTGTCACTGAAAAATTCTAAATCAACTACATCCCTGGAAGGTACTACTAAAAAAATGAAGCAACGTATCAACAAGTGCAGCCTACCTTTGTCAAAGCACTTGATGGTGTTGTCGGCCAGAGCCACAAGGAACTCTGTGGTCCGGCGAAGGCTGAACGCCAGAGCAGTGCAGGCCTGGCCGGTCTTCTGCACCAGACGAAACCTGCCCCAAGAAGGAAACCACGAAAAACACGACACCACGTGAATGGGGGAAACCCTCTCGGCTCAAAATAAAAATAGATTTATTGTTAAAAGGCAATATGAAATGTGGGCACATTAATGACCAAAAGTGGACCATAATACTAAATGTCATAATTCCCAACAAATCCCACATCACTATGCGGGAAGTTTTCACCTGTTTCTGCTGATGTCAAATACATAGATGTTGCCATGGTGATCTCCAGCCAGGAAGGAGTCTCCTGTGGTGTCAAAGGCCACGTGGAGGAAACGCACCGCCTTGGCCTGATGAGCAGTGCGCACCACCGTCACCAGCACCCTAAGGAGACACATGTCACGTTGCAGTATATGAAATGATATGTAGAGAGATGCCGTGCAGTGTTTACAGTCCCCGTCTGTGAGAAAGGACGAATCAGGATCAGGAAACATTTATTGCCAAAATATGTCAAACATACAAGGAATTTGACTTGGTTGGTGCGTGACAGTAGACAGTGTAACAATAGACAACAAGACAGCAGTGCACAAGTAATACAATAAAATAAAATGAAATGCTAATGCTATGGGTTAGTAGAATAAGGCTATAGGTTAGTATCAAATAAGAGAATAAAGTTAAAAGTTAAAAATTAAAAATATTTTAAAAATTAAAAAATAGTTAATGCAACAAGCGTGAATGAACCGATCGATGAGGCTGATACGTTTATGTCATTCTATAATGAAACATTAATCCAGATCACGGTGTCACTCCCCGCATTATCAAACGCAAATGAAGAAACTCGGGTATTAACGGTAGTTGTTGAAGACCTACCCTTTGCCTGGTGCTGGTTTTCGATGCCAGACTTTCCCCTCTTCTTTGTTTCCGATGTCCGTCACCTCCATTTTAAAGAGGTCTCTGGAGACGCAGAGCGCACGTTTAGTGATGAAAGTCCATACTATTCTGTCTTAAGTTAATGTTAGTGCCGCAATAACAAAGCTAGCTAACGGGCTAAAACGAGTCGGCTAATCTCCCCAAAGGCGGCGCAAACAGCGCGAAATTTGAAAGCGCTTCATTCAGTAACGTCCTGTTTAATTTAAGTTAAATCCAGAGAACCTCAGCACAAATAATTGTCACCTACAGCTCAACAGTTCTGCTCCTAGCGAAGCCTCTCACACTTTACGCCGACATTTCATCCTACTTGAGTTCTAGGCAATTTTTTCCTTGTTTTAAGTTATTTTGTCGCTCAAAATTGACGTAACGGTAAACAAAGGAGTGCATGCTGGGGGCTGTAGTTCTAGTTTTGACTGGATTACAAAATCCTGACGCAAGAATTGCACTGAATAATGTTGAACCCAAAAGTGACACTATTTTATTTGTAGTTGTATGTGTGTGTGTGTGTGTGTGTGTGTGTGTGTGTGTGTGTGTGTGTGTGTGTGTGTGTGTGCATTATATGATTCTTGGGTTTTCTTTAAATGATACCCTCTGATTGAAGTTGTTTTAAATCAAGTGTGCTTATTTTTGCCAATGTCTAAATCTGAATACAGGTCTGTCAACCCCAAACATTGAGACGATTTTCTTCGTCTATTCATTTAAAACGAACGGTATACCAATGCTCTGCTAGATTTTATTCACTCGATGCAAATAAATGAAAAGTCATATAACAAGTAAATCAATCAATGTGTGCACCACGAAGTCCCTGTTTATTTGGATAATTGAGCAACTATGCATTAGTATGTCAAGTATATTGAATTAGCTGACGATGTATTTCAAATCCCCTCAGACTTTTATTTTTTAAGCCGACATGTGAGTTATGGAGAAAGTTTATTTATTTCTCATAGAAAGGAAAGGTTTCATGTCACTATACACTTACTGTAGATGTGACGTCATACCAAGTTTTATTAAAATGGATAATTAACACGAGCATCGTTTCTCAGGATAGAGTATACTTCTTCTGATATATTCATATTCATCCCATTTCTGCTTCATCAGCTCGATCACGCTCCACGTGTGCTGCTGGTAACCACAGGACAGATGGCGCATCTGGAACACCTGTTTCCCTTTCTGAATACACACAGATCGGTGGGTGCTTTTGCATATTTCTCAAGCAGGAACGACGCAGAGCTAAAATAAAGATGTGTGACTGAGATAATAAAAATGCATCCGGTTCTTACATTTTTCCTTCGGAGTAAGAGCATTATAGAAACGAGTCATTAAAATACATAGATCCATCCATCCATCCATTGTCAAACCGCTTATCCTGCACACAGGGTCGCGGGGGGGGGGTTGGAGTCCATCCCAGCCAACTTCGGGCGATAAACAGGGTACATCCTGGATTGGTCGCCAGCCAATCGCAGGGCGACACAGCGACACACAACCATTCACACTCACACATCTACGGGCATTTTAAAGTCCCCAATTGACCTGATCCCCAGAGCATGTCTTTGGAATGTGGGAGGAAGCCGGAGAACCCGGAGAGAACCCACGCAGACACGGGGAGAACATGCAGACTCCACACAGAAAGGCCACTGGGCAGAATCGAACCCAGGACCTTCTTGCTGTGAGGCAACAGTGCTAACCACCACGCCACCGTGCCGCCCGTTAAAATACATAGATGATAATGTAAATATCTAGATAAACAAATAACCTTACAAACTTTCAACTTTTAAAAATAAACAAAAGTATTTGATTTAAGTATTTCTATTGTAATGTTTACCATACGAATTCCATTTAGGTCTTCCATTCCTTTTACCAGACCTTATTTATTTCTGTAGAATATCCTCTCCATGTTAGTCGACAACAACCGTTGTTATTTCTAGTTTAATGGTAGTCGTATGCGTGGCGGCCCGTTTGGTTTTTACGCTGAAAGGGTGAAGCGGAAGCGGAAGCGCTGACCGCAGTAGCTTTATTAGCTAGCTGCCCGTGATTAGCCACGTCATGTAAAGTTAGCAGGGGAGCACTTCTGGTAACAACAAGAAAGCAGCGAGGATTGCACTGTGTTGCCGATACTAGCTCGTTTTTTAAATAGCGGCTTTTTATTTCACGGTAACGACTCGATAGTGGTCATATGGAAAGATGTCAGATATTGGGGACTGGTTCAGAAGCATCCCTTTCATCACCCGGTCCTGGTTCGCCGCTTCGCTTGCAGTTCCTTTAATCGGGAAACTGGGATTGATTGACTTCAGGAATCTCATGCTATTTCCAGAGCTGGTCTTAAGCAGATTTCAAGTAAGTTCATCTCGTCTCTCGCCAACTGTGTGGATTCTGGAGGCTGTTAACTGCTGTGGCTGTTTTGGATGTGGTCCGTTAGCTAGTAGGGGGCTAGGAAGGCTAGCCTAGCAGTAGGCCTGTGTGTTGTGTGTCAGCCAATCAGAGGGCGAGACGCAGATAGCTATGACTTCCGGATGCTGTCAAAATGCTCCTTTTATTTAGCAACACCGAGCTAATGTGCAAATAAAACAGCAGCGGACGAAAAAGGCCTTCTAAAGATCGATGATGGTTGGGGAGAGGACTTTGGACTCACAGATCGTCCGTTTATGTAATTAAGTGGGGAAAAGTAACGTTATATACACAAATTAAGTTTAGCTAAGGACTGCACTTAAGTAACACGTTTTTGCCTAAGTGACGTTTTATTTTAGAGGGATCGAGATTTTACTTTAAAAACTGGTAAATGTAGTTTTTATAATTACTGGTTACTTGGAAGAAGAACATTGTATTCCCCATATTGTCATTTTGATACACAATTATGTAACATTACTATTGGATCAAACCACCTAGTTTTTGTCAAAACGAGAATTTGCAACTTCCACATCAAGCCATGTGAATAATACATTTAATGTCACGTATATAAAATATTAAACTTGCATGATCCATCCGAGAGCATAAATGGCAGCATTACTGCTTATTTCATTGATATATTTTTCAAATGGTGTATACGTGGACATCCAACAAAACCCCTGAAACAACTTGTGTGGTTATATACTAACTGCTTAGAAGTTAAATTATTTATATTTACAATCCACATGAGCCTTCATGTGTGTTTCAAGCACAGCCTTTAAAGGTCTGGATCTTTGCACACACACAGTGTGTTTACATGATGGTATAATTGGAATCTTTGCTTAGTCGGACTATGCTATCTTTCGGGGCAAGTGCTATTATCCCAATATACATGGCAGTGAATAAATCGAATCATTGGCCGAAAGCATGTCATATCCGATACGATAGGTGGCGCTGTTTTCATTACAACTAGTTGTGATAGTCATTTCCGCTTGACCGCTTCACCACAACCAACAACGTCAACATTACGAGAAAGATGGCGAACGGAGAGCAAGGTGAAGCTACATCCCTCTACTATTTGTGCATGATGTTAATAGAAGCACAGCGGATGCGAATGGCGCTATTGGCTGATTTGATAACAGAGAGAAGACGCCGTCGGGATCTCAAACATGCACAAAGACGCAAAGTCCAGTTCCTTATCCGATTCACCGTTACATGCAGCAATAGTCGAACTATCGATCGGATCGAGTTATCCAGGGGTGTTAGTCGGATCGTAGTCGGACCGCATGTAGTCGGACAAAGGTGTTCACATGAAACGGATAATTCGATTTCAGTCCGACTAAGGCAGTTATTCGAATCCATGTAACCACGCTGACACACACACACGTAGCCGTGTTGATGTATTTCTATTAGACCGATGTCTCTTTGGTTTGTTTCAGCTATGGAGACCAGTGACCGCCACCTTGTACTTCCCAATTACCCCCAATACTGGGTTTCTGTTCCTTGTCAACCTGTATTTCCTCTACCACTACTCTACTCGGTTAGAGACAGGTGAGACTGCCAACACACACACACACACACACACACACACACACACACACACACACACACACACACACACACACACACACACACACACACACACACACACACACACACACACACACACACACACACATCTTTTGTTGTGCTAAACCTTTTCTCTGCATTGTTTTCCAGGGGCGTTTGATGGCCGACCTGCAGACTACATCTTCATGCTCCTCTTCAACTGGATCTGCATTGTTGTATCCTTTTGTAGCATTCCAAAAGAAAACTAAACCCCTGCGTAATTGACCACTGATCCGTGGGGTGTTGGTTTTGACACCCCCTCTCCTCGGTCTTTCCCTGCAGCACTGTGCCACGTGGCTCTGTGCCAGTGGCTCGGTGTCACTTTACCCCTGCAGAGCAGAGACTCATAATCTAGGTCACCAGCAGCACATATTTCTAAACTCTTTTCTGGAGTCATCCAGATTGTCACCTTGTCTGGCTCTTCACTGGCATCTTTTGGTTATGGGAGAAATTTGGCTTTTTGCTACTACAGGATAGTTGTGGGAATGAACAAAGAAACCCAGTATGGGAGGTTAAGTCCACTCAAAGGGAAGTGGCAGGTGACATTCAGGCAGTGTGGGGTTCGGACTGGCATCCTTCCAGTGACCAGCTGCTCTAATCTTATTGCTCCGGTTGTGGTTGTTTGAGCTGCGGGGTTCTTGTCCTTGACTCCGGCTGTAGATAACTGGGATGCTAATGAACATGCGGGTAAGAATCCCACTCTTTCTCTTATTTATACCTCAACACATCAAAAGGACTAGTGATGGGAATAAATAAAAATCCAACTTTCCTCACATGGCTTTTACTGTCAGTGCATTATTATAAAATGTGTGTAATTGTAGTAAAATATTGTGGAAATACCCCAAATCTCCTTAAACGAACAATGATATTAACCTCTAAATGCGATAGGGCCGTTAGCTAAGCTATAGCGTGTCTATGGTGGCACGTCTGCTGTGGCCCCCCCCCCCACCCCCCCTCCTGCTGTTTTGATTTACTTACCGTAAAGATTACGAGTGTTTCCTAATTCAGCATCACCACTTAAACTACGCTTACTTAAAGAAAAAGATTAACAATCATTAAATGTTTGAAGAATAAAATGAAACAAGTTGTATGTTCACATGTTGTTTGTTTGTTGTTGTCAGCTGCTGATGATCCCACTGATCATGTCGGTGCTCTACGTCTGGGCTCAGTTCAACAAAGAAACAGTGGTGTCCTTCTGGTTCGGGACTCGGTTCAAGGTACCGCGTCGTTTCCTCACAGACACGTTTGACCTTCTCAAACGTACCTCACGTTTCACTGCGATATCGAAGCCCATAACGCAGCGTGTTTGTAACGTTATGGACGGTGAACATGTGACATTCATTACACATTATCTCAGCTGGCCGAACGTGAGCCTGGTTCTGATGTTCATGTCGATGATGTTCCACATCCTTCTGTCCTAGGCACATTATCTCCCTTGGGTCATTCTGATTTTCAACTTCATAATCGGAGGCTCGTAAGTAACTACGTTTCAATCAAAAACGGTGCTGTTTCCTGTCAATGTATAGAACGTGTGCACGTCACACAGCTCCGTGTTTATTTGGTTTTCTTTGCTGCTGTTGTGCAGGTTTGTGAATGAACTTACGGGGAACCTGGTGGGTCACCTCTACTTCTTCCTCATGTTCAAGTACCCCATGGACCTGGGAGGACGCGCCTTCCTCTCCACACCAGAGTTCTTGTAAGTTTACTTGTTTTATTCCCAAACGGGTTTCATAAGGAGTTTAGGCCTTTTTCCTTGGTAATTGTTGAGGATGTGCAGTAGGAAGCGAGACCATGCAAGTTTGGAATGAAGAATGAACCCGAACCGAAACGTAGCATTACGTTGAATTCATAAGAAATATAATGTAACCTTGGCTTTTGCTGCTTAACATCCACAAAACAAAAGAATGATTTCAGTTTGGTAAATATTTATTCTCCGCTTGAGCAGTTGACGCGTAACCTTGACGCTGTTACCAGGACAGGATTCAAACGTGTCTAATCTCTATTCTTTTAATTACCGTATTTTCCGCACTATACGGCGCACCTGATTAGAAGGCGCACCTTCAATGATTGACCTATTTTAGAACATTTTTCATATAGAAGAACTTTTGTCGGAAGAAATGCGTAAATATGACCGCTTATACAAGCCGCCATTGGCGGACTATAAGGACGCGCAGATGGCCTCCGATTCATGGAGGAAGATCTCCGCAAACGCCGGTTTGCCGGTTTAGGGGAACAAAGTTGTGGAGGAAAATACGGGACAAACGATGAAAAGCAGCAGTGGCGATGCACGGGGCAATAAAGTCTATGAGAAATAAATTAACAAACCATCGACTTCCACACACAAACACGTTACTCCGCCTGTTGTTCTGGCGGTGAATTGCTCTGCAACACACGCAAGACTTTTAGAACCATGAATTGAAACGAGTGCGTCGACGCAGAAGCATGCGCCAGCCTTTAGAATAACTTATTTTCCCCGTTAAGATGGTTCAGCTACTGTAAAGAAAAGGGCGCCGTCTCTCGCTCTTTAATCTCATTAAATGCTCTGCAAGAACGACAGCTTTGTTTCTCTGACGCGCCCTGAAACAAGCTCCATATCTCACGCGCTTGAGCGCCCGCTCAGCGTCTCGCCGTCGTAGACCGAGCTTTGGCATGTTTGGCAGAGCGCCTTGAGCTACGTGTACAACCAGTATGGATCAACCGATTCATCCATTTATAAGGGCGCACTGTCGTTTTTTGAGAAAATGAAAGGCTTTTAAGTGCGCCTTATCGTGCGGAAAATACGGTGCTTGGAAGGAAAAGTTTGTAAAGGATCTTGCAAAGCTTCTGTTTACTTCATCAAATGAACAGTGATGTGCATCCACTTTTCATGCGTTTGAACGTTTACAGGGACACGTCAATAACTGTACCTATGAAAGACATTCTGCCCCAAAGAGTCGAGTTGCTCAGGAGCTCACCCAGTGTTTATTTGTCCAACAGTTTTTGTTATTTGTTGTTTGAAAGCTGCAGTAACTTGAACTGGATTTTGGCCAGATATCAGAATAAAACTGCAACCTTTTTTCTTCTCAATAAAAATAACTTGTTGCTCAATCGCCGGCTGGAAAAAGTGTTAAATTGCTTGATCTAAATCTTCCCATGGCGGCCGTGCTAATGACCCTCTGTGTGGCTCCTTTCTCCAGGTATCGGTTCTTCCCCAGCAGGAGGGGAGGAGTGTCGGGCTTTGGAGTCGCCCCCAGCAGACCGGCTGCCCAGGAGCAAGGGGGGGGCGGGGGAGCCGTAAGAGGACGTCACAACTGGGGCCAAGGCTTCCGCCTGGGGGGCATGGGTATTGAATGAGAGATGGGGAGAGAGCCCGCCCCCCCATCGCTCCTGATATTAAATGGTGTGGATGTTTTAGGTTAAAGTGCTCGCTTTGTCTATTTCGCCAGTTAAAATTGAATTTATATTCGTTTTAAAGGCTCCAAGGGGATGAGATTTGACAAAGCGTGCACTTTTACCGAAGAGGATGCCACACTGAAGGACTCTGGCTCAAGTAACCAAGTAACGCCAGCTGTACTATTACTGTGGATGTGTCCATGGGGAACAGATGGAAGGGAATATAAATAAATAGATTTTTCCTTTTTTTTTTTTTTTAAATGTGATGTTTCTCCCCTTTCACTAAACATGTCAGGACACTTTGCAGCTGCACACCGGCTTGATGTTAATTCTGACTCTTATTCCCGTCTCTCAGTGATGCCATATCAGATTACGTTGTAATTACCGTCGCGCTGGGAGTGTGCGCTCAGCTGAACATGGGCCAAGCTATTTACAGCGGCGTAAAATGTTCTTAAACCTTTTTAGCACAGACCTGATATCCTCTGATCTTGACCAAAATAAGGCGAGGATGACATTTTACTCTGTAAATAAGCTTTTTTTTTGTTTTTGAAAGAATGACTGCGCGTAATCATGGTTCTATGTTTCCTTAATCCTATCCAGTCAGGAGATCTCAGCCAGTTATTTGCCTGTACGGCGGGTTGAGAATCACTTCCTATACAGTTTGTACAATATACAATTAGGGCTGACTATCATTTTCCAGCTTACCTGCACAATTTCTTCAAATCACTTCTATAAATGTCAGAAAATTGTGAAAAGGCTTTTGTTTGGTCCAACAACGAGAGACAAAGTACGGTTGGTTGTGTATTTATTGAGTTACAGCAGACTTAAAAGTAGAAAATGAAACAGGCGAGCAGTATTCCATCTTAGCCAACCAAATGCAAAAGGTATCCCCGATATTAGTCGGAACATGAAACTAAAGCAGCAACTGACGTTCAGCCACGTGCCTGCTGTTCAAACAAGGGTTCAACTTTTTTTTTCTGCTGCACAAATATTGCAAGCTCTAGCGATTTGACCCATGAATCACGTTTTCCCTTTTAGACCATTTCTGTGGATGGGTTTTTAAAAATAAATTGTTGAAGCGCATGCGAGAAGTCCGTGACCGCTGATTTTCCAATGCGTTTATGCGGTTTTACGTAAGAAAATTCAGAACAACAGCATTGCTCTGCAGATTCATGAACCACCATTCTGTGTTCTAAACCAGCTGTACAGAAATCAACCGAATCCAACACAGCTTTGAAAAGAATGACCTTCCTGAAATACTAGAGCCAAGCCACGGATGTGTTCACAGGAGCTTCAGTTATTTTATCATGCATGAAACATGTTCTCCAAAAGCTTCTTGGCAGGTTACGTTTTTTTTTTTTTTAAACAAAGTGATAAAACTGAGATCATGTCCACGAGTCTTTACTGTACCGGATCTGAGACTGACGGAAAATGTCCAATAAGAGCAGAAAAGGCAGCATGGTGCGATCAAACTGACACTCCCTTATCTACGCCGTCAATCATTTCTATATCACGTTACACGACCCAACTGTCCACAACGCGCTCACTTCCACTTTCTACCCGTGTCAGCGTAATTCTATGAGTGCGAATCTTGGTGACGCTGCGGGAGAAACGGAAAAGTTGTCAGCTTGAGAAGTGGCCCAGTATGTACGTATCTACCACTACCACAAGGATACACAAGTGCTATCAAAGACCACTCGTAATGAGTAGTGCGCAAGTATGATTTTAAAAAACAAAATAGGACTAATTTTTAGCAAATAAGACTATTATACACTTTGATCCTAAAAGAAAAAACATTTTTTGGGGCACCAGTCATGATTTGTTTCCCCCCCCCACAAATGTAACAAAACATGCCCTTTCAGGAAAACTGTACAGAACTTTTAGTAATACAGAAAAATATTTACAAGGGCGGTTGTCTCATAAAAAGAGAAAAAGATAAGTAGTAAGAACAATGCATCAAGTCCAGCTTTGGCACTCCTCTCAATGTCAGCATCTGCACCACACATCAGTCCTGGCGCTTTGTGATGACATCACAGACAGTTACATTGCTGGTTCCACATTCAGTCATCTTAAGTCAGTGCTTGATGTTCCGTGAGCAGTCAGTGATTTACTCGACCTTGAACAGAAACGGTAAGTCAAAATCAGCCGATGCTCAAAAGGAAATAGATTTTCAGATTATATTTTGAAACCTTTGATTGCCATGGTCACAGAAATTCAGAAGTACATAATAGCAAAATTATTTTTCATATGAACTGAAAACTTCATACAGCACTTTTGTAAACACTATTTGCATTTCCTGTGACAATGACGCGATGCGTGCATGTGTCTACATAGATCACGCTAATGACAGTGTGGGTCCAAATATCATCCTGCCATCCCAGCATGCTATCGCTTTTTGGAGGGCCAATCAGAGTAATTGCCACGTAATCGCTTCCTGGGTAGCTGGAGACTGCAGCTGTGGCGTCTTAAAGGAACAGCTCAGCGTTTATCCGGTTATTCAGGCCAAGTCTCTCACACTCATTAGAGGGATATTTCAACCTACCATCAACCAGTGACCCGTCCAGGTTGCTCCAAGGAGAGAACTTCACTGTCTGTTGCCAGTGTCGGTCTTTCCCCTCCTGCTTCCCCCTCTTCTCCCACTGCCACAGTCACCTGTAGCCACCTGGAAATAAAACCAGATGAAAGGTTTAAACAAGCAGACTCCTAGGAACTAAAAACAAATATATACAGATTTTCATTTAAACATTTACTTAATGAAGTAACACATGCAAAGAATGGAGTCATTGAGCATCAACAGCTTGTGATGCCCATAAGGTGCTGTATTTTTAGACTCATCACAATCTTAAAATAACTACAGATATTCCTTTAAAATTGGCAGTGAGACAATCCCTTTTTGTCTGTATAACATCTCACACTAGAGTAAATATAGGATAAAACAGCCGTTTCCTTCCCGTCACCCACCTCTCTTTGTCAGCAGTGCCGGAGCCGGTTTGGTCCGGTCTGGTCCGGCTCAGGTCCGTCACACTGTGGGCTAATCGGCCAGTTAGCCACTGGACTTTGTCTTGGTCAGACAGCTTGGAGGGATCTGCAGCAGCTCCGGTGTTCTCCCCGGCATCCACTGTACCAGAGAGGAGACAACAGTCAAACAGGGGAACAAAACCCTGCAGCAAGGGGGGAAAAACCCTCTTCCAAAACTCACCTTTCACAGTCTTGACTTCCAAGGAAACAGTCTGTTTTTTGTCCGAACTCTTGCCGTTCTGTTCCTGGCCCACTCTGTGCGGCACTACGAGGTTTTGTCTTTGGAAACTTTCCATCCAGTCCAGAGTTTCCCCGTTCTTCAGAGCCGAGCGGTGGTCCTTGAACCAGCGAACAATGTCGGTGCGTCCAAGTCTGGTTTGGACCTCCAGCTGGCTGTACTCGTCAGGAGAAGGCCACCGAGTCCGACAGAACATCTGTCCAGACAGAACACCAAGCATTTTACACCCTAAAACATGAATCTTATTCACTATTTCACAGCAGAAACTGGCTTCCGGTTCCACGTCTCGGGCCAACTGGTGAGGTCGCAGTTACATCCGTGTGTCCATACAGACGGGAGCCCCGGAAATCTAATAAATAAGTAATAGACTCAAAACTCATAATTTGGTAAACGCCATTCTTACCTCTCTGAGCAGATCGAGGGAGCGGCTGCTAATGGGCGCCGGGCTGGTGGAGGCCGACAGGATGGGAGGATGGGGAGACGAGGAGGATGAAGTGAGGATGGGAGGGGATGCCGAAGAGGAGAGGGTTGGAGGATGAGGGGAGGAGGCTGCGAGCACAGGAGGGGAGGACGAGGACGAGGAGGAGGAGGAAGAGGAGAGGACAGGTGGGTAAGAAGGGGAGAGGAAAGGTTTCCCGCCCTGCTCTCGATGTGAAGCCCCGTTCAGCAGCGCTGCGGGCCGGTCTGCTCTGTCCTCTCTGTTCTTTGAAGACATGGAGAGTAAAGCCTTCTCCATGTTGTCCCTCAGGGCCCGGCGCTCTGAAAACCAGCAGTCCACCTCAGTCTTCGACAGCCTGGTCTCCTGGGCCAGCAGGTCTGCAGCAGGACAGAGTTCAGTGGATAAGATGAGCTGTGTGGCGTCCAAGTGAAAGTGTTTTTTTTGGATACCTGGGAATTAAGCCTCTCCGAGGGTCTTAAAAATAAGCTCATTAAAACAATTCTGCTATTCCTGTCTGCAGGAACCCACCGAAGACTGGCCTGCAGCTCCTTTGGTGCGGAATAAATTAAGTCACGTGCTGTGAACTAGTAGAAATAGAAAAAAACACAACCAGTGTTTTAAATTTATGAGTATGTATATTTGACCAACTGATCATAGAATATGTTTTAACCGGCAAGCCGATTTTGTACTTCGTTATGTAGCAGCCTGGGGGGGCAGCGGTGTTTCTATAAGTGAATACAATGTGCAGAATGTTCTCACATCAAGCATCTGGATTGAGGACTAGGACGCAAGTAATCATGTAACATGATTGAACAAACATGAACAAAAGGACATTTACAAAAAAATTGTGGAAATGCAGGAAACAAGACGTTGACCGAAACAGCTTTTGAGTGGAAGGGGAAGGATTCAACGTTCCACCTGTCCAGCTTGAGATTAAAATAATCTGCTCGTGAGAAGGTCGGTAGAAGGCTTTACCTAGCTCCACCTCTGTCGGCGTGCCGCTTCTCTGGAAACTCTCCTCCAGCGCCTTCAGCTGCTCGGATGACTTGCCCTTCACCCTCTCCAGCAGGGGAAACTGGTTGGGGACCGCCTTCTTTACGGGGGCGTCTTTTGGTGCTGGCGTCACCTCTGCTTTCACCAGCACTGGAGGTGGAGGAACACCTTCAAGAGAGACACACAGAGAATTTAACACAAACAGTGTTAGTATGATTATGAAGCGTGAACGGTTGTAGTATATCACAATAAATTTGTTGTAAAAAATATTTTTTTTAAATCAATATTAAAAAAAGATATAAGATATAAGGCAAAGATGTCTACTGAATGTCATGGTTTCAACCAACCCAAAGTCAAACAGCAATATTCTAAATGTTATTTCTTTACTTTGTTACGACATCTCTAGTTGTTATTTGCAGGTCGGTCTAGGTAATTATAGTTTTATTTATGTATGATTAGAGCTGTTGTTCGGGAGTTGATTGGTAATAATTTCAATTGCAATTACATTTGAACACATAATGACAGCATCATAATTAACCTCCGCCCATTACAACATTTCTCCTGATTAGAGCTTGAACGTACAACAATAAATGTTCCTTATTAATAACAGATGACTGTGAGCACGGCCCCCCAGTTTGTAGAAGCAGACCGCAGCACAACAACAAAGCAATGTACCGCTAACCCCCCCCCCCCCTCCCCCATCCCATACCTTTGAGATTAAGTAGCCTCTGTTCACTGAACCACTTCTTTATCTCTCCTCTGGACAGCCCTGTGGTCTCAATCAGCCTGTAGATCTATCACACAACAAGATGCAACAGAACATGAGAAAATATTGTTAAAAAAGAAAAGCCAGTATCAGAAAACGTAAAGCAGCTGCAAAAATCTCAATGCCGAACCTCCCTCGACAATACATCTTTGTACACGTATATGAACTTGAACAGCATGGCACAAATAACGTCATTTCACTCACTTATTCTTACCTCATCTTCCTCGGGGAAAGGACACTGTGTGTAGCTGGACCTCAGCACCGATAACTGCTCTGCCGTTTTGTTGCGGTCAACCGTAAAACTCAGCACCTTGGCCGAGGCCTGCTTGGACGTGGCCACGGGCGCCGAGATGGTCTGAATGATGGACGGTCGTTTACTCTCCGGGGCGATCGCCGGGGACGTCAGGGGTCGTTTGAGCGACTGCGCCACCTGGAGGTGAGCATTACGGAAACAACGACCAGCTCAGATCACACGTCTTTGTGTGTGTACAAGTTGACGTTTCCGCCTGTGGTTTGGTACCTGGTTGGCCACGGTGAGGGCCAGCGGCGCACAAGTGACGGTGGAGCCGTTGGCCACGGGAGTCAGCACCAGGCTGGTCTGTCCCAGCAGGTGACAGGGGAGGGACTGC